TTTGTTGATTTTCCCCTATGATTGTAAGGGGTAGAAAAAGCCACCCCTAAGACTTGTTTCGTACGTAACTTTTTTTCTTATTAATATCTTGCCATTTAAAAATTCATTTCAGATTGCCTGATTCATTCTAAACAAAAATGGTTTCTTGTAATTTTTCCATAAAATTAACGATTTCTGAGGAAAATATTTATTTAAAACTAATTACATGGCATAAGATTGGCAAAAGGTAGAAATTTTATCGAACTGTAATTTATCTAGTAGGCGACAATCACGTTGACATTTTGTAGTGGCAACTTAATAATTGTTGTAATTATTAATTAATTTTATTAAATATGCGAAGAAACAAACATTCAACATTTAATATAATTTCTATTAGTTTTTAATAATTTATAATAGTTTGTTTTTCATTTCTGTCACTTTTTTGGTATTTCAGAAAAAAAATTCTGGCACCCCCTTTAAGCGCTTGTATCTTCACAGGAGATGTTCAAATTAAATTTTTTTTATATGAAAGACCCACCTTATTTTTCGACATGGAATCACCCCCCGTTATTTTTGGCACTTACTTATTCATTTACATTCTGTATATCACGGTTGAATTTCTGGTTGTACTTTATCGAAAGTGATTAAGTGATTTTATGATTATCTGTTACAAAAAAGAAAGAATAAAAGATAGTTTCTCTGAAGATTTGCAACTTGCAACATTATTAACAATTCAGTAATTCCATAGCCTCCTGCAATTTTATTAACATTTTTTGAGAAAATCAGTTTTTTTTTAATTAAAAATCGAGTTACATAAAACCCCTATATCTCAAATTTCATCGATTTCTAACGCAGATTTTTTATTTTTATTTTGTAAAGCATTGCATTTTTTAAGTGTTCTAGTTTAAATATCTAGAAGACATTGGAAAGGTCTTAATACGAAAACTACCAAATAATAGAATCTACGTGAAAATTTTGAGTCCTGTCTACAATTAAGAAAATAATTTATTTGCAGACACTGTAATTTGCAAATCGTGATCAACAGGATCAATAATTGGTTCTAAAGGAATTTTCAAAGCCTCCTTAATTTTTAAACTGAAACTTCATACAAAATTGTTTTGTATAAGTTAAGTAAAATTTGGTATATATAGAAGTGATGATAAATAAGATCAAGAAGCCTTATTTCATGGAAAAAAATCGTTAAAATAATTTTTTCAAAAATCGCCTGGCCTTGGATTATCATAAGATTAGTAATTGATCTAGAAGGCCATATATAACCAAAATTTCGTTCGAATTGTACATACCAAAAAATTTTAGAGGGGTATTCTGATTCTTCTTCAGTTTGATGAGAAATATGGAAACATTTTTTAAAATAAAAAATGACATAAATCGCAATGTTGTACAATGTATAGATTGTTGTAATAGCACTGAGGTAATATCAAAATAATTTATGAAATAGTAACAATAATTATTATTATCTACGAATGGAATGAAATATTATTTGTCACCGTCAATTATTGTCTGAGATTTAAGATAAATCATATTTCTTCATTAAATTTTAATACGCGTCTCTCAAAAATCACGCATTGGCCAAGTAGTTTAGTTACGCCCTGTACAAGAAACAATTTCATCTTCATTTTAAAATGCATTTGCGATAAGGTGTTTTTAATATCATTCGAAATATCCAACTGGAATATGAAATTCGATAAAATCATAAAAATGACATCAATTTGGTGTCTTTAAATATATTTTTTTAAGTATGAATATCAAGAACGCTCTTAAGAGACTCCTGACCTACGTTTATCCGCCGGTTATCTGCAGTGGTGTGATATTTGCTTTATTAATAGTCATCAAATTACTTTCTTCCAACCAGATAAGCAGTTACATATAAGGCCAGAAGAGAACGTTATGAATATATACAGGGTGGCCACTTTTAAGTAGCTTGAACAGGAATTAAAAAAACTTGACACATTAAAATTGTAAAAAAATATTTTGACCTTTTTAACATTTTGTCGGTATTTTAAAAAGATATCGTTGGATCAACCAGTCCGCCAGATTCATAGTTTCAATATTATCTATTTTTAATAATTTTTACCTTTTTTCAACCAGCTTCTAAGAAAAAAATTCAACCCGCTTTCAAATGCCGACATTTGAAATAAAGAATCAAATCACCATTTTCGATTGGCATATCGTAGTTTATGAAACGAAATGATTCATATTCCTTTTAGGCAAAAAGACGTGCCAAATAAGCGAAGGTATTATGTAACGGACAGGTGTGTTGATTTTTTGCGCCGCTTCAATGTCAAAGATATTGCTTTTGATATTTCCGTCTAATTCGTAGCCTTGAATGGCGTATTCCTTAGATCTCCAGGTTAATTAGGTGACTTCACGTCTGCCCGCGACTTTTGCGGAAATTTTTCGCTGCCGCCAGGGGCGTATAAAATGGTGGCGCAAGATGGACTTGTCTCCTACGCCTTTTCCTACGAATTTAAAATTCTTTTACCTAAAAGCAATATTTAAATTCCCGCTAGATAATTTGGAATTATTCATTCTTTTTTTCATAGTTTTTCAAACATATCAGCAGTGTAGTGCCCTGTATGTGCAACAAATGAATACTTTTTTTGAAATTCCCGCCCTACAAAACAACTACTGACATCTTCACCATCAGTAGTAAAACGTTTTTCGAAACATTGCTCTTTTCAAGTTTTGATCTAAGGAATCTCCCATGAGCTATATCTCATTTAATGAAACATACCTTACATTTAAAATTAAAATATTCTAATCTCAGTCTTGATACAATGCATTTTTTTTCAAATTACTTATCTAATAGAAGTCGAAAAATAATTATTGATAATAATTTTTTATATGTAAGTAATATTGGTAGAGGTGTTCCACAAGACAGTGTGTTAGGCCCATTATTATTATCCATTTATACAGCAGATTTATTCCTCTGTGTTATTCTATTTTGCGTCAATACGCCAATGACTGTCAACTATTTTTTCTCGTTTCTCCAATAAAACCATCAATTTTAACGGTTGAAAATGTTAATACAAATTTAGTCGTTTCTTTTTCATCTTTTAACCATGATTTATTTTTGTACGAAAGTCAGTTAAATCTTTTTGGTAAGGATAGTAATAAAATAAGGTTCGGTTATGGGGTTAAATCAATCAAGACGGCTGTTTCATATACAGAGTGTTTATAAGTACTTGTACAAACTTTAAAGAGCGATCTTTAACTAATTTGAAGATAAAAAGTTCATATGAACATGGGTCCTCAACAGCATAGTTCTTGAGATACAAGGCGTCAAACAAAATTTTTTGTTTGGTATTTTGATTATATTTTTGTTCAATAACATGTCAATTTGACGAAATTCGGGAAACTGCGAGTATTGATGGTGAGGAACTCAAATATTTACTTAGTTTTTTGTTTAATGTTAGACAGCGCCACATGCGGTGTTGTACCTGGATTTAAATAACCATAAGTTTTTTGTGTCGCTCTGTATGTCATTTTTGACTAGACATACTTATTTTGTCTTCAATTTTACGGATAAAAGGCACTCTATGTATTTGTCGCTGAAAGCAGCCGTTTTGGAAAAAAAAACGGGTTTAAAGTTAAAGTTGCGTTAGAAATTGGAAGTTGAATCATTAAGAATTTTTGAAAAACAAGTGAAAAAGAGTCATGTGCTATGTTACACTATCACTTTACCAATTACTATTACCAAATTACTGAAAATTAGGAAAAAATATAAATTAACAAAAACAAAAATACAGGGTGACTCACAAACGGTGACCAAAAATGAAACCTCGTATTCTTTGGTGAATTTTAAGGGGAATCTTCCCTATAAAGTTTTTATCTACGGGGTGTTAAACTTAAAAAAATATTTTTGATTTTTTTTAAATAATTTAAAAACTAGGAAGTGAAATAATTTGAAATTGGGCACATGTATTTATGTAAACGTTCAAAAGGTATTTTCCGAAAATTTATATGCTCAAGTGGCGGAGATACAGGGTATCGGTGGTATATTTTTCTAAATAAAATAGTACGCTACTGTTTTACGGTAACAACCATGATTCGTCATTCAATTTTCTACAAATTACTACTCTTTTATGTTTTTCGAAAAAAGCCTTATTTTCGAGTAAAACTTAAATAAACGAACAGAAAACACACTTCGATATTCGAATAAAATTCAGTTTATAATTACATAGTAGGCTGCGGTAGCAACTTTGACATTCTGCGCAGTTAGAACAAAGAATAAATAGTGATTTTCGTCAGATTCAAGCAACAATAAATTTCGAACAAATTACATTTTCGTTACTAAAAAGATGTCGCGCCTGTGTTCGTGCAAATGGAGGTATTTTTGAGCATTTACTTAAATAAAATCATTAAAATGATGACTAATGTTATTAATTTCTTTATTCGAATAAATAAATGATTATAGTGTTTGTCATAAGATTAAAGTAAAAGTGTTTTCAGTTCGTTTTCTATAATCAAAATACCAACAAAATTTTTTTCCACGCCTGTGTATTAAGAACCAAACCGTTGCGGGCCCATGTTCATATGAACTTTTTATCTTAAAATTAGTCAAGTATTCACGCTTTTAAGTTTGTACAATTACTTAATAAACACCCTATATAATAAGCTTCCCGTTAAAATTTAAAATTCTCCATCTATTTACCCTTCCAAAGAACAATTCAAAACCTTTCTGTATTCTAAAAGAAATGTTTTTTAATACTTACAAGTTTATAATTTACTCTTTTTATAAGGATTATTAATATTAATATTTATTGCGATGATACTGTGAAAGAACGGCTACGCTGAACTTCCCCATCTCTGGCATAATTCTACTTGAATTATAATGTTAACGCGAATTAAAGCATTTTATTATTTTTTTATCAGAAAGTTTGATTGGAAACGCTCTATGCCACTCTATAATTTATTTCCTAACTCGAAACACATCTCATCAACATCGTGAGCATCACCTGGGTGTAAAATTAATACTGAACAATCACCCTTTGTTCCAGATGATCCTATCAGTATTACTAATTGCCCTTAGCCTGCGGCTGGCCCAGAGTTCGAGACTGAGAAACGACATGAATAACGACCTAAGCCCAGTGCTCAGCGGCAGCCGCTTCAAGCTCATAGATTGGGTACAAATCAAAGAACCACCAGTGCCGTTGGTCACCGAAAAAGTGGGGGCGCACGTGGAACTAGAGTGCCAGGCGATGGGCTCTCCACCACCAACCATCCAGTGGTACAAGAGGAACATGAGGATAACCGAGGTAAGGACAGAAATGTTTTAAAATACATTCTATGGATAATAATAATGTGCCGCCCCCTCTTCCACACAAGTTCACAGCTTGCAATTAGAGTGAGGGGTTGCAGATTAGAGTAGTTTAGTGTCTTTGTATTCAATTAAATCCTGATTTTGACATTTTTGCACTAAGCCTACTACGGATATTATCGTAATTGTAGATTTGCTCATATCGAACGTTAATTTTCAGAATGAAATGATGGAGGTCAACACCATCAAGCCAAGCGACGCACTGGCGATGATGTCTTCGCGGTTAGTGATAAACTACCTGTTACCAAGGCACCAGGACATATACAGATGTGTCGCAGAAGCCGGCGCCCAGGTATCCACCAGCGTTACCAAGCTCATAGTCAGCGACAAGGAAGGCAGAGAAATGAACTTCACTCAACTCATCAACGCCAAAATCCTCGGAGCCCACCACATGCCCAGAGTAACGTTCTGGGCATCCACCCTCATGGACACCATCGGTAAGCGTAGTTAAAAGTTTAACAAAGTTTTTTAATAACTTGAGTCTTATGAACTCTTATATTTACTGGTGTTTTGGTCTTAAACGAGTAATAAGCTCTGTACAAAAAGTGTATGTGGATGAAAAGTGTTTAATCTACATCTATTATCAAGCAAATTAAGTAAGAATTTTCTAATAATTTAATTTTGTTGTTTAACTCATATATCCATGTCACCGTAAACACTTTGTAGAACATGAGGGACATTCATTTACATATGGAACTACTTCTGGTGTGTCACAGGGGTCTGATTTGGGACCGTTTCTGTTTCTCACCTTCATCAATGATATTACTAGTGTTATTAACTGTCACAAATTGTTTAAAATCTATAGTGAGTTAAATTCCATATAAGACTATACAATATTGGAAAATAATGTTACATCAATTGTAAAATGGTGCATAAAAAATCACTTATAAGTTATTATCTCAAGACGAATTATTTCACTCCTGATTGTTAGATTATATGAAATGAGAGCATCTAATTGTTTCAATTTAAAAAACTGTAGCAGATTTTTTAATTCAGTGAATCAGCTCTCAAGATCTTCAGATTATGATCTACATAGCAAAAGAACTTAGCTTCAAAGTGCAATTGAAAAATTATTTTTGGCTTGCAGGTAACGAAGTTAACCTCCCATGCAAGTCTGTCGGAAACCCAAAGCCCACCCTGCTCTGGATCGACCCCAACGGCAGGGTCATCGAAACCGACGACAGGTTCACAATACTACCGGACGGCGAACTCAGAATAAAGTCGATCATTTGGGCGGACATGGGGATCTACACGTGCGTCGTGAAGAATTCCGTTGGAGACGACACCGTCGAAACGTTTTTGTACCCAATGAAGGTATGTAAAATGTCGCACTGTTTGGTTCACATTTTCTAATTGACGTTTGGAACCTTAGAATATTGATAATTTTTTTTGTTGCAGGCATCAGATTAACCACTGAACGAAGGGGAATATTCCGCTCGAATCCAAATCTAGTCAAATTTTCTTAACCATTCCAAGTCCCAAGGCGGAGTGCAACTTGGATATTTTTATAAATTAATTTATGACTATCTAGTATTTATAATTTAGGTATTAATTGTATAATAATTTATGTACTTATTTATATTAATGTGTAAAATATGACTTTTTAACGAGTGTTAATGCAAACATTCTCCATACAACTCGAGCCGTTTTATTTCACCATCCCATTTATGTCGTTATTAAAAAAAATAAATAAAAATTTGAGCGATATCTGAAAAAAATTCCATCACTTACCTTTAAATGCAGAAATTCAGGTTCTCGATCATACCTCGAGGAAAAGGAGGAAGGGAAGGGAAAAGGTTTGCTTTTCTATACAAAATTCGTTCACCATATCCTTGATTACATCGACCTATTAAAAACCAAAAATTAAAAAATCGATTTCAACATTACAATCAAAAACAAAAAGAACGTTACCTTAAAAAGGCAAAAAGGGTATTTGAGCAGTGACTTTTACACTGCGTATATAAAAATACTCTTTCCAATTCAAAACAAAATTCGAGGATTTATAAAGATTTGAAACAGTTATACAGCATGATTTGTAAACGAACCAACACTAGGCAAGTTCCTTGATTTAGGAATCATGTAACGTTAAAAGTTAAGAAAAAATATTAGTTCTTTCCAAATAACTTTGCAATCTTTTTTTATTTAAGTATTTTTGCTACACTGACAAGAGAAATTTAAATAAAACAACTTTAGCCACAAGGATCGGTCAAGGGGTTGATTTTATAATTTTTTTTCTTAATCAGAGATATCTTGCATTGATAAAGTAGATAATTCTTTGCGACCACACAATAATCGTTCGAACACATCTCACATTAACGTTTTGAAAAACTTTTCTTTATTCAAAACTTTTGTCGTGAAATTGTCTCTATAGTTATGTACTTTCATTTGATAATGCTTCTAATTCTACACAAACTTCTTCTAACGACATCTGTAAGTAGCATCACAGAAATCAGAAATCAAAAGGTAAGTCATTAAGCTATACCTTTCCTGCAGATCCCAGATCTGGAGAATATGGTGTGTTTGGAAGCAATTGGTAGCCCAAGTCATGCTGTTTTGCCATCAAAACCATCTAGCTGTGACCCAGTGCATTGTTTTCATGAAACAGCAGTTTCTTCTTTGCCATATGAGGCCTTTCTTCTTGATTTCATCCTCCAATCGGTTCAATAATGCTGTGTATTCTTCTTCTTCTTCTTCCTTTCCTAGTGGTTGGTGCTGATAAGTCCCATGGCACCGCGGCCTAATAGTCCTATTGTGCATCTCACTACTAGTCCTATTCAGCAAGTAGTTTTGTCCTTTTAACAAAGTCCAAAAGCTTCCTTGCTGACACTTCTCTCAGTTCCTTGGGTTCCAAATAGAGTCTCTCCAGGAACATTATTCTACTACGTGTAAGTTTTATCCGCCGGGTCACATCCTCGGCAGACCGGACTGTCTACAAGCTTTAGCTTATGTAGATGTTTCCTAAAGTAACAGTGTCCCGTTATGAGTCCCGTCACTGTCCTGAGCCGGATTTTATTCAAGCTCAGTAAATCGTTTGCTTTTTTCTTCAAAGGAGTGCTGTGTAATAGTCGCTATTGATTGTTTTTCCAGGTAGTCCATGAATATTGTGCCATGAACATCCAAAAAAATACTCACCGGAACCTTTCTGGCCGACTGTTGCTTTTGGTCGCTTTGGACAGCTTTTTGCTGCTGCTTTCCAACTGACTGCTGATTTGATTCTGGAGTGTAATGGAGGATCCAAGTTTCATCCATTGTCATAAACCAACACAAAAAATATTGTTTATTTCGCCTAAACAGCTCCAAATAGTGCTCCGAGTCATCAACGTGTTCTTTCTGTTAAACTATGAGCAAAAGTAGCCCCCATTTGGAAAACTGTTTTTTTCATGCCAAAAGTTTGTGCAAAATCTTTAGGATGTTGCCTATCTCCTGCAACTTCAATTTATAGTTATCCAATGCAATTTTGAGGGTTTTTTTGTTTTCTGATGTTGACACCTCATTTGGACGTCCCGAGCGTTCAGCATGATCAGTGTCCGTAAGGCTTCGTTAAAACTCGGCAAACCACTGACAAATGGTTGTTAATGAGCAGATTCCTTATAACACTTTTCAAGTCATCGCTAAGCTTGGATGGTATTTTTGCCCATCAAAAAATAGTGCTTAAAAATAGTGTCACTAAACTTCAATATCTTGATAAGGAATGGTCAAAATGTCGCAAAACCTTGACAAGTTTCTTTTCAAGGTTACTACAGTCTTTTCGAAGTCAGTTGAACATGTAAGAAAATGTCTGGCAATAAAATTTAATGACTCATAGGCGTTCCTAAAAAATTTTTCTGCTAAAGGTAAAAAATTATAATAATTTGTATATAATGTGTAGAAAATTTCTATTATGTTCATTTGGCCAACAACATATTTTAATTATTTATGTCCTCAATTTTATTATATTGATGGTAAATTTCGTTTTGTTCCCTTTCATGAGGTCTCCAAAATGCCATGTAATAATATTATTTCTCCCTTTCGCAATTGTAATATGAATGACTAATAGAAGGTGCCTATAATAAATTAAAATTACCTGAATCACACCAAATTCCGCATTGCTGCACTGTACTGCTGGGCAATTTGTCAACCACTTGTCAACAGCTGAGATTTATTGCCCCAATGGCCCAATGCAGCTGTGTTTGTATTTCGTTTACCGGCCATCTCCACGTTTAGTTCGACCAGACCTGTATATGGATATGGCTAAATAAATATGGGAACAAGTTTTTCAAATATTTCAATGCCGAGTTGCTGCGTCAGCGACCGAATCTGGTACATACTGGTTTTTCAATTGATATCGAAAAGACAATCTAACGCATATGGATTTTTTATTTGTGGCGCCATCTGTGGGTTAGTCCCCAAATTATTTGATCAATGTGTTACTACATCAAATTTCATGTAAATTGAACAAAGCACTTTAGAGTTATTTGGAAAAGAACTTACATTTTTTTGTCAACTTTATCATTCAGTGGTTAAACAAAATAACTTGGAATAAATGCAAGTTGCATTAAAACACCATAGTTTAGGTTGTATGCGGAGCGGAAATGGCTCCATCTGTCTTCCTACTGCGCCATTCAAATGGCTACAGTAGAAAGCGACCTGCTATATTGCCAGGTACTTTGTTGCACGACCGCTGCCCACAGATAGAGAAACACAATGTCTTTTGCTGTTGCACTAGGTGTTGCGAGTATAATTCAATGCCGGTCGGGGTATATAGCCCGCAGAGTAGTTGTTTCTCGCAACACTGCAACTAAAAACATTGTTTCGTCCTCTGTAGACGGCAGTCGTGCAACAAAGTACAGCTGGATCGTTCGTCGGTTGTCTCACCTATGTCACACTGATGAGAATAAGTCCGAAACCCGGTCTGCGCCTGGTGGATTAAACTGACGAATGATCCTAGCTATTGCACTAGGTGTTTGCGAGTATAATTCAATGCTGATCGGGGCATATAGCCCGTGGAGTAGTTGTTTCTCACAACACTGGCAATTAAAAATCATAGTTTAGGGTTGTCTACCCGCAACTTCAATGTCAGTTCACTTACGAATCGCCACAAACTGTTACTATTTTAAATTTGTNCACAACACTGGCAATTAAAAATCATAGTTTAGGGTTGTCTACCCGCAACTTCAATGTCAGTTCACTTACGAATCGCCACAAACTGTTACTATTTTAAATTTGTACACAAAATTGAAGATGGATAGATTTTTCAAAAATTGGTACAGGAATATTTTATTAAATTATGGAATTATTATTTTGAATTAATTAAAAATTGTGATACAACTTGAAATATCGGCCAATAAATCGTACATTTTTTAAACCAAGAACGTTAACGACGAAGGAAAATTCGAACATAAATATCCTGAAATTGGACGTGTGTTAAAAAGACTTGCAGAAGCATTATCGACGGTAAGACGGAGAGAAAGCCATAGGATCGAGGATGGGCAAATTAAGGAAAGCCTGTTGGTGACAAAATAAATAACAGCGGCTAAACAATTATTTTTTATTTGAAATACTCTTCCCTTTAGGAACCAAAATTTTTGAAAGTCAGTCTTAATAATAATAAAACCTTAAAAAATAAAAATAATCTAAGTACATATAAATAAAACGTATATACAATAAAATTTTTTACAGTGTACTACAATAATTATGTACAGGGCTTACGGATTAATCAATAGAAAGAAATTACTGAACACAAAAAAATAACAATCGGTTTATAAATTACATGTCGGACAATGCCTAAAAAGACCGTTTTACACGAAATAAAAAATAAATAATTACGTCTAATCGTACCAATTAACTGATAGGAGGATTTTCCTGTAAAACCTTTACAAAAACCGTGATAAAAGACTACTAAAAAAATTTTAGATGATTTTTTTGTACAAGATGTCTGATTGCAGGGCAAGAAATCTATGAATACCAGAAGATAACAGTCATTAGTTATAATTTTCAAGAGCATCCGCAATCTTTGCCAACAACGTAAACTAGTGTTCGTTTTAAATCGCCAACCAGCAAACTTTGGTCGAATTCAATGACTTCTAAATTAATTAAATTCTGTACAATTCCAAAATATTTCGTACTGGAAATTCTTATACACTCGAGTGATCAGAACCAGCATAAAAATCAATTTTAGACGTAACATTTGTAAAGAACACTGATTTATCGACTTTCGATGAATAATGAAAACAAATTGTTGGACACTGGAAAAAATGTATCTGATGGAAAGTTGACAGACTGTTTTTTCAGAAGAAATACTGGCGTACACGAGACAATTAAAAAGCTGCGATTAAAACTAAAACTGTACATTTACACACATCTAAGCACCATCAATGCTTATTACTATTCAATTATTATTGCTAAAATTACTGGCCTATTTCCGATAGATTTAAAACCAAATACAACTCAACTTATTAATGAGATTCTCACTGAAATATGACACGATTTATTTAACACCCTGTAGTATGCAAAATCAAAGTAGGCTTCGAGACTTCTAGTGGTTCACAAGTTGCTGCTTTGAATCTGAGTATTTTATTTACAAGAAATTTACACGTTTAAAGAACGGCCATTTTTTATGCAACTTAGACATCGGCTAGTCTTATCCTTATGTGGGCCACTGATGTAGATGCTGAAAATTTTGTACGGGACTAGTTAATCGTTTAAGTGAAATAACAAAATGTTCTAACAAAAATACACAATACTGAGATCGTTCTGACTGATCCTTATACTTTCGCCAAAGAGGTAAAAAGCAGCTGCAATTTTTTTTATTATATTGCACTCACAGAATAATAAATAGAATAAATTAGGCCTTACGTGGTAGTTAAATAAATTAAATATATAGCTGCTACTCACAAGATTTATCACAATACGTATTACTTTTTTTTAACTATTAAAAAAACAGCCTGAAAACCTTTTGTCGGTGATGTCAGACGAAAAGCTTGAGCAAAACAAGGTGTACTAAAAAAATAAATCGACAATCTGTAAAAATATAAATAACTCTGTAATGAATTAAAATCACATTTGTGTAAAAATAACAGATGTCCTGGTATATCCGTCGGTAATCTCGCGCTCCGTTTAAAATCGTCACATTTAAAAACAATGAACAAACGATCGGGTTCAAAGCTTGGAGCAACCGCATTACGATCGACTCTTCTCGCTATAAATTTAACAGTTACCATCTGTAAAATTACACTATTCCGAATATAAATTAAAGTTAATAGCTGCCTACCGTTGACGGATATTTTAACCCAGCGCAACCGACAGATGGCAACTGAATTATTACATTATGATTCGATAGCTCATAGTAGTAACTTTACAGAAGCATAAAATTTGTAGCTGCTAATGGAAAATTCACAGCCGTGATTGAGAAAATAGATCTAGTTTGGAAACATATCACAAATTTACTAACTATTGTAAAACTATAATTGTTATGCGTAAAACTACAACTGAAACTTGTAAATTTGCAAATCTCTATGAATTTACAATTGATACCAGTAAGATTACAATTGCAATACGTAAATCTACAATTGACACCTGTAAATTTACAACTGCATCTGTAAAAATACAATTGTCCTTCATAACACAATTGACACTTGTAAATTTACTAGTGACACCTGTAAAATTACAATTGTCCATAATTTGGACCTGTAAATTGGCAAATGCATTTGTAAAATTACAATTATTCATAATTCCAAGTTTGCACTTGTAAATACAATTGATATATGTAAAATTAAAATTGTCGTTCGTAAATTTACAACCGACACTTGTAAAATTACAAATGCATTCCGTAAATCTAAAAGGGACACCTGTAAATTTACTACTGCATCTGTAAAAATGCAGTTGTCCTTCATAACTTACAATTGACACCTGTAAATTTACAAATGCACCCCGTAAATCTAAAATTGACTCGCGAATTTATAACTGCATCTATAAAAAAAACAATTGCCCTTCATAATTTACAAGCGACACCTGTAAATTTACTAGCGACACCTGTAAAATTACAATTGGCATCTGTAAATCTACAACCGACGCCTTTAAATTTACAATTGTCATCTGTAAACCTTCACTCGATACCTTTAAATTTGCAAATGCATCTGTAAAATTATAATTGTCTACAACTGATAATTGGCACTAGTAAATTTACAACCGACATCTGTAAAATTACAAATGCATTCTGTAAATCTAGAACTGACGCTCGCAAATTTATAACTGCATCTGTACAAATACAATTGCCCTTCATAGTTTACATGTGACACCTGTAAATTTACTAGCGACTCCTGTAAAATTACAATTGCCATCCGTAAATCTATTGATGCCTTTAAATTTAAAACTGTCATCTTTAAACCTTCACTCGACACCTCCAAATTTACAAACGCATCTGTAAAATTGTATTTGTCTATAATTCATAATTGGTACTCGTAAATTTACAACTGACACCTGTAAATTTACAAATTTTGCCAAAGCATTCTCAATTGATACCTGCAAAATTACAATTGTACCTGTAAAATTACTATTGCTATCCATAATTTAACGTTGGCACCTGTAAATTTACAACCGATTCTTGTGAAATTACAATCGATACCTATAAATTAGCACGTAACGGTTGTAGATTTGCAGTTTATGGAAGACAGTAACGTTGTTGCTTTTCGCTTTTGCCTACTACGAGGAATATATCAAAAGATAAAAATCGGGAATTTTAAAAAAGATTGTGTTTTCGAATACACCAGGACAACGCCGACCTACAACCGTACCTAAATATGATGTCATGACAAAATACTATCCAAATCTAACGCAGTGTTCTGCTGCAAATTCAAGATAGAATCTATCGCTGACTGTACCTGTTCGTCGATGCTGTTATTCTCCGGCTCGTTGTCCTCGTGCGAGGAATAACTGCTGTTCTGCAAGTTCTCGTAGCTGCAGGACTGCTGCGACTGCGCCCCCTTCGCCTGGGTATAAAAAGTACTCTGAACACTAGTTATAACACTTTGTACACTACTCCCGCTCGATATATGTACATCTGAGGGTTTCTTGTTGTGCTTGTCCACGCGAAACCTCTTTAGTGTCTCCAGACGCGAGTCACTGCTGGCCGAACGCTTCGAATGTTGCGCACTAGAGTTCGCCGGATGAGGTTGCTGCGGCTGATTTACAGCACCCGTATGTCCGGGAGCCTTGGTAGGGCTGGGGCTGCGTTCGCTCTGCGGGAGGCAGCCCAGTTCGCGCTGGATGCAAGCCCACTCGTCGTAATCTTCGGGCGGGGGCTCCGATCCCAACGGTTGGCCCAGGACTTGACCCGCCTCGTTCATGGGTGGGTTAGGGGGGTCCGGTACCGCGAGAGGGAGGTTCAGCAGCTCGTTCTCGTAGTCCTGTCTTAGTTTTATGAGGGACTGTTGCTCTTCGGCGAGGAACATACGGTCCAGCATCATTAATTCAGACGTTTGGACTTGTCTCTGTAACGAAAAATTATTTTATTGATAGAAGTAGGCGTAACGTAACATCGGGACCTACCATGCTCTCCTTCATCAATAGATATTTGTACTTGTCCACCATTTTGGCGTATTTCCCTATAAAGTGTCGGGCAGTCAATTCGAAAATCTCGTCAGCCTTATCTAAGTCTTTCTCCGAGAGTACCGGCTGGTCCAGGCAGTGGTACCGTATTAGTCGAATACAAGCGTCCTTTTTGTCACGGAATGGCGTGTGTATGTCCGGCTTTATTGCTCCGTTCTGGTCCAGGTTCAACTGAGTTTCGATCCTGCAAAAAAAGTGAAGAATAGATTAAAATATGTACAGTGGTGGACAAAAAAAGCTTTCCGACAAATTAGTTCGGAAAACATTTTATTGTCCACCGTTGTACATTAGAAACAAAATATAGTAGGGATGACTTACAGGTGCGCCTTTTTCGCTAGAGAGTGAAACTGCTGCTGCTGCTGCTGGTGCTGCAACTGTTGCTGTTGTTGGTGCTGTTGCTGCTGGACGCTGGCTTGGGGTAGAGGCTGGGGGGCGCCCAATCTTTGGTTTAAAACGTGATTCGGATGGTTCTGGTGGCTCGCCGGAACGTGGTTCGGATGATGCGGAGCCTGGTGTCCAATGATTTGCTGATTCGATATCTGATGCGTCTGGACCGCGTGACTTTGATGACTCGCATGGTTGTGATGCTGGCTGGTTTGGCTGGCGTGTTGGTGAGGATGATGGGAGTGGGTTAAGGGATGGGTGTGAGGGTGGTGGTGTACGGTTTGTGTTGACGAATGCTCGGTAGACGGTACGGATACGGATATCCTCGGTACCGCATGTGCTTGTGTCGTGACGGGCTGAAACAAAGTAAGGTTAAGTGTCACAAAACTGACTGTTACTGATTTATTTACATTTTCATCACAAAGATAATAGTTAAATGTGTCGTGATAAAAATACCAATTAAAACAATGCATTTTAATTTTACTGCACATAAGTTATTTATTTGCGCGAACTTCTTACGAGAACTATGAGCTAAGAGTGTGTGGCAATAATTTTTTAACGAGCTGATAAAAATAGTCAATCTTATCGTTGTCATTAAAAATAACAAATTTATCTGATATCACACAATGCAATTTTTGATAAAACCTAACTACAAATGTCAGGATTAACTTCATATTTCAATACAAATTAATTTTGAATGTTCCACATTACGATTTGTTTGCCTTGAATGTTGTTTTTTACTGTTATCATTTTCACTCACAACAAAAGTGTACGCCGACACTTATCTTATTCAGACAAAAGTACAATTTAATGTTATCTATACTTACAGTGAATCAGCTAAATTGTGAAAGCAGTGAGACATTTTATATGTACACCACATACATTAACCGAAGTTGATAATTTAATATTTATGTATAATTACTGATAATTTACGACTTGAATATAATTTCTACTGATAAAAGCGTTAAAGATTTGTCAAATGTTTCTCTGTTGCAGTTCAAGATCAGATTTATGTTATGTGTGTCGTCATTTTAAGTAGAAATTCCTACTAAAAACTATACGATTATTTCTTCCAAATAAATCTTAATTGATCGTGCAATTCTTCCTCGTCAAAAAGATGTGTGATGCGACATTTTCTTATATCCAATTTAAGTATTGTTAAATTTATTGTATTTATCATATTTTATTAATTTTACATTATTTTTTTTGTTCATCACATTGTATGCCGGTTTCTTTATCATTGTATACTCTTTTTTCTTCTTTGACTCGTGATGCATAACAATGTATTTTGATGAATTTTTTTTTTATTATTTTTTATTTAGAACAAACGTTTATTAGCAACAAATTAAATTTTTTAACAAATTTTGTTCCACATTCTCTAATTTTTGTTGAAATCTGATAGGTAGATAAACCAAAAAAAATACGTGTTGATATGTATTAAACGTAATGAACAATTATCAACGAGATAAAACTGATAAAACACGATCAGATACAAATGTGGAGTGCCTAATAAGCTCGTATTTGTAGTGATAACATTTTATGTGCGATATAAAAAAAGATTAGTAAAAACTAATCACGTAATTTATATAACATACAGGATCTCCTAATTTCCATGCATACAGGTCAATAACATTAATAAAAATCAATATTTTTTATTAAATAAACCCTAAAAATGAAGCCTGGTCATTAAAAAATACTTTCTTTCCCTTATTATCTCAGTTCCACTTAGAAGTGTGAAAAAAATTGAAAACCCTGTCTTTATATCAGCGTAATTTTAAGAAAACATTCTATTTAAATATGACAAAAGACACGCATTTTTTTTTATTTTCTTTCATACTTCAACTGTAACGGAGATAATAGGGAGTGAGAGGCAAATGACAATTTTTGCATAACAATCCTGAAAATCATCGTATTATACAAATTCTAAGATTACTACAGTTTTTTTAGGTGCCGTTTTTAGAATATAACAATTGTTTTAGATAATATCTAATACCTACTACAAAGCTACTCTACGCCTCACAAAATGCACCAATTTCCATAAAATAGATTCACATTTAAATTTTAATAAAGTCAAAATGTATTAGTTGCTGGAAAATTTTCATTTATTTTATGATCCATTCATTTATTATTTTTTTAAATTAATACACTTTTTCTTGTATAATTAATCTTTAATATAACAAAAACTATAGGCCAAACCAAAAGATATATATTGTGTTATTAATGTCAGATAAAAAAAATTGCTGATACCGTTTTTTAAAAATTAGCACCTAAAAAAAATCACAAGACCGAGGTTTGTAATTCTGGGAAAATTAATTTCCAAATAAATGTATATACTTTAGGTCCCTTTAATAAAAGGTACTTCAAAATTTTATTTACGTATTTATTTATTTACTTATTTATTTAGTTACTTATGTTAATGCACTATACACCTATAAATCGGGACATCCTGTATGTGAAAAAAAGTACACATTTCCATATTTTTTCACAAATATAATTTCTGATACTTGTCCACAAAAGGAGAGGAATTCAGGACTGCTAGTGATAAATTCTTAGTGTTAAAAAAATCATGGCGGGAAAATCATTAACATTTTGAGGAATCAGTTGAAATACACTTAAATTTTGTGTAGATTTTATTAATCGATCTTTGTCTCATATTTCATCTTCAAGTTATTATATGTCTAAGCAGTATTTAATTTAAAAATATTATTTTTTAGTACATACGGCATATAATAATGCTTTAACGTTAAATAAATAGCCGAGTTATAATTCATTTTTTAAACTGCACTTAAACTCTTGTCTACGCCGCCACTGGGCAGCGCCCAGACTAGGTTGTACATGTACTCTTATCAGTGTGGGTTATCTTTTTAAATCAACCGTTTGAAGCAAACGGAGAAGTAGAGAGCCAAATTGCAATAGAAAATAATTATGTTTAAACAAATTGCTCCTGTATAACTTTGTGGCAGGATATTTTAAAATCGCCATGTGTTTTTAATGTTAATGCAGACGTAGCATATTAAAAAGAAATTTCGAGTCTATAAATTATTATTTAATAACCTATATATAAAAACGGGCCAATTAAGGTCAGATTTCACGAATTTTCAAAAAATAACAGATTCGCGCCAAATTTGGTATACGGGGGTTTTCGGGGTCGCTGATCACAGATCTGAGGTCAGTTTTGCAAAATTCAAGATGGTGGATTCAAGATGGCCGACCAAATTTTTAAAAAATAAAAGATTCGCGCTAACTTTGGTATACGGGGGTTTTCGGGGTCACTGATCACGAATCCGAGATCAGATTTACAAAATTCGTTTTTAAAAATTTAATCAATTACTTATGTACTAAAGACTGTTAAAACATGATTGGGTACTCAGGTTATAAAGTAAACAAAAATATTACAAAATGAATTTCACAATTCTGACCTCGAATTCGCAATCGGCGAACCCGAAAACCCCCGTATACCAAATTTGGCGCGAATGGGTTATTTTTTGAAAATTTGGTCGGTCATCTTTGATCCGCCATGTTGAATTTTGCAAAATTGACCTCGGATCCGTGATCAGCGAACCTGAAAACCCCGTATACCAAATTTAGCGCGAATGGGTTTATTTTTTGAACATTTGGTCGGCCGTCTTGGAGCCGCCATCTTGAATTTTGCAAAATTGACCTCGGATCCGTGATCAGCGACCCCGAAAATCCTCGTATACCAAATTTGGCGCGAATCTGTCATCTTTTGAAAATTAACCTGTTTTGACCCGTTTTTTTTTTTGAGGTTAGAAAAAGAACCATCAATTTTGACCGCGGATTCACGTTCGGTGGGGTTTTAACCATATAAATAAAAATTTGAATATAGAAAAAAAAAATTCTATTTTTCCTAGCACTTTTTCGTGAATTTTTGCTATTTTTGACTTGTTTTTTGAGGTTAGGAAATTCCTGTGATGTGATAGTTCAATTCTGATACCAGATTTGTGATCAGGAGGCAAAAATACTACGGATAACATATGTCGCATGAAAAGTACAGACAACTTTTTTTTGTGTGGCTGTGCTGTGCTATTTTTGTTGTTTTATAAAATGTACATAATAAAAAATAAATAAAAATACTGATCTGATAGATTTGAAATATACTTCAAAATAATTTCAAGTTTTAAAAAACTATTTGTTACTATTTTCTTAAAGCACTGTGTTTAGTTCGTGAATCTCAATATTAATGACCTTATTTAAGTGAACGACATAATATCAATTTACCTGATGTGTTATGACCAGAGAGCGGACAATTAGTGTCTTTAACCTTGAACATAGATATGTCATTCATAAACATAGATACATTATCCATGACGCAGTGGCGTGTCGGGTATGCATCGGGAATTTACGTGATAATTCACGAAAATTCCTTGGTACATACATTTTTAGGCTTTATAAAGTATTTAGAAAATCAGGAATTGTATAACTACATATTTATTAAATTCCGTTCCGTTTTTTTAATTGGAAATTAGGAGTTAATGTAACGAATATCCTCAGGCGACACACATGATAGAATAGTCCAATCCACGCTCCATTCATAACAGGGCTGCAGTTTGAATTCTGACCAATAGGAATTCGATAAACGCAACCGATGTCGACAGATGGACTAGAGATGGGCGCGAGTGTCATTTCATTTCTTTAGAACTAAATTAACTTAATTGTTTTTTCGTTGTTTTACCAGTTTACATGCTTTACGGATTTTAAATAAAGGATACAAATCTTCGCGAGGATAATACGATATATTTGTTATACATAATAATTATATTTTGCATAGTTTACACACAATACATTTTTGAATGCGTACGCATCTTTACTCGAATTTGACCTAATCTTCGGGTTAAAGACACACACTGTCCGCTCTCTAGTTATGACGTTCAGGCACGGGTCGTCAAAAAACCAATGGCCAAAATTCAGCAAAATGAGAATGGCCGAATAAGTCACCACTTCATTTTATTACATTTTACATTTATTTTAGTTCTCAGTTTATCAGTTTACGAGAAGGTGTTTCTAATATGGTAAGTTCCCTTAAAGTAACCTTAACCTTAAGTAACCTTAAAAAGTTATTTATTTCAGTATTTACTGACTGTCCAGCGACGAAGTATGAAAATTATAAAAAATCAATTTATAAAATTGATTATATTGTTTGCAAGAAAACAAAATAATCTAAACAAACTTACCTGATGACTACTAGTGGACTGTGTCTCCACGCTGGTACTCCTGACGATGCTCTGACTGTTGCATAAAACCGGCACTGGACTCGGACTCGGCGGCGGCTCGCTCTTCACGTGAACCGGCGACGGCAGATTTAGACTGGACGGATTCACGATAGTAAGTTGATTGTTGTGGTAATAGACCTTGTCGGGCGGTAATAGTTTCCCAGAAGCCAAAATCTTCTGCTGCTCCGCGAACAGCAGCTTCAAGGCGTTCTGTACTTCCGTCGTGTCTCCCTGATTCATCCTGGCCGATAACGTCTGGATCTGCAGTTGTATGCTCTTTAAGTGCTGTTGTTTCTGGGGCGTCAACTGTATGGTGGTGATTCTTTGCTGCGGCTGAGCGGGGGGGTTCGGCGGGGCTACGCCGCTGCCCGCTACATTATTCACGCTGCTAGACTCCTCTAAGATTTGACCTAAAAGCTTATCCACGTCGGGGTTGGTATTGCTGCCGTTCGAATCCTGCGACTGGTGTGCGATTACGGTAGGGGCGACCTTCTGCTGTTTGGGGGTTTGCGGGGATATCGGCATGGGTTTAGGGCGTTCCATGGGCACCTTCTGCTGGTTCTGGACAGAAGGTTGGACCATGGCCTGCGGCTGGACCATCGCCTGGGGCTGTATGGGTTTGCTTTGAATGGGTTGAGGTTGAACGTGATTTTGAGGTAGAATATGTTTCGGAGGTGCTGTTAAGGCACTAACTATGGGTTTACTAGCGTTTTCCTTGATCTGTTCCGTGTTGTTGCTGGTTTTGACGGAATCGTTGACGTTGTCTTGCAGAAAACTCTTTATGCTCTGGATTTTGTTCACCTTCTTGACCGGCTTGGATTTGGGAGACATTTTCTTTTCGTTTTGTTCCTTGTTAGGGCGTTGCATGAAGATAGTTTGACCGTTAACTGTTAACTGCCCGTTGCGCTTCAACTGTTCTAACTGGTCCGGCGTTAGGTTGACCACGTAAGATGTCGGTGGTGGATTGTTCTGGTTTTGTTGATTTTCGTTAATGTTGTGCTGTTGTGACGGTTGAACTTGCTGCTGCTGTTGTTGTTGCTGTTGGTTGATAGAATGGTGCTGAATCGGTTGCACGGTTTGTACGGGTGGTTGAGACTTTTGAAATGGTTGCACTTTCAAAACGGGTTGGGTCTGGGTATGCGTCTGATGAGAGTTAAAACCTTGTACATTCTGCACAGAGTGCACCGGAGACTGTATTGGCTGAGGGTGTACACTTTGTACATTCTGCTGCACACTTTGTACATTCTGCTGTACACTTTGTACGTTCTGTTGTACACTTTGTACATTCTGCTGCATGGCTTGCACATTCTGTTGAACACTTTGTACATTCTGCTGAACACTCTGCACATTCTGCTGCACTCCTTGGATGCTTTGTACGTTGTGCATGTTTTGTACACTTTGTATGGCTTGCGAATGTACGTTTTGCGGCTGGACGTGCGAGTGGACCGTTTGAGTTTGTACCGCATGATTCTGCTGCTGTAACAAGCTCTGAATCTGTCCCTGAATCTGAGACTGCAAGCTGTGCACTTGAGACTGAGATATAGAATGTATGGGCTGAACTTGTGAGTGTATGCTGTGTATTGGCTGCGGCTGTACAATTTGCATTGGTTGCTGCAGGGCGTTAACGGTTTGGTGCTGTATCGTTTGCTGCACAGTCTGCTGTTGAATCTGCGGTTGTAGGGATTGTATAGTGTGCTGTACTGCCTGCGGCTGCACCGTTTGCTGTTGTACCGTTTGTATAGTTTGCGATTGTACCGTTTGCTGCTGTATGGTCTGTACAGATTGCTGTTGAATAGTCTGAACGGTTTGTTGCACAGTCTGTTGATCCATTGAGGGTTGCAACACCAGTCCCCCGTTTAATCCCAGCAGACTTTGTAGTATTATTTGAGATTGGAGATCTTGATTTAAGGTGGGATCGTGTTGCAGAACCAGTCTTCCGTCCTCCCCCATTGTTAACTTAAAACCGCCACTCCTTTGAAGCATGAGGCCATTGTTTATGGTAAAATTGGGAGTTATGAAAGAGTTGAAGGGTATGCTGGCTTGTGCGGTAGCTGCCTGGGAAGTACTGTTTGAAATCATTCCACTCTGGAAGTTTTGGTTGAGCACCTAGAATATAATTTATATTTATAAAAAAAATCATTTTCAAGTTGCATTGGATGCAAGTAAAAAGATGCAGAAAACCAAGATTAAATACTGTTTACTTTCACTGTATCTTGAAAATGAATTAACCACAGTTAAATAGGAAGAGTTGATCATGTCTTGAATTTTAAATTTACTCACCTGAACTACAGGAGCTGTTGCGTTTATGGTAGGCTGGGCCATGGCCGATATCTGTATATTCTGAATATTTTTCTTGGCGTCTGTGTGTACGTAATTTGACTGTGCCTGCACGGTGCTGCTCTGCACGACCTGCTGAGGCTGAGGTTGCGGCTGAGGCGTCGTCGGCACCGAGTTGTGTTCGCTCTCACTCTGTGAAGTATCACTCTCGAACTGGATGTCATCTTCGTCCCCAATGCCGGACAGTTTCATTATGTTAGCGAGATCGAGTTTCTTTTTCACCTTGTGCTTCGGCTTCCTCTTCATCTGCTGCTGCACTATCTGCTGCTGGTGGTGATGGGCGTTGTTTACGATTGTTTGTTGTTGAGCGATGTGCGTAGCGTTGATGGGTTGCTGATTGCCCACCTTGTAAGAAACAGTTTTAACACAAAATTTGAAGGAAACCCACAGAAAATGTGGATGACATTCAAATTACAGAAGAATATTGCCTCATGTATTTTAACACCATTAGCAGAAACTTTATTGGGCAACTAAAATGAAAGATGCAACTACCTAGTAAAAAAACTTGTTAAACTTTTATTGAAGTTTAATCTATCATGCGAGAAAAACTATTTGTAAAAATTCAGGGCAATCTAAGTATTGTCTCCTCAATACATTCAACTGTTTCGAAGTTAGTTTAGTTCAATGATTTGATTTGACTAGAACATGTAACATCAAATTGTGATGCGAAAGTGTAACCGTGGTAAACTTTACTCCTAAAGAATAGTGTGACATATTAATTATGTACGGTGCTGGAAAACGTAAGCGAATGGGAGCATGCATGCAAATTTTTTAATAAATGTGTACCAAGAGAAGAAAATCTTTCACTGAACCCCGAGAAATGGTCCAGTGGTCAGTTATTACAAAACAAAGCTGAATTATTCTTTAGACGATCGAGGTTACGTTTATAAATCAACACTCTACTACAGATTTATTTACAGCTTCACGCTAATGCTTACCTGAGTAACATACGTCGTGGTAGATGGCGCCAGCTGCATCCCGTTGGTCAGAACCCTCACCATGGGCTGGGATCTAGGCGGTTGGATTTGCAAGAGTTGCTGCCCGCCGGGCTGCAAGATCAAACCTTGGGCTGTAGCCGTTTGCATCTGCGGCTGTATCTTGGTAGCTGCCTGAGGGCGTAGGATGAACTGAACGCCTGGCGTGGTGAGCATCGGCATCTGGTTGAGGAGCAGAGGCTGTGCAGTCGGCATTATAGTTGCCGTTTGTTGGTGGTTCGTAGGTATCACAATTTGGGGGCTAGAAGAGCCATTGAAGAGTTAATTTTGAGTTAACGGTAATTTAGTATTGTGCAATAAATGTTTTAATACTTAATTTCTTTGTGTACGCAAAATTTTATTTGTATTATTGTAACGACGATAACTGGACTAAAAAAGGTTATTTTTTCATACATAAGATAGCTGAAGAAATATTTTATTAATGTATTTTGAAAGCAAGTCATATTTTACAAACATAATGTTAAGTTCATTTATAAAAATACTGAACAGTAACAAACTCACAGTAAAATTCAAATGAAATTAGAATGTATATTGAGGCTATTTTTTTTAAGTAAATTATTTTTAAATTCTATGCAGTATTTTTAGATCCATGGTCTACTGTTGAAATCTTGCACCAACAATAAGCTTTTAATCAAATTGTTATAATTTTTAATACAAAAAATGAATGCCAGTTAAATATTATAGCCTTATTAAAAATATTGCACCTTTGTAACTATTTAATTATACATTAGGATTTTAGTTTATTTTGATAACCTTGACTAAAATTAACATAGCAATATATAAAGGAAGGCGACAAGCATATATTAAATACTTAATAAATATTGAACACTTACAATAAAATTTTGCATATTTAACTTCGAAGTTTAACAAAAACTTAAAAAAACTGCATTTCAAATAAAATATATCAATATCAGTAAGAAAAAGATATCAACAGATTTGTAAGAATCTAGAAAGAGATGTATCAAAATATATATCGACTCGCATGGGTGCCATTTTGTAAATATTTTGTAAATGTCACTTAAATAAATCCTATTTTTTTTTAAATTACTAATTTGTACAAAAATAGTAAATACTATAGAAAAATGTCATTCTGAAAAAATATCTATTTTTATCTAAGGGAATCGCATATGTACAAATACGTATTTATACTGTCTGTCGGTACCTAATTATTTATTTTTGGCATTTTCAGTTACTTTTTTTATTTGCTTGGGTATTTTGTCACACTGAAAATAGTCCTAAAAACAATCAAATTTTCAAAAAAAAAGCAGTGCAACAAGTACGAAGAGTTTTACAATGAACAAAGGGATGAGCTTGAAAAGGGAATTTTTTTTATTTTATGGTGTCGATACTATTAAACAATTCTACTTATGCTCACATGTACAAGAATCTAGTTTTAAGTGGGCTGACATATATAAAGTATATGTAGCTGATTTTAGCTCTAGAACTCAATTAACTCTCGGAAAACACTATGACCCACAAAATTTTTTGATCGTGAAATTCGTAAAGAAATTTAAAAATATCATTTTAAATGCTTGTCGTGGTCTGCAGAGAGCTCTGTCTTCGTTAAGTAGCGTTTGAAATTGACGTTAGGTCAGTGTGATCCAGGTGTGTAACTACTGCCAATTTATTCAGTTATTTGTAAAGGATAAAAAACAAAAATAATGTGGCCATCTTGTTTTCGACCAATGTGCGACGACCATTGTGCATACCTTTGCAACGATTGTGCCGGTGAAGAATAATACTTACAGAATACTTTTATGATTTGAAGTTTTTTCAAACAAATGAGAATACTTTTTACATTAAATACTTTATTTTCTTCATTTACGTGATGAATAAGAACTTTTTTATGTTTTAGTTGAAAAATACAAGTATTTTTGCACCCAAATAATGAATTAACTTCGAATTTAAAAAAATATATCTTTTTTTTCAAAGCTACAGTACATGACTATTTTTTAAAGTATTCTAGCATACTTCCAGTTTCCACAAATTTTGGCTTAAAATATTAAAAATTAAAAAAGTTATAACCTTCGTAAAATTCAATTTAAAAGATTTTTTTGCGAATTTTTTTAACCTTGTTAATGTCATCAACAATGATTAAATTTTGCATGAATTATTTCTATCGGGTCTTAAGTGTATCTCAGAATTTTTTCAAGCCAATCGGTCCAGCCATTGCAAAATGCTACACAATTAAAAAAAGTTTCAGATTGACCTGGACTGTTCTTCGTGGTTGGGAAAATAGGTGTGTTCTTAGAGGGTTAAAAAATTAATCAATTGCGCCAAAAAAATCGGTCAAGGATTATTTTAAGAAGCTATATTTTGTCTAGCCATAAATATCACACCCAGACAAATAAAAAAATACACTTCACTAATCACGCACTTGAGTTAGATAAGGTTTTGAAACAATCTGTTTATGTTCTCAAAACTAGGAATTAAAGAAAACAAAATTCTTTTTCAAAACTACTAACTGAAGTGTGTGATTTAATGACGAGTATTATTTATTTGCCTTGCCCTCACATTTGACAAACTACGAATTTATTATCATTATTTACTACTGCATTATAATAGTTTAAGTAAATTGTAACCAAAAAATTCTTCTTTATTTTCAGGATTCTCCAAGTTGAGAAAACGTATAAACTCATATCGGTTTCCCTATTTTAGTAACCAAATTTTTTTGTCGGTATCTTCCACCTAATGTATTTCAAAAAGCATTATTTCAAAAATTATAGCTACAGTGGCTGCCATAAAGTTTGCACCAAATAAGAAATGTTCTTCGGAAAAATTAACTTTTAATAATTTTTACTTGTCTGAAGCTAAAATTTTAAATAAATTTTTTGGAATGTGGAATTTTTAGCCAGGAAAACATTAATTCCACTTATTGTTAAATGTGTGCTCTAAAAAAATATATGTAGGAGCCTAAGAAAAAATAAATTAACCACAATTTAAAACAACTGAAAATAATTCAAAACCGACACAATTTTTTGATAAATATTATCTTTAATTCAAAGAAGACATTTAAATTCTATCAAAATAAGTGAATAATGTGAAAATGTGGTTAATAATTCCGTTTTGAAAAATTTTAAAATTATTTTTAATTTTTAAGAAAATGCGACTGTTGTTTGTGCTTATTTGGTATTCGAACAAAATAATGTTTCTTTTTTCTAGAATTAATTATAATAAAAAAATTTCATGACATTCAGAAGTAGTATTCATGTAATCCCCGGATTCCCAGAATCAACACCTACATTAGTTTTAATTTCTTGTATCTGTTGGGCTTAAAACTATATTTTTGTATATTTAAATATAAGTACATTTTTTTAAGAATGAATTTGTTCCATAAAATGAAACATAAAAAAGTGTCTTCTTTTCAACTTCATCGTGGACACCCTGTATATGACCGAAGAATTTGATAATGTTACTGCAGGGAAAAGCAACTATTTGAATTAAATATATTAACCGAAACTTCATTTAAATGTAGATAATTAAATATGTTATGCACCTTTTATATCAAATTTAAATTTTAACATCTTTATGATCAAAAACAGAAAAAAATGTCTTACGCTGCTGTTGGTCGATTACAAAACCAGTTACGAAATACATTAGGATTGGTTAATACCTGTCTTTTAATACCAAGATCTTTAACATAGTAATAAAAATGAACTTACCTGACACTTGGCTTAGGGGACGGCTGAGGACTAGCTGATGGTTTCGGTAGAATATTGAGATGAGGTTTCAATTTTATAATATTTTGCGGTTGTGAGGTCTGCATAGGCCTTGCCAGCAAGTTGTTGTGAATAATCTGCATGACGGGAAAATTAGGTTGGGGTGTCGGAGGCTTGAGAGATGGGGAAGGTGATTTCAAACTAGCTGGTGACGAATATGGCGAAGGGGGATAACCAGGACTCGGATTAGAATAGGCCGGAGACATGCTGGTTACTATCTGAGGTTTCTTAACAAGATTGAGGTTATTTGAGCCAACCACAGTGCAGTTGGTGCTTAAATTCTCATAATCTATCTTCTCCTGTTTGATGGTTTGGTAGGATGAACTTTTCGGTGATTTACACATTTTTTGCACTGGTTTGTGAGGATTTTGAGACATTTTTTCACAACACTTAAATTCCGAATTAAAGCACAGTTTCTCTTAAGTACATCTTTCTTTTACAATCACCTTGGAATGTTGAAACTTTATCCTAGATCATAACTTCTTAGTTAAATGAAGTTAATTAATAAATTACTGTTTATCATTATTACACCACATTATTACTTATCCGAACTCGAATAAAGCCATTTTATCGTTGTATACATCGAAAAAATATAAAACTGACAACAGCATTATTTCACAAAGGGGTTGAAAGGCATTTTTTACTGTTCACACACAAACTCAACTAAAACGTAGCCACCGAACAGAAAACAATATGTATATCGCTAATTTCTTTAAGTAGCCACTGAATCCCTCTGAAGACAGTCGATTATTTTGTTAAACCTGGAACAAATGAAGGAAAACTTAAAATCCAAACATAACCTCTTTAAAAGTATCAAAATTTACCCATTTCCCGACATTTTCTGTATAAGCAACACTAGTATTTCACAAAATCAGGGTTTCATTAATCAATATCCTATACTTAAATATAATTTAAGACTAATTTTTATTTGTTTATAAACAATTCTGCAAATTCGCAACCAGAAATATCACTTCACCGCCATCTTTTACGATGCGCCTATTTCTTCTGCTTCTTCTTCGTCCCATTCCCCTCCCCCGCCTAACAAAAATGGACCAGTCCAACAGATTCAAGGTTTCCAATAAAAAATATATAAATAAACATATTTACATTAAAGGCCTATATATTCATCAAATTTATCTTTATAATGATTGATGGACGCATAAGGATTGTCAGATTAATGCCTTCATAGGGTGCTGTTTATTGTAGAAAGCAATAAAAAATCATTTATCAAACGAATCTAGTGGGTGGGGAGAACAAATGAAAGTCAATGAAGGAGTGGGGGAGAGAATGTATGTTAAAAATCTTAAAAGGAGGTGAAAACAAATATATAAACAATAAATAATGTAATTAATAAACAAAAATTAATTAGCCATTATTTTTTTAAATGATTGACGATTAATATACAATATCATCAAAAAATCAATACGAAAGTTAGGTTACAAAGAAACTCAAGGTAAAAATTCATGCGACTGATCATGTGAGGTCCTGTAAATCAAAAAAACAATCATTTTTTTAAAAAATACGAAATTTTAGGCCGTTTTCTAACAATAAACAGCATGGAACTCCAACCCACACCGTTTTCAACATAAAATGAATAAAATTCTACGTACCTTTTAACAATTTTCACTTCATGGGTAAAAACGGGGTTTACGCTAGCAAAAGCAGGGCATTCGGCGATCTGATTGGTTGCCTGGAAGCGTCATTTGATACACAAAAAAATAACATTTACTTTGAGGTTAGACAGGATGGTATTCGACTTTAAACCTTAATGGCACGGAACATAGAGAATAATTAATTGAAGTAAATCTTTTTGAAATGACTTGATACCATAATCATTTATTATAACTAGATTGTTGAATATATATAATAGCATAGCCATTTTACAAATAGTTTTACACAGTTAAGATCACTACCAAGTCCCCAACCTTAATTTCTACGAGTAAATGACAAACGTAAGACTTTCAGTTCGAGGCCCAGGACAAAACTTTATTTTTTACAAATGTATGAACTTTATAACTAAATTTTAATCAATAACGAATGATTCGACAAAGCATATAGATAGGTACATAGTTATAGGTGCATCAATTTGCATATCGATCGTATTAATATGGCGATTAAAAGTCCATCCTCAGTCTTGTGACCTCGAATTTATAATTTACATCACCTAGATTGTTTTACTTATATATTTTTAAAAATGCATTTTCTTTGCAAAGCAACAAGCAATCAACTCTTAAATTGCAAGATATTTTGTTACATGAAACAGAGGTGAAATTAATTGGCGTTTAATCAATCTCTACAACCTTGAGGCGACTCGGTTTGAGATCGGCGGGAAATTCAAACGGTTTGTTGTAAGTCGTTTAAAAGTTAAGGCTATTAAAACTGTTGATTGCGTATTATTATTAAAAGGTAAAAAAACACGTTATTTAGAGTCAGTATAAATACAAGGGTTTTTATTTACTTTTATTGAAAAACCTCATAAGAAAACACTTATAATACTTATACTAAATTTCATATAAATAACAATGGAGTTTTGAAAATGAAAAATTAGGTTAGTTTCGCTAACAAATACCATTTGTCAAAGATCAAATTTAAATTATTATCGATATATTTTCAACATTGTTCTTTTAACGTATTTTTTTTTCAAAATGTGTTGGTGAAAATAAACCTCATCAAACAAAATCCACTGAAGACTTGGATATAAGTTATTTGAGAAACACCAGCTGCTCGAACTTACAGAAAATGAGTTGAAATGATGATCCTTTTAAATTGTAAATGGTATATTTCATCCACTTTTTGGTATTGAAAAAATATTCAGATAAATTATACCATTTCTCTTCAAAGATATGAAAACAAAATTATTACGAGTTAGAAATTACGATAACTATATACACAAAAGATCTGTGATTTTAAGAACATTCCATTGTGGCCCAAGAGTTTGAGTTTTCATTGAACGCTGGGACATCTACAGGGGTATTATTTTCAGTTTCAGTGGTAGAAGAGGTGCCAGGACCAGGCTGTTCTACAGCTGCGCCATTCTCCTGGGGATTCGTTTCTTCCCAGTTGATTTTAAACCTTGTTACTCTAGGTTCCGATGCCAATATATTTCTTATAACCTAAAATAATTTTTCAACGAAATCAAACTATTTCTGTATTAAAATTTCTTTTACCTTGTCGAACTGTGGAGGGCTGGGCAAATTTTCCCTCATCTCCGGATCACTATATTCATTGTTGATGAAATAACCTACTCGAATAAATTCTTGACCCCTATAGGAACAAGTTAATAATACTACTGTTACCCCGATGGCATCATTCTCTGGGATTCTCGAGACATTTGGTGGATCAGCCTAAAAAAAAAATACATTCAGCAGTGGTAAAACCGTACAAAGCTCATAACTTTTATCTTACCTGGAATACAAACATATGTTTACCTTCTGGAATAGGTCCTACAAACACGGAATCCAAAACTTGATCATACTCTTCACTTTCTGCAGACCCAACATATATCATTTTCCATTCCAAATCTTAAAACAGTTATAGATTAGTGATACATCAAAACACCCTTGTGAAATCAAATCGTTACCTTCTTTAAGTTCCTCTATACACTCGAAAGTAATTTCAAACTGAAAAGGGTTTAAGAATGGGCTAGGGTTATCCATCACGGTAATATTACACAGTTGAACTTTTGCCATATTTTTAGAAAAAAACTGATTTGCAACCCACAAAAAAACGGATTATAAGTTTTGACTAACACCGCACTAGTAGGAAAATTACTCAAGTTGATAATTGTGTCGTTAAAGTGTAAAAAAAAATTAATTCAATAAATTTATTGCACAAAAACAAACTACTTCGCTACTATTTGACAACCAAAGAATATTTACGCGCCTAGACAAAACCATAGATTAAATACAAAGACAAAACCACAAATTATTTTATGTTTATTACCAACATTAACGACAGAACACACATCCATCACGAAGTAGCTGCCAACATTGAAAATTGCCAAAACAGAAAATTATCTGGGGTTATAAGGTAAAAATTATATTTAGGTTGGTAATTCAGAATTTCTAAAAAAACATTTGATAATAGAATATAAAAAAAATATTTAAACATTTCCTTTGTGACAATTGGAAAAATTTGTAATTGTGATTTGTGTTGCCCTGCCTGGAGTTATTACATTTTTAATTATATGCGTTTTACATTTCTTCTAACATAGTGTTCTAAATATAGTGATAATTCAACCGCACAATTAACTTAAAATTCGTGTTCAGCATTTTCAATTTTTCAGCAACTTTGAATGTAATGGAGGAAGGGGGAGGATAGAAAAATTTTGTTAAGAATTTAAGCGCCTTCTGCTATGATAAATAATTACCAAAGTACATTACATTAGAACTAATATATTGTTACATAAGTTTTAAGCATGATACAACTGAGTCCAGCCTATTTTTCTATGAAAATTGTTTTCTTACTTTTTCCATTAAACAACAAACGTCAAAATTAAGGGTAGACTAACCCAATTAACCTCAAATATACGAAGAATTCACTAGTGTGGACAAGAACACCCTGTAGTCAGTAAAAATGAATCTGTAAGTAGGATCAAAGAAATAAAACATATATTTGACTATTTATTCTAAAATATATTTGGTACTTTTTACAAAAATAAGTAACATTAAAACCTATATTAATACAAGTAGTGTACATTGAAATAAGGCACAAGTTAAGGGAATGTATATATGCTTACAAGAAAAATCTGTGTTGTCACTTTGTAGACAAAAATACAAAAAGAAATAAAAATAAAAACCTCTACATAAACTTACATTAAAATATTAGAAAATATGAATTATCACATACGTAGAAATAACAAAACTTTTATATATAAAATTTAAAATAAAAGTTCTTAAAGTTACAAATACAGGATACAATATCAAGAGACAGTCCATAAAAAAAAACTCGGCCGTTTCATCGGGCAAGCTACGCAACTAATGAGCAAAGAAACTTGTTTAACATGAATTTTAACAATAATGTACATTAGATCACTTATTGAATTGAACAGCCATGGGTAAATATTTTTCTTAAGAAACAGTCTAATAGATTTTCATTCCGCAAGTGGAACGACAACTAGTGATTTTCCTGCGTTAATAAATTCATATTCTAGGCAAAAGCGAGAAGTACGGAGTATTCCAGCAATTTGGAATAAGGCCACAATTTTATATGGCTACCGAGTAAAAACTTCTTTATGTGTACACTGTAAACTTGCGCAATATTTTAAAAAGTTTTGCACAAAAAATATATGACAAAAGCTTAAAACAAGTAAAAAAAATATATGACTGTAAAGGGAAAATGTAAATTATTACAAACATTTGCAAAAAACTTGTTAAATAACCATCAGGTCAGAAGAATGTAGATGACGAACAAATTTAACCGGCCAATTTACCGATTTAGAAAGGTGAAAACAATAGTTAAAAAAAATTTTTAGAAATTAAAAGTGTTGTGCTATTATTAAACTTACCTGGTTTTATGTAGGTACAATGAGACCAGCAGGCTAAAGATTTCCACAAACATCAATTTCTAAGATGTTTAAAAAAATAGTTTTTTTTACTTAAAATAAAGAACGGGGTAAGAGAATGAAGTTGTGGTGTTTCAAAGAAATATATAATATATAAAAAGCACAAAACCTGCTTCGTCTAAATCTAAACAATTATATAAATCGTATACTGTTAAAAAATAATTCCGCCTCTCGTGTAGAGCTTAAAAAACCGTGAAATGCTACTGGAAACGTGATAAATAATAGACAGCTATGTATTTAAATTCGGAATAACTCCATACTTCGAAAAATGACGGTAAATCACTTTTATTAGAAAGTAGTTGTGCTGACGCTCCTATTCACCTTCTTCCCGATCAACCTGGAGTTGATCTTGGCGATAGAAGGCAACTTGGCGCTCTCGCTCGCGATCGATTTTATGCAAATAGCCGCCTCTTTAAGTTGTTTCACCAACATCTCGTTCCGCATCTTCTCGGCGTTGAGTTCTCTAGTCAACTCGGCCTTGGATTTGCTACTATCGGGGGACAGTGCCCTGTTCTGAATGATCTGAGAGGTGGATGGTCTCAGTGTGGGATCCGGGTGGATCATGGACTTGATCAGATCCATCAAGTCGCGGTTGAGTTTTTGCGGTAAGGGCGGCAGCTCGCCGCGTCGGAGCTTGTGCCAGTCTTCCCCGTTCTTGGGAAGAGGGCCAGCACCGGCGCATTCCAAGGCGGTCAGTCCCAGAGCGAAGACGTCGGCTTTGGTTAGGTGGGAGTAGTTCTCGTGGAGTATTTCGTTCGGAAGGTACCTGCAGTCGCCTTCCTCTACCTAAAATTGGTTAAATACCGTTGTAAAATGGACCAAAACTCGCACAAATTATTGGTCAAGTTGCTATTAATATAACGAGCATGAATAAATAATTTGCCAAAGACAAAAGATGTCTCGGTACGGTATAAACTCGATTATCCGGACCTCAATCCAAATTATCTCTTATCCAGAGCTCTTAATTTCTGCAAGTATTGTTGTAAAGTCGGCAGATGATGATCAAGTACAAATACAAGCTCCAAATACGTATTATATAATTTTGTTATCCCGATTTTCGATTCTATGACCTATAATATTATAGTCCGGATAACCAGGTTCATACCGTATTTGAATTTAATTTCAATAATTATTAATGTGTCTTCGTTAACAAATTAAAAAATTCTAAAAAGCTTTCCCACTGTGCACCATATTTCAATAATTTAAATGGGACACAATTATCCATAATATGAATATCATAAGCATAATCTTATACGAAATGCAGGGATTTCAAGTAGATCTCTCCAACTTGTCATCACATTCAAGATAAATAAAAATTATAGTGTGTTAAAGATTTTTAAAAATATTACATTTGCAGAAATATCTTGAATGATGTTTGAAGTAATTAATGAAATTTGGGCTTTCAACTAAAATAAAATTGGGCATTTACGAGAAAGTCTCTTCTATTTTATTTGCTTATTTGTGACACGAATAATTTGCGATTTACCACACAGTTAAATAAATTGAATTGAATTGTAAAGCTGTTTGTTATACAATAAAAAAAATATGGTCATTTATTAAAAATGTAATTTGAAATACAATATAATCATTCAGTCTAAAAAATTCAGTGGTGTCTCCAATTCAAAATTTCTATGAAAAATTTTCAGAATTTTGAATTGTGTTAACTAGTACTTAATAATATTTGCAATAAAAAGTTCTAAACAGTGTTTTGAAAAAAAGCACATCAAAAAATGATAATGAAAATATCTTGTTCTATGAACCATTAGCGATAGGAGCTTCTTGTTTTTCAATATTTTTACTAGAAACCAATTATTTTTTTTTGATCTACTGGAAGTTGCCAACTATGAGCATTCCCAGTTACATTTTATAACAAGGTTCTGAGGTTAGATTTTAAGCCTGTGTTCAGTGAATAGTCGGACCGGTCAAAGTCGTTCAGCGGACAAATATTTCGTTGGTCAGCCAATTAGCTGATTGGGAATATTTGGCAGGTTTCAATGCAGTTACTAAAGGCCGTTCAGTGAATTGTTTGACTAAAGAAGTTTGACCGAACTATTCCAACCATTCGCTGAACACAGCCTATGTACATTACAAAGTAAAATTTAATTTTAAACAAAAAGAATTCTTTTCATAAAATTGCGGAAAATGCACCTTTTTGATAAAATAATACATAGTCTCCAGAAACGAATGTGCTTTACGTCAACAGGGTTCATAGTTCAAAAGTAATAGGGAATTCCTTGACTTTTCCAGGTTTTCCCCGACTTATAAAAAAAATCCAGGTCGCTTGTAGTTCATTTTTACATAATAATTGGTGTTTATGTATTAAACTTTTTCTCGAGTCGACTCCATAATCTTTTTTATACCCAAAGAACCACTTATAAAGGTATCAAAACCACAAATAGTTTTTTCTTTCAAGAACCCAGGACCGGCTTTCGCAAAATTTCCAGTTGCAAACATTAAATTCCCCGACATTCATGAATATTTTTAAAATTCCCTGATTATTCCCCGTTTTTCATGAAGAATAACGGATCTCCTGACATTTTCCGGTATTCCCGATTTTCCTGGCCACTACGAACCCTGTTCAAGGGTAGCTTCTTCGGATGAAAATAAACCGATTTAGAAAAAATTACCTTAGTATAATTTTACTTTCTTAAAAAGTTATTAATAAAAATAGAATAAAAAGATTGTTTTAAAGCTGATAACTTTTTAAGAAAGCAAAATTATTCTTAATCTAAATCTAAGTTACCCTTTTAGTCGGACTCATTTGTTTCTAGACACCCTGTATATTAAGGAATATACATTATAACCCGTTGACTATGGCACAGTCACTTGTATATTTCTCAAAAATAGTGCGTTTTCAATAAACTATGTCTTTTATGCGTAAAATTAAATTTAACATATCAGTATATGACTTTTACACTATAAACACCTTAAAAAAGTTATAACAAAATGTCAATGGCAAAAGTCGTAGCTGCTTTAGCAGACGACCCACAATTAATAACACTGAAGTATTTATCACCTCCAAAAACTTACCTGTACCAAATTTTATTTGGTAAATAAAAAATCAATTAATATTTAACCGCCATACCAAATTTCATTAATATACGTTAAACATTTTTTAATAAATTTGCCATATTTTACAAAAAGTTTAACATCTTGTATCTTGTAACATAAGCATTTCGAGACAGTCATAGGAATTTTTTTTTTCTTAAAATGATTTAATGAATCAGCTTCTTTCTTATTAGAACGTACATAAGCACAACTCTCTGTACGTTAATATAACAGTAACAAAAAGCAGTAAACTTTTTAATTCAAAGTCAAAAATTACTATTTTCAGTTCACTTTGAAATTGATTACATCACATCGGATAAATCAGTCTTGTACAATCGAGGATTGTCCGAATGAGGTTTCACTGCACACAAGAATTGAACGATTAGATTTAAAAATTCTGAACTCACCTGGGGATTGCTGATGCTCGTCACATGCCCCAAATCACCGATTTTGTAAGTCAGTTCCTCCTCTAGAAGAGAATTGTCATCCAGATCCTCGAATCCATCGTCCGCCGAATCGTAGTTTGGAAGGTGGATCTTCTTCTCTCTTGACAGGAATATATTACCAGGTTTTATGTCTAAATGGACCAGTCCCTCCGAGTGGATGTACCTTAATCCTTCCGCCACGTGCAACAGGAGCGTACGCAGTTCTTGGGCACTTAACGGTTCCTGTGAAATCTTGTCGGCTAAGGATCCTCCGTTGCAATACTCATTCTGGATTATCATGTGGTTGTCTTCTGCCCAAGCCGAGTAATATCTGACTACGTGTTGATGTTTGCCTACAACCAAATGAAGATGTGTAGAATTATGTTGTGAAAAAGTTGTTATTTAATTTACCTAAAACAGCATGAGCGTAGACTTCATTTAAAGCTGTCTTTTCGAAAACGCTACCTGCCACGGGTTTTGTTGATTTTTTCACTGCGTATACACACCCATCTAACCTATTAACACACTTATAGACTGATCCAAATTGTCCCCTACCAATCAACTCCAGTTCCAAGAATTCCTGATGGTATCTGGATATGTTACTTTCCTAAAATTGCAAAATTATATTTTTTATCACATAAATTTAGTCATATTTACTTGTAGGGCTACTCTTTTAGTGGGTTGTTCAATCTCTACATCTGATGTGTCGCTCTCATTCAAATCAAATTTAGGTGGTTTGAGTTCTGGAGATCCCAAAAGAGACCGAATGGACCTTGTGCGCTTTTTGGATAATAACAAACCTGAAATTTCGATTAAATAAAATCTAAGGGTTTCACCATTTTCAACATTTTTTTTTTAATGAAACAAAAGGAATTATAGTTTTTCGTTTTCTTCTACTATTATTGAAATCAACAATGTAATAAAACAAATAATAGGTTTATACTTGTCAAGTCAACAGATTAAACAAAATGGCTTCGTGAAGCCTTACCATTTGGTGTGAATGGGTTTACATTGGCTGTGGGACGGTCTTCTCTTTTAGCATAAGCGCTGGCTACAGCTCTAGGTTTATCACCAAAGAGCCTGGTTCTGGGCACAGGAGTGAAGGCAGAGGAAGACTTCTGAATAATAGTCTTTGGTGTAAGTGGGCTATCAAAAAGCCTCAAAGCTCTGACCCTCTTGTAGGGCGGACTAAATGATAAATTTTTTGGACCTGGTGTTCTATTGTTATTATCGCATCCAGAAAATTCCAATTTTCTCGGTCCTTGGGTGCTTTGGGGGCTAGAATATGGCAAATTATCGCTGGATAACTCGAAAGACATTTCGCATCCTGATGAAGAATCGAAATCCTCCATATCATTAATTTCCTGTATGTCTCCGGCATACGACATATTTACCGAATAAATAAATATCACTTATTGGTTTTTCTTAACTTATGCTTTCACTTTTTACACTTTAAAACCTGAAAAAAACTTTACTTTCACAACAAACACGCCACTTGTTCACTGCTTAAAAACGGTTATTCTCTAGTTTACGCATCTGTATTTAATTAGACCAATCAGGATTAATCTATCAAAAACAAAAATGGCAGTTGAACTGCCATTGGTCAATACCTGGTTTTTGTTTTGAGCGTCCTCTACCGACCACGCGCTGAACAAATTATTGAAAGGGCGGTAAATTTGATATTAAAACTAGTCGAAATCGTTTTTTATTAAAAATAATATAAATAAAATAGTAGATAGTAGATTTCATAGATGAAATAATTCATGAGTATTTCTTCTTTTATGCAAAGATTTTTGTAAATATGTGGCAAATAACTGATATACCTCTAAGATCAATAACAGTTCTATTAATCAGAATTAAAAAGTTATTTTAAATGTTTCCCCATATACAATCTCTTGTATTGTACTTACTTTTTTTATTAACGTGATATGAAACAGGTTTTAAAGTGAAACTGAATATTTAAATTAGATTTAAAATTTACATTTTTTTGGTCAGCTGATTGTTGTCACTTTTGACATTTACATATGAGATGAGGTTCTTGGAAAAGTAGGGTGAGAAAATAGCACATAAACATTGTAAAGTACACACGTCAGCTACCATAATTTTAAATTATTTTCTTAAATTTCGAATAATTTGTGACAAACAATCCTTTGAAAGCATATAAAAATGGTCGATATTGCTGTTGATGTGTCAGGACAGATGGACCCTCCTCCAGAAATTAACGTAAAAAAGAAATATCCTAGGTAACCTAACATTTCAGACACCTGCAGATATTCCATGTATTTATTTTTCAGTTTCTTACAAATTCCTACACAAATTCCAGACCCAAAAGAATGGATACAACAACAAAGACGGAATGTAAGGCCTTGGTTGGTTTTTATTCAAACGTCGAATTTCAAAGTTCCTCCGTCGATTCCCAGGTTAGGGAAACGCATTATGAGAAATGTTGAATACTTTCAAGCAAATTATCTATTTGTATTCCTGGGATTAGTGGTATATTGTTTGTAAGTATTAATTTATAAAACTTATACGTTTTCATTTAACTATAATATAAAAATTACTTTCCTCCATTTCTAGAATAACATCGCCTCTTATTCTGTTCGCAATAGCCGGAACATTCTATGCAGGTTACCGCCTTAACAAACGACATACAGAAAAGAAACTGGTCCTGTTTGGTAAAGAACTGACATTAGCGCAACAATACGGACTTGTAGCCGTATGCTCTATGCCGATTTATTACTTAGTTGGTGCACATGGGGCCATGTTTTGGGTTATTGGTGCTTCAATGGTTGTGATAACGTTACATGCTTCATTTTATAACATTGAAGCACTTGTGCCTAAAAGCGAAGATGCATATCCCTTGTTGGAAGAGGTTTAGCCAATATACTGCTCCGTTTTAGAGAATTTTTTTAGATCTTTTGTTACTAATTATGTAAATATATTAATGTAATTTGATACGAGCTGCATAACTTTATTTTTTATGTGTAAACATTGGCTTTAAGGGGTATGTCTATAGAAAACTTAAACTCAGTACTACGTTGCGGTAATTCCTATCATTTAATAATAAAAATTTGATCATGTAACAAATGTGTTATTCTTAGTACAACTATTCTTTTGCACTCCCAAAAAGAATTTTTAGGTAAATTGTTATTAAAGCAATAAGTTAATTTGAAAGAAATAAAAGTTATATATTTCACGAAAAATATTTGATTTAAAAGTCTTATGAAAGACGTAATTTATACCGAGAAAATAATATTACAACAACCAAATAGCCTTCATTTTTTCACACTCAGTATAGCAATAATAAAACTTTTCATCATTTAGCATCATTTTGATGTCGCCTCTTTATCGTAAAAGCAGAGTAATAACTGACAATTTTTTTTATAAAAGAAAACTCGTTTACTGGGACAGATATTAACGATAAAAAAAAATTTAGGTGCTGTTGCCATTTTGCTTTTAAAAACCTTTAAAATTATGTAGTTGTAAATTATGGTTTTAATAACTGTTATATGAAATAAATTAATAAAATAACCTGGTTCATAAATATCTTTAAAAATTACTAACACTATATGTAAATAAGATTTTATAATATATAATTATAATAAATATTTTTTTTTTATAAAATATTACTTTATTTTCCTGTCTATCCTAAAAATTATTTTAGATTTATTAATATTCACTAGATCTACATACAGTGTGACCCATTTAAAACCGGGACACCCTCATAAAATTTTTATTTACAGGACAATTTTGACCAACTTTATTTTGAATTTAGAGGGGAGAAAGAACCATGTGTCATCCTCCTTATACAAAAACCAAGGCCTACCTGATCCATATTAGCGATTTTTTTAGGAAAAATCTGAGTACACCACTGGATTAAGCGGCCCTTAAAATGGGCCTATACCGAATTTCATAAAAAAATATTGCATATTAATAATATTGTGCCAAAATTAAAAATCACATTGGGAATTTTTTTCGTCTGACGAAGCAAGCCATGGAATAAACCTTCGAAAATAAATGACAATAACTATTTTTATTCATAACAATATTCAACAAAATTATTGAAGTTTCAGAAGAAAAGAATTATTAATAAATTCTTGTTACCTCCACCAATCTGCTGTTTATTTCAAGGCACTTATCATACCTTCCCCTATGTTTATGGTTACTTTTCTTAGTCGTTCTGGGGTAACATTTGCACACACTTCAATTACTCTAGCGCGTAATTGTTTACCGACTGTTGTCTAGACTTATACACTTTTTGCTTAAGGATGCCCCAAAGGAAAAAGTCGAGTGGCATCAAGTCAGGTGATCTGAGCAGCCATTCAATAAGAGGACGTTTTATTCCATGGCTTGCTTCGTCAGACAAAAAAAATTCAAAATGTGATTTTTAATTTTGCCACAGAATTATTAATATGCAATAATTTTTTATGAAATTTGGTATAGACCCATTTTAAGGGGTGTTTAATTCACTGGTGTACTTAAATCATTTCTAAAAAAATCGCTGATATGGTTTCTTCAATTTTGACCCTCCAAAAATGAACTTGTAGTACTTGGTTTTTGTATAAAAATGATTACACTTGGTTCTTAAGTAAGCTTTTTGCCTCTCTACAATTCAAAAAAAAGTTGGTCAAAATCGTCTTGTAAATAAAAATTTTATGAGAGTGTCCCGGTTTCAAATGGGTCACACTGTATAATGTCAATAATATACAAAGATTTAAAAAATTATTTTGTCTAAACCGGAAGTTCTATGTTACCGAATATTTTGAAAATTCGGTCACTACTTCTAAATATTGCTCAAGGTGTTTCCTAGAAAATAGATATTTCATTTTATTTGGAAAACAAACCATTTTCGATTTATTACTTTTTTAACTTTCATTGACATTAAGAAGCAGCTCGCCAAACTTAACTCTAAAACTACTCATTCTGCAAAATAAGTTTAGACTTTTTTTCTAAATATGTGACTTGAACTACAATGAAGTCAAAGTGCAATAAAATTGCCCAATTTTTTTTCCGAACCATGCCCTTTGCTACCTCTAACAAAAATGCAAAATTTAAACGACTTATCTGATTAATTTATATTTCCAAAAAGAAATTCAATTGATAAATTAGTACGTCTAGAGTTACATTCCATTTTGTGGAGCGTTTGTTAACGAAAATTAAAATATTTTTTTTTCCTGGAAGCAAGGTGATCAAATTTTCAAAATATTTAGTGGCATCTAATTTCTGGAGTTTTCAGTGGGAGTGACACCCATTATTTCCCTCACTGGTACTGGTATGTATATCAAGATTCAGTAGATTTTTACCTTTCATTAGATAAGTCATTAATCCAAGTTTCATCATTCTGCATGAAACATCTTCGAAGATATTTTCAAACACGATTTTTTTTATTTTAACACGTACTTATATATATTTTTTATTTAAAATCATCCCTTAAAATTTACCAATTAACACCCTATATATTGTGGCTTGATTACCATTCCAGGAAAAATTTAACTGAATTTTCTATTAAACTATTAATTGAGCTATACAGGGTTTGTTGAAGTCACAGTTTCTTTAGTTTTCAAGTTAAAAATTTAATATTTTATTTAATACTTACTTCTAGTCTTCCTGAAAGTTGTCCCAATTTCTTCAAAAAGAAAACGTTTTACAGATACTTTTATTTTGATAAAATGTATATCAGTAGTCCGAATTTATCTTCCATATCTTAATTTAAGAGACGTTAATGAATAGGTAAAAAAACTTGGCAAAGCTTTAGTTTTTAATTATTGCTATTTAAGTTTTTTGGCACACTGTGAAGCAGTTTTTTGCAACTATATTTATAAATCATCATTGGTTTGCCATTTACCCACAACAAACAAAAAAAGTTATTTTTAGAAATTCACCACAGTGGAGCTGTATCAGAAGTGGATATGCTGGAGCTTTTTGCACAGATAAAAATAGAACACAAACAGCAGTGTCAAAAATTGAAATATTAAGGAGGCACAGTTCATTTTTTCCCGAAGAAAAATTTTTATTTAATCTACAAGCCAATATTTTTGTTTCATTTTCGGAGTGTGAATAAAACAACAGATTTATAGAAAATATCTTTATTTTCTCTTAGAAGAAGGCATTAATACATCAAATACATCACTAAAAAGCAATGATTTGACTTTTCGAACTAGAGAAAATCAACGATAATTTTGTACAGTACAATATAACTATCAATGAAAAATCTATATTTACAAAAAAAAACAAAAGGTCACTTTAAATATCAAAAACAAATTCGCAAAAATTTCAACAAACAAAAAGTCGAGGAACTTTTTTAGTAATGATAAAAATGCTGAATAGAATTAATAGAAATAATTTATATCAAAGTGTACACGATACTAAATTTAAAAAACGATGGGAATATTTGTTTAACAAGAAAAGTAATAAATTAACAATTAATAACAAACTGACGTTTTTCCAATATAGCTATTTTGAAAAAACATTTTGCTAGCTATTATAAAATATATTACAGTATTATAAAAAGCTGTGATATAGAAATTAAAAAATAACTATACACAAAATATATACCCTGAACTTTACAAACTATTTCATTATTTGATACAAATATTTATACCTTGTCGATCCAAAAAAGCTCAAAAAATGTTGATTATTCGATTAATTATATATTATTTATTTTTATATTTATTCCACAGCACAACTCTAAAAGTACAAGTGCTGTACATTTTATTTATTTAATAAATTATGCAAAACTATAAATATTTATATGGTTACGAATTAACATTTTTAGAGGCTTTTGAACGATCAACGGTTCCATATCTAAATGAGGTTAGGATGACACATAGCATTTGTTTCATAATTAAACAAACGCAAGGGAAATTATAGGAAACGTTTATAAAACATTTGAAGGGTTGTTACTGTCAAAAATCTTCCTTTTCCTCCTTCGAAACGAATAATATTTTGGTCATTTGTAGCAAAGGCACTTTTTATCAAAAGAAAACTTTTTATAAACTAGCGACAAGCATTCGTCGTCGTAATAGTCAGTTCTTTATTTTAACACTATAGAAAATTTATCAGTAAGATTTACTAAACGTAAACCTACAGACATATCAAGAGATTATTTTTTTTAAATATACAGGTAACAAAGTTTCAATTAAAAAATAACGATGAAGGAATTGTTTTTTTTTAAATTTATATTATTAATCTTAATTTACACATTTTTTGCAAATTCACGACAGCTTTTTAAATTAGTGATTGATAAAATCATTTATTTTCTAACTGTATGTTCAAATCCATTAGAACCCCAGGTATTAATAAATTTTCAAATTTTTTTATCATAGTAAACAAAATTTTGTTAAAAAAAGAGCAGAGATGTTTTATATGCAAAGTAACGCTTTCGGTAGCATTATCTGTAAAGTCAATTGATAAAGTAGATACTCATAGTGCAATTTTCATTAAATTTAGAAAAAATATTAAAAAAATAATCAACAATAGTTCCAATTACTTTATTTGCTCGAAATATTCCATGGAAATTCGTTTATATTTGCGAGTTTGCAATTTTATGATTTGATTCTTACCAGTCGACCTCTGGCTTAAAAAAATACGAATTAGCCTTCCAATGTTTCATGAACGTGTAAAACTATTATCGATGTGAAAGGGGCAGGGCACGTAAAATATATAATGAAGACTAGCATTTTAATCTATAATAACGTATGGCAAAATTTTTAAAATTTCACCATTATAGGAGGGTGTCTCAATGACTTCATGCCACTCTCTGAAACTACTATTATTATCACTATCAGGTCCCGCTTCGTCACCTGTCCGTTCCATAACTTCACTTTTCACTATGTCGCTCTCGCAGCCCGTCTCTGAAACACTGTATTTCCTAAAATTTTCACTCGAGAAGTCCTTCACTTCCTTCGGTATTCTCTCTAAATTTACATTAGGCACTACGTTCACGTACAAACCGTTGTCTTGTAAGACGGGCCCCGGTTTGGGAGACCCTAGACTAAAATTACCATTAACGTTGGGTATGTAACTGCTGTGCAACCTGTGCACCTGTTCGTCCGTCACACAATCCAAATGGTACTTTTCAGTTGAATGGACCTTCGCCGGACAACTGTGGTCTTCTATCACGTCGAACCTGTGTTCGAGATTGACCTCCGAGTCTTCCTCCACGGAAAAATCTGGTTTGATTTCCTTGAGATAGCACAGACATATTTCTTCTTCCTCCTCTAGCAAGACCGACTTATCGATAGGGGGCAGTTGCGCTAAGGCGTCTTCTACGCTTAAAGAAGTTATTACGTTAATATTCCCCGGTTCAGTCTCTTGTTTCTCTGCGTTTTCCTCGATTTTTATTTCTTCTTCCTCTGCATCAACGACGTTTATGTCCTCCTCTTCCTTTTTCACGGAAGAATTTTGACTAAGCAGACTTTTGTCGTTGATTACGGAACCCGATTCTATCACTCTTTCGTTCTTCTCCAACTTGTACTTGTTACGCTGGAAGTTTTTATTTCTATTGGCATTTGTATTCAGTTTTTGGTCGATAATTGATACACGCTCCGTCAATTTCGCCGCCTTCTCCGTCAGATCTTCCTTGGGTTTCACGTTTAAAGAATTAATAACAGCACTTGAGTTTTTGTTTTGTAAGCTGGCTATCAACTCCTGGGTGGTCTTTACTTTGGAATTGCCCCGAGACACTGCCAGTTTGCTCGTGAAGGAACTCTCCGCCTCGTCGATCAAGTTCTTGTGATTCTTCGATCCTTTTTTCCTGCCGCGCTTCTTCGGCATCTGCTGATCTAAATGGGGATCGTGTTTCTCTGGCATGCTAGAATTAGAATCGGAATTTAGTAACATCACATCTCGTTTTGGTTCCGTTTTCACAGTAGTTATCACATCTTTGAAACTTGAGTTGGAGTTATCAGAGAAGTCCAGCTCCGATATACCTCCGTTTATTTTGGCCCGCTTGGCATTTATATTGTCTATAACGTCCTTAGCTGGGCGTTTTTTAGCCTTAAGCTGGTTTAAGTTCACGTCTTCTTGTTGTAAAGGCGGACTCTGCTTTATTTGTCCATTCGATTCGACAACAAATGCATTCCTCCATTTTTTTACTAATTCTTTTGCTCTCTTAGATAAAGCCTCATCCGAAGTTTTCCGTCTAAGTTCGTTTATGTATTTCCCAAGTCTGGTGGTCTACACAACAAAAAAACAAACTAGGTACAAAAAAATATACATCAACTGGAAAAAAATATTATAAGTGAATTTCAATAAAGCAAATGGTTCATCTACCACAGATAACACAGTTTGATTTTTCTTAAAGTTGATATTTTACATTTGTTTCTTGGAAATTGCAGTTATAAAAGTCTTTAAGAAATAGTTAGGTACTATCTTCTATTCCTAGCTTGATGTCATTTTGATAAGACAGGCACTTATGGACAGTTCTTTAAACAGTTTTTATAATTCTTTTAGCCTTACGAGACAAAAGTGCCAATAATATACTAACACATCATATTTTCAATGTTTTTATATAGAACTATCGATCACTAGTCAATTGATTTACTGTCAAAACAGCTATAGCTTTATCATTAACAAAGTTCGTTTAATATTTTTCTATTTAAAATACAAATTTTCGGCAATACAGTTTTTTTTTGGGGAATATGCAAGTAATACAAATACCTGAAAGCGATTTTAAGATTAGTGTTACTACTATACGCTTCACATTAACTTTATGTACAAAATGTGTAGAAAATTTTATATTTAAATTAGATTAATATAAAATAAACTGCAGTTTATTGAATTGTGATAAAAAAATCATAAAACGTCTTCAAATGTTAGTAAAACATTTTATTCTACATTGAAAATAAGTAATTGAGTTTATTCAATATATTTCGCTTGTAAATTGAAATTAAAATAATTGTGTTCCTAAAAATGCATTTTAGATAAATTTTAATGTCCCTATAGGTATTAAAATAATGTTTGTCAATTTTGTACAAAATAAAATGGATAAGTGTATAAATACTAAGATGAGCAACCATGTCAAAAATATCTCACCTCCAGTAATTCTTTGGTAATAACCACTTTTTCCAAAAGGGATATGATTTCAGTGACTGTGGGCATATCAATGACCTGCAAAATACGTTAAAATTAGCCGAAACATCCTGTCACCGTGTGGGAAACACCCTGTGTAATGGACTGTACTGCACCCTCAGAAAAATTGACATTTCTCAATCACATGAATAGCACTTGTTGAGATTTCTCCAAAAACGGCTTTCAAAGCGAATTAATCGTTATTTTAACGTTTGGGAGGAGAATATATAGGACAATATCCTCAGAACATTCAGCACTCATGTCTTCTTATGTAAAACAAGCTGACTGACGTTGCGAAATATTTGGAGACTTATTAAAAATTTCGCAAAATTATCGAAAATCAAGGATAAAAATAGTTTAGGAACAACAAATTAGCCGACACTCGTAAATTATTAACATTTATTTACATACTTTGAGCATAACGAGTATAGTACAGTCCACCTGGTTTATGAAGACACTAATGGTGTTCACAAAAATCGCGAAAAATCCAGTAAAACTGCATTTTCCTTACATTGTAATTACTATCCAATGAACGTAGTAATCTCTGTGTTAATTCTGTTACGTTATTCTGCATTTAAAGTCGGTTTGTAACGAGAAAACCGAATATACTTTGATAGAACTTTTCGTAGTTCCTCTCCACAGCAATGGCGCACATACATTGCGCTTTGTGCAGTTCTCGGGTCCGCACTGTGAAACGAGGAACATGGAGCACCCGAAACGACTGAGTGGGGATCGGCCGAACGAATCCCGACGAGATCTGCGCGTGCCCCTACATTTTACGTCACCAAAACATGATAAACGAAAATATTCCCAGATGACTCATCACTTTGTTACCCCTTCCAGATCTTGAACAGTTTTACATCTAGATTTTTTAATCATTTTGTGACGAATTGTATTTCTCTTTTAGGTCATATTGAACAGACGAGTCTTATATTAAATCCTGATATATTTTTGTATGAGATGAGAGTGATTTAAGGTTGAAATTGGGAAGGACATAACAAGTGCCATAAGGATTAATAGTTGCTAGCTTCTTGGAGATTTTTTTGTTATTCTATTGCATGATTGTAAGTTAATAGAGCGGGACTTTTTTAATTTATAGATACGGTCACTTCTGATACGAGTTTTTTTTTGAATCCTTTAAGGAAATTTCACTGTACACTGAAAGTTAGTTGTCATTGATGAAAGTACACACACTCTTTGTAATCATTATTGTATACTTTCATAATGTAAATCATACTGATAGATCAGCTAATACTGTAAAAAATAAATACATAGATGTAGGTATTTGTATTTTTTCCTTAATTTGTTAAATATTGTTAAAATTTCGGTATAGTTGCTAAATAATTTTAAAGATATTTTAACTTTTTTTAATTTGTATTCAAACAGAATTAACATGATTATTACTATTTTAATACATCTGAAAATGAGTAAATAATATTGTTTTTCAAGCACTCAAAATGGTAAATAGTGATTATATTGAATATGAGTAAATTAATACCTGTCTTTACTTTATTTTTATGAAAAACATAATCTACATCAACTCGAGGTATTGTTCAATAGAAGCTGTAAAGTATAAACCTAAACTAACAAATAAAAGATATTTAAGCAGATAAATAACAAGGTAATAATTCTTATTATTACTTTATGCATAAATTAACAAATTAGTCCTTATGATTATAAATCACAATAAATTTTCAAAATAATTTGTCATTAGGGATGTTGTAAAAACATACCTAGATTTCTGTAAAAACTCCTATTAAATTATTTTTTTGTTTGTTGGATTGAAAGCCACATATATAGTGAAAAATAAAAATTTGAGACTCGACAGTCAACAAAGGGGCATATACAGGGTGTTAATTACGCAGATTATCTTGAACGGGTTACACTTTAAGTGATTTTTAAGCTGAACAGGTTGTGTAAACAACACAAATCAATAGGCTTCGAAATACAGGGTGTTGATACAGACTTAAAGTTAAAAATTTACTGAATTCTGGTATAAACATGTGTACCATGGAAACTCCAGGAATCACTTTCACGTAGAACCGTAGAAATTCAACACCCGTGGATATTTTGAAATTTGCCACCCACTTTCACAAAATGTAAAACAAATCTTGATTTAGTTGTTTCTCAAATACAATTTTAAATACAATGTAACTATGACGTCTGAAAAAATCAGTGGCTTTGAAATTTTACATTTTATTAGAGGAAGCAGGGAAAAAATATTTTCCGGTACTTTTCAGTATTACAAAATTATTTAAAACAAAAAAAAATTGTGAACTTTTTGCAAAGTGGTTCTAAAGGAAGTGCGGTTGGTGCAAATTAATGTTGTAATATTTCGATAAGGAGGCATAGGACCCATACTGTTTTTTTAGAAAATGATTTTTATGCTGATAAAGGGAACTTTCATTAAGGAAAAAATATTGAGGGGAATGTGTGAAATAAAAAATTAAAATAAGTAAATAAATAAAAGTAATAAAACTGACAAAATTAATTTTTCTTTGTAATTTTACCTCTTTAAATTTGATTTTGATACCAACTATTGTCCAAACATCATAATATTGCAAAACTATGAAAAATTAAAATTTTAAAAAAACTAAAAAATTGTATAGTTTTTATATCAGTGGATTATAAAGAAAAAAAAAATTCTGCAAATGTATTTGAATTTTCTAACAGGTTTAGATTTTTTGTGAGAACATCTCCGTCACTGGTGCAAGTATGTGAATTTAGTGGATTTTAGCCCAAGTTTCCTCATTATGCAGCAAACGTCTTCAGAGATATTTCGAAAATGTGAAATATCTTACAAATTTTGACATAAAAACAACCAATCTATTGACCCATGTTTGTATGATCTTTTTGGTTTAAAATCACTCCTTAAAGTTCTTCAAAGTACTTAATTAACACCCTGTACGTTAAAAATGGTTAGTTATTTAATGTTTTTTATTCTAATTGAATTCAACATTCCGTTTCTCGAAAACTATCGATTTGAGGACCTGTTAATATGACGTTTTTGTCTCAAAATCACTTAAATAGCATCACTGGGTAAAGTTTTCGACGTATTTAATTAGCGCCTTGGAACTTAAAAAAAATGTTCAAGAGACTTCTTTACTTACCATATTTTTAGTTTTTCCAAGTCGAAGTTTTAGTTAACTTTTTATCCAATTTTTAAGTGTTTTGAAAAGATAGCACAGAGCCTTAAAAAATGATTAAAAGTCACGTGATTGCTGAGCTTAGGCAACCTAACATTACACGACTGAAATTGCCAACTAAATCCCTAAGTCTTAGCGTTATCAATATTAATGTTGCGTTTATCATGAATAATGACAAACCGTTGCATTTACATTTGAGATAATGTGATCGCTGATACTTTGAATAAAATCTTATGAAAAATGGCATCAATACCGGCCGGTGAAACAGAATGTTGTGCTTTGATGTAACCTTGATGTTATTGTTTTAACTTTACCGAAATTTAATTACCAGGGCGAAGGAAACAAAATGACAGGTCACGTGACTTGTAATCACTTATGAATGCTCTGTATCTTCTTCCACCATACTACAAGTTAGAAGTTGAGGCTAGAATTAGCTAGATACTTTTTAATACTTACGCTAGACGTAGACAGGGGGCGTGAGTAAAAGCCATTTTCAACAATATGATATATTTGACTAGCATTGTACATAATTAGTATATAATGTCTAACAATTATACAATATTTTGTACAGGACATATAATATCCATATTGGCACGTAACATTAAATTTTTTATAGTACGTTGCGTGAAAAGAACTTGATTCATAACAACAATATAACCAATGTCTCAGACTTGTAAAATCTTTTAAAGCTGCAAACAAAACGTAACAATTTTCATTATTGCAATAAAAATTCATTTAAAAATACTTCTGATAAAACTTATAATGTAAAAATCACATATATTGAAAATAAATTCAATAAAAATTTTAAAATAACATTTACGTTGGTGCAACCAACATACCGCATTTCACATTCCGGTGACATCTAATGTCTCTAGGATTTGGGAACATATGTGCTTGATCTCGGGGTGGGAATCGACGTAGTTTAAAAGATCGGTCAATAAAACGTGACCCTTTTCTTCCCTAAGCATCAAGCAGTAGCGTGTAGCTATAATTAAAAAAATATACGATAAATCATTGTGGCATATAAAATATATTTTGTTACTTAAAGTTACAAAGAACTGCATTAAATTTATTAATCAACTGTTAAATATCGTATAGTAGAAAATACCTGACAAATTTGGAAAATAAAGCAAATAGTGTCCTACGAATTACATCGTTTTGGCGCTCTCATAGGATAGGTCTGATATACAGTTCTGAAAACAGAACACAAATACATCCATGTCGACATGAAATCAGATAAAAGTGAATTGTCACTAAAGTGTGTGTAGCAATTTTTACCACTCGAAACATGCTAGAAAAATCAGTAACATGTACAACATGCTTATAATATGATGCATAATAATTATTTGATATATGACACAATCAAAGTAATGGTGAAAGTGGTGATGTAGTTTTTATGGATCTCTAAAACCATATGTAGCAACTATGTCATGTCTACCTAATTAAGTAATTCAATTTATACATAGTGTCCCACTTAAGACTGTAGCTCCCCTATAACTTTAGTTTTTCTTCGATTTAAGTCAATACAAGGCTACCTGAGATATCGTAATAAAATACAGTGAAAACTGGTTAAAACGACATCACTTTATTGGATATAACAATGGAATTTGGAAGTCCTGATTTAACGCTATAGAAATACCATATTAAAAATATCGTTTACAACGACATTTCGGATTTAGCGACGCGTTTTTATATACATTTACCATAGAATCTGTCGGTTATAACGACCAATATATGGTCTTAAAACCAATGCACCTCTCTTCCACCTGCCCTGCCAACATCCACGCTTTTGACACCAGTTAGTAGAGATTAAAAAACGAATAAACTAATTCAAGCAAGCAATAGAATGTGGCGTGTCACACTACGATTTCAACAATTTGGAAGGATAGAAATAAAGTAAAGTCTTTATTCGTAAACAATTAATTGAAAATGAAGCGCACGAGATCTTTTGAACACAAAGCAATACATGTACATACTTAAAGACTTGCATTGTAAATTTCTCTTTTTTTCTATAAAAATGCTAGATAAAATATATGCTTATAACGTCTATCTGTTATAACAACCGTAAACAAACGGTCCCTTGATGGTCGTTATAACCGATTTTCACTGTAATAACAAATCAGTCATTTTTTATCGGAAAATTTTATTGACTTGTTATTTTTGTGCTTCTTTATTTCTATATTTTATTATTAATCTAACTAAGCATTTTGGCTTATGCTTCAGAGGTTGGTAACAAAAATTTAATATTTTAAAGAATTATATTGTCTTAAAAACCAAGAGCTTTAAAAAAAATATTAGAGAAAATTTGTTGCCTTTAATGAGTTAGATGCAGGGTTAAAATTTTGGTACTTGTTTTGGAAAACCCTGTATATCTTAATTTTTAAAAAATCAAGAGCTTTAAAAAAATATTAGAAAAAAGTTGTTGCTTTTAATGAGTTAGATGCAGGGTTAAAATTTTGGTACTTATTTTGGAACACCCTGTATATCTCAATTTTTAAAACCATTGCTCGTCATAAATTAACCACCTTTTGAAAAAAAAAATTGAATTGGATAAAAAAAGTTATTGTAGTTTGAATGCTGAAGAAAGCCGAACGTTTCTATAGCTTTTGCAAATATTTTAATATACATTACTATATTTGTTTGTTAGGTAAAAAATGAGAATATCCAGATGTATTTAAGTAGGAAGGATTTGTCATATAGTGGTTGCGTGTTTTCGGTTGTAAGAGAGGACAGTCTTTCTCTGCAGATATATATTTTTCTGACTCCAATTAAATTTTTTATATTTTTCTTCCTTGGAAGGCATTGAACAATATTTTTTTGACATGTTACTACTCTAAATACTAAAATTAAACTACTACATAACACTTTATCTGAAAAAGTTAAACAATATTGCAGTATAACATAAAAAAAAATAATTATTAAGGGGGAAAACCACATTAGGAGGTTAAAAAAATTTGATTTTTTTTTATTGCATAAACTGTTAGTATACTACAAAAATACACTGCCAAAATTTCAAAATTTATGAACCTAAAAACGAACGACCACCGTGACAGCGCTCTGGACAAAATTTGGTCATAGATTCGTAAGACAAATTTAGGGGACCCGTATTTTTTATTTTTGCCAAGTGGGCACTTCGTTTGGAGTTACAGCCCCTTGAAATCCGCCCCTAAGAACAGGTTTTTTTTTTATACAGGGCAGGAAAATCCACATGGTCCATCTGCCTTTACACGAGAGCGACAAAGTAAAGTAAAGAAATCCGTGCGATAGACAAGTATGGCTATAGTGAAGACGTTTCATAATCTGAATAGTCACCGCCCGTTTTGGGTTAGAAGTGGGACTGACTATTTAGATTATGAAACGTCTTCAATGTAACCATCCTTGTCTATCGCACGGATTTCTATGACTTACTTTATCGCTCTCACGTAACGGCCGATGTACCATGGGGACTTCCCGAACCTGTATATCTCAGAACCCTGTTGTACAAGAATCACTAAATTTGGTACACAGGGGTCTTATGACATGTGGATTATAACAGTGTTACGCTTCTTGGCAGGGAACCCCCTTGAGACACTTTTTCTTGGGTCCCCTTGTCTTTGGAATCAAAAAAATTTCGTCGCATATTTGAATTTCTTAGAAATTATTAGTTCGCTAGAAATCCATTGAATTTAGAAACTTTTTTCTCTCGATATTTTTTTCGTAAAACGCAATGTTTTTGAGAAAAATGGCAAGTCATGATATGTATTCGATCACATTTTGACATTTTTCTCGAAAACATTGCATTTTACGAAAAAGATATCAAGGGATAAAAAAGTTTCAAAATTTAATGGCTTTCTAGCGGACTAATAATTTTTAAGAAATTTAAATATGCGACCAATTTTTTGGGCTCCAAAGACAAGGGGGGCTCACGAAAAATTGTCTTAAGGGGGTTCCCGCCAAAAAACATAGTACTATCAGATTTCACATGTCATAAAATCCCAGTGTACCAAATTTAGTGATTCTCGTACAACAGGGTTGCGAGATATAAAAAAAAGACTATTCTTAGGTGCAGATTTCAGGGGGCTGTAACTCCGAAAGAGGGGGTCACTTGACAAAAATAAAAAATACAGTCTCCTAAATTTGTCTTAAGAATCCGTGACCAAATTTTGTTGCATTAATTTCGGGACACCCTGTATGGTGCTGAAATCGCTAATTGATCGGAAAGCACTCTATATTATTGATAGCTTTTTCAAATTTCTAGTTTTCGGAAATCTTTAAATGCGTTTTTCTCAAAATGACATTTTTTGATTTACAGGAACTCTAGCTCAAAAAATTATGAACTGATTGTTATGAAAATTGAAAGTGTGATTTTTTATGAAATTGCAAAGAATATGAACCAACAATTGGGATGATATCATAATTTTAAGCGTGTTTTTTTATCCAAATAAGTGCAAAAAATGGTAAAAATCAATACATTTTCTTCTAAGTGTCAAAAATTCAATTTTCACAATTTTTACCAGCAATCAGGTTCTTAGAAAACATATTAATAATTCAGCAAAACAACCATATTGCTTTGAGATCAAAATTGCGACCTCATTTCCCGTGAACAACCAACCCAGATGAGGACCTTCGGTGGACAACAGTCCGTAACTTCAGCATTTTCAACACAAATGACTTGAAAAAAATTTGTAAATGTAGTTCAAAATATTGATAAAATAATACCAAAGTTTAATCAAATTCTAACCAATTTGTCTCAAATCTCAAAAAAATTTCATGAGGAACACCTGAAAATCAGCCTCCTAACGGGGTTTTCCCTCTCCTCATTATTCTCGCGAATAGTTTTAAGGATGTTACAGTCTTAAATGGGGCACTCTGTAGAGTTGTATGTGACTATGTTTTTTAAATATTTTAACATAACAGATTACTGCATCCTTGAATAAAATTTGTTCTCTAATTGTAACTATTTCTTATGTCTGGTATGCAAAATGTGTTCTCTGTCAATTGTAAAATACACTTATCAATATTATCAGTTCCAGAAATTTGCTACTGTGATTATGCTTCCATTGTGATATCTAAAGAGAAAATAAAAAAAAGAGTTTTCTATTTTTGAACATTTAACATATTGACAGCTGAAGATCTATCTTAAAACTGTTAAAAAATTGTGCTAATTCTTGTATAATTTATATCTACTTACGATTCTTAGTGCACACGTGATGTATAGCCCAAACCGCCCAAAGCTGCACCTGGTAGTCCATGTCCGTCCGCAACAGAGGAAAAAATGGCTTGAAACTCCTGTAAGCGACCATTTCGTTGTCGGGGACCTTCCACTGAGAAACCGCGTTTTCTAATTCCAGCAGCATCTCGCCCCTCTTGCGATTCGAAATAGTCCACCGTAACTCGCCGTCCGACGCCAGATGGGCGACTATGCCGGCGGCGAAGTAGCTGACGTCGATGTTCTCCGATTTCAGCAGGTGGAAGAGTTCGCTCATAAGCGAGTCGAGCATGAGGCTGTGGCGCAGATCTACCACTTCCGCTATGTTGTTCAAAAGACCTGAAAGAGAAACTGTTACCTGGGCAGTTCGAAAGAAGTTAATATCGCTACAGGTAGCTTGGTTCTCTCCAAATTTCTATAGTTTTAGGTACATTGATGTAGAATAAACCAAATATTTTGTTATGGACGCACAGAAGGAATGTTAAATATATTTTTCTGAGTTAAAAGTTAAAATTTAAGTTATACATGGGAAAAATTCTGTGTATAAGGAACGACTTCGTATTCTTAGGGTCAAAATAACATGATTTAACTAAATTTACATCCATCCAAATTTGTTTCTTTTAGCTGTTGTTGGCAAGGTATTTTTTTTTAAATAATTTTTTAACGTTCTGTCCGATAAAAATCAAATTTAGTCCTTGTGTATAGATGTCACTTTATTACATAGCAAGCGAAGTAATTGTAATTACGAAAATGAGAAAGATCTCCCATCCCTAAGTAAACATGGTAAATTTTTTTTCGGCTGTCTATGCGATTTAAGTTCTTGTTTTATTATTGAAATAACGGCTCTTTCAAAGTTTTTTCTCTCTCCCAAATCTTTAGTATTTCTAATGAGTCTTATGTGATTAGTTACATTATTAGTCATCACCTTCGTATCTTCAATATCCATTTGAATTAAATGTCCTAAAAAATTGGAATTTCGTTCTCTCTCATCGAATTAATCTAGTTTAATGTTCCTCAAATAAGTATAATCGCAGCATTTAAAGAACAAATTGAGATTAGCAGATATCATAAGACGCACATATTGTAGCCGACCACACATCGTTTTCAGTCTGTTGAGACCCTCCACAATTCACTACAATGTGTAACAAACAAGACGTATTTGAAAATTTCGCGGTTTGGAAATCGTATTCGATAAAATTCAGAACGAGTGAAAACGGTTAAATGAAACTATGTACAGCAGTAGGTGGGTAATATCCGGTTATGTCGCAGCATATCAGATATATGTTTTTTGTTCTTTGTTTAGCGACGAAATTTTTTCTGTGTCTTAAGAAGTAAATACATAGGTATGTCGAAATTAAGTACTAACAAACAAGTGTTTCTGCACGCTTTACATCTTGCGGTAGAAACAATTTGTCGGTGTTACCCAAATGTAGATGAATTAATAGCACAGACCAAGGCAATGTTTCTCAAATCCCCGACATATTCGTCAATTCCACCAACAGTGTCCTGGCATTCCAGAACCTCCACAGCCTATTCTTACACAATGGGGGACATGGTTAGAGGCATCATTTCATTATTTTAAACATTTTCAAAAAAATAAAATCCGTAATTTTACAATTTGATGCCAAAGAATCGGCTGCTATTCGGAAGAGCTAAATAAAATTTCAAGATTGTCTAGTTATTTACAACAATTATATTTCAATTGCGAATGTTATAAAAAAATTTACAAAAGTGTTTAAGTCAGAGAAAGTTTGACAATGTGTTAAGAAAAAATCCAGATTTCTCCAGATTAAGACACCTTCATCATAGCAATAGCTCTCCCATGGATTCATTAAGTGATTTTACTTTTTACTGAACGTCATTAGATGTCGAACAATCGTTTTCGTTATATAAGAATATTTTATCTCCGTTGCGGTCATCGCTTAAAGAATCTACTGTGGAGACATATGTAATGTTCCAGGTATTTGCCAGAGCTCATCCAGATTTTTAATGTGGAACCGGGTAAGAATTCCACAATATTATAAAATTATTTATTATAAANGTTTAGCGACGAAATTTTTTCTGTGTCTTAAGAAGTAAATACATAGGTATGTGGAAATTAAGTACTAACAAGCAAGTGTTTCTGCACGCTTTACATCTTGCGGTAGAAACAATTTGTCGGTGTTACCCAAATGTAGATGAATTAATAGCACAGACCAAGGTAGTGTTTCTCAAATACACGACAAATATTCGTCAATTCCACCAACAGTGTCCTGGCATTCCAGAACCTCCACAGCCCATTCTTACACGATGGGGGACATGGTTAGAGGCATCATTTCATTATTTTAAACATTTTCAAAAAAATAAAATCCGTAATTTTACAATTCGATGCTAAAGAATCGGCTGCTATTCGGAAGAGCTAAATAAAATTTCAAGATTGTCTAGTCATTTACAACAATTATATTCCAATTGCGAATGTTATAAAAAAATTTACAAAAGTGTTTAAGTCAGAGAAAGTTTGACAATGTGTTTAGAAAAAATCCAGATTTCTCCAGATTAAGACACTTTCATAGCAATAGCTCTCCCATGGATTCATTAACTGATTTTACTTTTTACTGAACGTCATTAGATGTCGAACAATCGTTTTCATTATATAAGAATATTTTGTCTCCGTTGCAGACATCGCTTAAAGAATCTACTGCGGAGACATATGTAATGTTCCAGATATTTGCCAGAGCTCATCCAGATTTTTAATGTGGAACCGGGTAACCATTCCACAATATTATAAAATTATTTATTATAAACGCATTAGGTGCCCCTGCTTTCAAACCGAAATGTCGTACCTTAAATATTACTAAAATATGTAATTAATTATGTGAAAAACATTAGACACAAAAAAAGTACGAGAGAAAAAACTTTAAAATGTCGCTATGATAAAATAACTGAAGTGTTTTTTTTACTCTATTTTAAAAATATTAAGCTAACTCATCCAAATTCAAAATCTTATTAATTGAAGTCAAACAATATTCCTTTACTTCATTAGAAAAAAATTTTGATTTGGTTTGAAACAGCTTTAAAATGGAGTAAAAAATCTGAAAGCCAATAATAGGAATGTTTTTTGAAAAAGTCGCCGGTAAAAAAAAATATAAGCATATCCGATTAGGAGGCACTTTCTTCATTTCTATAAGTGCAATATTACTTTGATTAGTATGTCAAAAATTGGCAAAATCTCATTTAACGTGCTTGTTTCATGTACAGAGATTATTGGAACAACCTGGATAATTTCAAGTCGACTAAGTCAAAAAAATATAATCCCGAGTTCTGTCTCAGAAAAATCTAGCTTGTAAATTTGACAAAAAACATAATTTCGACTTCTAAATTGAGGGAATATCTATCTGAGTAGAGAAAAATGTTTTTTTTGCTCATCTTAAAATGTGTAGTCTTAAGAATATTGTCACCGAACCCGAGACTTTGCACGAAATCTAATGTAAAATAAATATAAAATCATCATAGACATCGAAAACACAGCGACATCGCTGTCATCAGTCATCAATTAAATTAAGATAGTGACAGACACATAATTACGAATCGACTACTGACTCTCGGACCACGGTAAAACCATAAATCGGACTATTACTTCAGTATTAAACCATTTTCGAAAGTTTTGATATTTTTTTTACAAAAAAAGCAATACGAAGTTCTACGCCTTCCCAGGAGTCTCACTAGCCTTGGCTTCGAAAAAATCGTGCAACAAAAATCCAGTAGGAAATGGAGGCGTAGACAATATCGTGTGTAAATATCATATTGAAATTCCAATTAATTTTGGAAGTTATGGGCAATTTACCGGAAAGTAGCCAAGCGGTCGGTTACCCGTTGTGCCGCCTGATGCAGACTCTTTTGTGTAGATCTAGTAGATATTGAGGGGTTGGACAATTTGTGAGCAACATTAATTATTTTGTGCATCTTTTTGTGAAAATTGTATACTGAAATGGATAGTTGAAAAGATAGGACAAAATGCTGATATGTATTGCAAAATGTAAGACGCGAAACGCGTGCATATTGCCAAAGTCAAAACTAACAACGCAACCTGTGAAGGGAGGATTCAGCGAAGCCAGTCACGGATCGCTGAAGAAGATGCTGCCAGTACTTAAACGCAATTATCTCCAAACATACTAATTAAAGATGGTTCCCAAAATATTCAGAAAACGGCTCGACTGAATAATTCCTAAAATTCACATATTTTTTTCTGCTGTTTACTCAAATGTTCACTCTTAAAAAAATTCAGCTTACAAGTTGAAAGTTCTAAGTTACAAAGCCACAAAAATGTTATCCTTCATTTCGATAGCAGATTTGTTAAGTCAAATAAATTATCGAACTGACATACTTCTCACTTAAAACTATTTTTTTTTAATACGCTTGTGCTAAGAAAAATGTTTGCATCTGTAAACACATTTCTGCTATATTTATTAATGTTATCACTGTTATAATCTTACCCAAAACCTTGGTTTCTATAGTAGAATCGCCCTTAAAAGTCCTCAAAACGTTCAGGAACAAGTGAGCACCTCCTTGCTCCAAGAAAACGGCGCAAGTAGCGGCGCTCTCGTCCGTCAGATTCCACAGCGCACTCAAAGTAAACCTCAAAGTGATATCGACAACTATAGTGTCGACTCTGCTCTGGACCATCGCTAGCAGTTTCCTCATGTATTTCGGTGTGGCACCCAGCTCCGAAGTCTGTTTCGTGCTAACCTTAGCCGCCAGGATGCTGCAGATAGCCACCGCCATCCTGTTCATATTAACGTCATCGAATGTACACAAGGCATCAAGAACTAATTTAGCGCACTTAAACTTATCGAAGTTAACTTCCTGCAATATACGGTCACTACAGAGTGTCAACAAAGAGTTCTTTTGTAGCTGAAACTCTTTAGGAAAAGTTTTCATCGCCAAGAGCGTTAGGTTCACGCCGTTGCTGAGGGCTTTCGGATGTATATTTTTTGAGAGATCTCCACGAGTTAAGTTGTACAGGCAAGCCGTGGCTGCCATCTGTACGCCGAATCTGCTGGAATGGGCTTCCATCACAGGTAGAACCAAGTTGAAGATGTCTGGTCTGGCCTCTTTGAATATGCTGGTTAGTTGGAACAGGTGGTATAATGCTTTTTGGACATAGTTTGACCTAAAAATGAAATATACATCTCGAAATGGTTAAGCGAAAGTTATTAGTATTTATTTACCTTCCTTTATGTCTCTTTAAAGTGAGTTTGATGTGCTCTTCATTGCCTAAACCAGCAATAGTTAGATTATGTGGGTAATTCGTACTAGTGGGATCTGAAAATACAGGATCGAAAGTCACAGCGCACAGGACAATGCCCAAAAATTCCAATTTAGGATGTGTTTCAATAAATCGCAATAGAACCTGCTGCGATATCAAGTCTTTCCAACCAGATACATCTAATACCATAAGATCAGGTAATATGTATTGATTTTCCAAAAATTCTGTGATGGGACAATTTTGGTTGTATGTCTGACTGTCCACTTTTTCAGTGTAAAAACTAATATCTAAATATTTTAACAGTTTTAACTGTTCTATCGTAGATACCAAATGCTCAACTTGAGCCATATCCTGAAATTATAAATACACGAATATATGAATATACGAATACACTAAATAATATAATACTTGTTTCATATTATTTATGGCTACTTACACAAATTGACAGACTTGTAAGTTTTGAAGACAACATGGTAAGTGGTTTTAAATCCGTAACTTGAGTGTTGGAAATATCTATCTTCTCTAATAATTTTAAATCTTCACAAATGATTTTGAACATTTTTTGGTTCAGTTCTGTATTTGACAAATTGAGACTTCTTAAATTCTTTAAATTAGATATTTTTATTATAAAATTGTGCCGGTTTGCATCAATAGCACTACAGTATGAAAAATTTACATTTGTCATATTCTCAACAGACCATTCATTTAAACAATCTAAAACAAATATAACATAGTACAAAAAATTTAAAATATATTTTGAGCAATCCCACATCACATAAATGACATTGTTATACTGTTGTGTTCCTCTTACCATAAATTTCTCCAATACTAATTCTCTTCAAGTTAATACACTCCAAGTCTACGATTTTATGCTGCTTAAAAATATGAGCTCCTTTTTTTGTCACTTCACAATTTTTTAATTTCACATTTCTTAACTTTGTATTGTTCTCTGTAAATAAGTTTAGGGTTGCATCACAAAGATAACCTTTCTCACAGAATTTCCTCAGTAACTTCTCAGATACCTCATTAATTAGAAAAATCTCAGGATCATGAAATACATATCGTTTCTCACATCCCGCATAATCTTCGATAGAACTTATTCTTTCCCACAAACCTTCTTTGGTCTTTCTCTGAGGCTCTGCATATATCATAATATTATCGCAAATCGTGTCTAAACACAAATCTTCCAAGGTACTTGGGCTTTCAAACATTTTTTTTTACAATTTCTAACCTCTTTGTTGTGAACAAATGAGTATCTTTGACGTTACATTGAGTTTTAACTTACAAAGACTGTTGAGAATAAAAAGTTTAACATAATTTTAAGAGATCATACTGGTTATTTAATATTTTGTTGACGAATTTGATAAAAATACTTAAATATTTCACTGCCATATTCTTCTGTTGCTGTCAAAAGTACCTGTCACTTGTCACAAATTGTAAACTGACGAACTGACAGCGTGACAGCCACTGTCAGAGAGAAAATAGTAAGCCCGGATCCACATGCATGCGTGATCATGGATATCCGTATCCGTGATATATATATGCGAAATTTAGTCCAAGGTCAATCTTCGAGCATATACTACTGGAGGTGGCATGCCATTGCGAAAAGTGTGGCTGAGTGTGCGAGAGAGATAGACAGTATCTCAGTACATGCTGTCTCATTCCTTGCTTCAATGATGGAAGCCCTGCGAGAACCAATGAGTGCAAACATTCATTTCCAACCAATCGTGTGCGTGCTAGAGTGAGACAGCAATTTCTGAGATAGTGTCTGTTCTCTTGCACACTCAGCCACACTTTTCGCAATGGCATGCTACCTTCATTAGTATATGTTCGAAGTGGTCAATCCACATGCAATGTCCATGATATTCCGAACTATCTCTGTCATTCTACTTCTACTTCAGCGATCTCGCTGTAACGGATACGTGATACGTACAAACATGGGATCTAGTCTCCCTGCGTACAAAGTTGAAATAAACCAACTTTCATCCGTTTTCAAGTCGGTTTACAGATGTACAATTGGATGTTGATGGTCACGTGGTTACGACGGATCCGGGATCACGCATCCACGTGGATTGTGTAGTCTCCATGCACGTGGATGTAGGCTTAACGAGATGTTTAATGTCAGATCCTACCTCAGAGTAATAAATAAAGGGGAGGCCGCATTCCCTATTTCAGTACACAATGTAAACATGTAACACCAACCTATTGTATGTTGATAAACAAATGATACATAAGTAAACACAATGGTCCCTGGTACAGTGGCGTACCGAGTTTAGTTTAAAATCTATCATAATATAAGGAAACCATAAAAATTATGCATTTTAATAGAATAAAATCAGAAGTGCTCGATTATTTAAGCTTTCATGTGTAATAAATACACAATAAATAGGAAAAAGTTAATGGCTTCTTCAAAATCTATAATTAATATTTTAAAAACATTTCCAGAACAAAAGAGTTACTAAAGAAAACTGCTCGATTGAAACTATCATTATACTATAGCTACCAAGCAAACATAATTTTACAAGTATCCAGTGCTACAAAATATGATGCATTCAATGTCATTGCTTGCTATTAGTTCTATTATTTCGTAGTTCTCGATTACTGGAAACAATTATATTTATTAAAATAAATAATTTAAATAAAACTACTAGAAAATGAGTAAAAATATATTTAATTAACATCTGCTGGAATATAAACAATGCAAAGAAAACAAAACATATTTGTACTAAAAGGGAAAAATGAAATTACATTGAACCTTTAATACATGGGAAAATAAACATGTTCCAAGCAGTTTTAAATGCACGCAACAAATAAAACTGAATTTTGAGCTTTCATAGCATTGACCTCCTCTTTTACAGCAGGGACATGTGATTGAAGATGCTTGTTTTCCCATTTTGTATACATGCAGTTTGCATAATTCTATTAATTTAGAGTGGTAATACTATAGTAGGAACTGTTTCAATATTGCTTAATTAGGTGTAGTAATATACTAGTTTTCAGATTATTACAAGTCTATTTAATCAGAGGCTGGATTCTGATTTCTTGGTTCGATACATATTGTAGCGACTAACGCATCGTCTGTCTGCTATTTAAAAGTAGGTAACTTAAGAGTCATAGAATATGTGAGACGATAAAATATGTATCGAATTGAGTAATCAGAATCTGGGGACAGTTTCATTGGTTGGCAAATAAAATGGTTTTCGTTAGAACGTTTCGAATTCTTTTTTTCAAATTTTTTTCCAACATAATTTTTGTTTCATGGTGCAACCTGATTTTTACATAACACCTTAAAATAATTTTTACAAGGTCTACACAATGATTTGCTAATTCATCACCTGCATCAAAAAAATGTTCTGCAAATTCATCATAGATATCTGTTGGCAATGCAGATAATGTTTTATTAACAAATATGTGCAATATATTGGGAGATCTGCTTGTTAATATATTAGTAGTATGTATTAAATTTCTAAAAGTACTTTCTCCCACTTTACACACTTTTACAACAAAATATGAAGCCTTTTGTAAGTTTTTATATTCTTTAATATTCTGTAATTGCGATAAACTTTTTTGAGTTCGCAAAAGCAGCCGGCACTTGGTACAAACAATGCTTTTTTCAATAGTTTTCACAACAAAACCTGATATATATGCTACAATATCCACAGTATAGTCAGTTAGATGGTCAGGAGAACGTAAATAATCATGATCCACTAGTTCCATTACAGTTTGCTCCCATTTGTTATATTCAGAAGTCTCCATAAGATTTACAGTAGAGTCATTTCGAGTTAAATGCTGTGAACCACAATGCAGTACTGGAATATGTTCCAATGGTACCGTATTTCCAGATCGACTTGCTTTTATTTCGCTATATACTAAAATTCTTTTGTAAGCAGCTTCGAACTGTTTTGCAGTTGGGTTATTATTAAATCCTCCTTTAGAACGAATTGTACCAAAAAATAACTCGATATGGTCTTGGGAGAATTTGTAGGTTATTATATATTTTAACAATTTCTTTTCTATTACTAAATCATTATAGATATGTTTCATGCTGTCAATACAAATAAGAAAACCTAAAAACCCAGTTTTTCTCTGTGTGTCAAGAATTGACCTACCATCAACTTTTAAAGATAATATATAATCTTTAATTTCCTCCAAATAAAGAAATACATGTTCACTATTTATATTTGACAAAGGTCTTTTGTAAGGATATTTTGCAAATTTTGTTCTAGAATTAAATATATCAAATAAGTTATTGAAATATAAAATAAATTTTGATGTAGCTGTACATTCTTTAAACTCCTGTTTAATATCACGTAAATAAATTAAAGCATCACTCACACTTTTACTGAAAGTTTGTGTAGCAATGCTAACCCTCATTTTTTCTTTTGCCCAGTCTAAATGCCTTTGCCTTAATTTATTTGCTGCATGTAATCCCTCGATATTTTGAACGTTTACCAATGCAGTTAAATAATTCCAGTTGATAAAATTTCCCTCGCCATCTTCAATTATTTTATAAGTTCCCAAACAATTTCTTACTAATTTTATCATGTGACATGGATCCAGCAGTATATATACAGGTTCATCAGTCATCGGATGCGGGAAATAAACTTTTAAATTATTCCCATTGGAAATATCAGCACCTAGTTCTGTTGCCATTCTGAGATTGCTTGATGATCCATCAAAAGTTATAGATTTAATAATTACACCTGTTGAATGTGTGAATTCAAGGCACCTTTTTATAATAACAGCTCTTTCTGAGGCACTAAGACCATCAATAAGGAAATACCCCACAGGAATTTTCCAACAAGCATTTACAGCTACTAACATCAATACTAAAGCTTCGCGAGCTTCTGGAAGAGAATCACTATTAATATTAGTTCCTACATCTACGTAACCAATGAATCGGTTTTTTGAGAATTCAATTTGTTTCCGTATTGCCATCTCATCTATAACCAAATTGCAAATAACAGATTTTCCAATTGCTCTTTCTGCCTCTACCTTCTGCTTTACCATGTCTAGTGATTCACTTGTGAAACCTGGTGCTCCATTTACTGATTGATACCATTTACTAATTGTGTGCGGATGTGGTAAGGATTTATTGAATACATTTCTAACGTATGCATAAGCCCGAGGTGAATAAAAATTTAACGTTATCGCAAAAGTTCTTAACAGTGGACTGTATTTTTGTTTCTGCGATCCTTGTAAAATTCTATTGAATATTTCTTTACACTCAGCAGGAACAGAATCCTGAAATAAAAAAAATACTTATTATACACATATACATTATACATATAAAACAATAACATTTTTCCATGAAATGAAATAAAATGGAATGGAATGGAAATGGTGCATAGTCGGTGAATATATAATTTACTATTTATTTAATTTTGCACAAATTAACTTCAGTCAACTCTTGCATAAAAAAATTAAGTACCTTATCTCTTGAAATGAAATATTTCCTAAATATACCTGGATATAATTTTTTTATTATAAGAATTATAGCCGTACTGCTGAGAGTAAAGTGGGAGATCCTTATATAATTGATCACGTCAATCTTATTGCATAATAACATAGGAGCTACCTCTAAGCCCCACCTGTTTTCTTTCTTTATAGGTGTTTGCCTTTCTTTGTTACAAAAAAAAAAAACGAACCCGATATGAGCAACCAACCTTGTCGATTCAAAATGTTCTATTGTTTTCATAATATATTCGGCATCATTCGTTCAGCAAATTTAAAAAAAAAATACTCTGGATGGTAACTTTAAATTTGTAAACCTCAATTTGCAGTACAGAATAGTACTAACAACAAATAGTACTTACTTGAATCACCGTAGCAGCCTGTTCTGTAATATATAGTTGTTTTTTTAAATGCAACAACAGAGTTTTCAGGTTCTTAACAGATTTCGTTAAGCGTCTTACACGCTGTTGCAAAGACATAATTTTTCTTCTCTGTGCAGAAATCTTTGTTTTGGCAATAGATAATCCTCTTCTGGCCATTACTGGGTTAGCTATATCCATACTGGTAAAGTCTCCTACGTATCGTTTTCTAAACAACAACAAATTGATTAGATATCCTCAAACCAAATAGCACAAAACCAGTTTAAAAATAAAATGATTTTGCCAAACATAAAGTTACAGCATTACTATGAAGTTATAAGGTCTTGACTATTAAATGTTTTAATAAATCAAGATTGATTTGACCACCGATGTCACGCACTAGATGCATTTCAGAACTGGTGATGAATAATTGATGTAAATTAAGTGTTAATTCAATTTGTAACACTTACAATGCACATATAGTGTATTTATGTAAGTTTGTAATAATTTTCTTCAAGAAACTTCTGATAACTTCTTGTAAAGTTGATTACATTTTGTACAGAAGTCGATACAATGAATTGTATTTAGTGTATAACAACCATATATTAAGTGTATACAAAGAAAGACTTAAGGTTAATCGATATAACGTACGTATATTTGACTCAATCATTTTATTTTTATATATACTAAATCAACCAATTAGCAGAATAAGTGAGATTAATTAAGAATTTTGGCCAATCAAACCCAGCTATTGTTCAAATGGGTTCATTACCTTCTTAATATTTATATATGAAGATTTTATTCAATACCGATAATTGAATCTCCATTTTTTTTAACAAACTTATACATTTACAAATGGTTTACTTTTCTTTACCTTAGAGTAGTTCTTTTTTTAACCATTGTAGTTCTGCCAACACTTAGTTCTGTTTCACTTGTTATGAATAACTGGGGTGAACATGAGAGAGTTTTTGAGGAAGGTGAAGAAGAGAGTGTACCAGATGGTGATGAACATGTTAAAGTTTTTGAAGATGACGGCGAACAAGATAAGGTTCTTGAGGATGGCGTCGAACAAGTTAAGGTTCTTGAGGATGGCGATGAACAAGATACATTCTTTGACAAAGATGTCCTGCAAGGTGACACATATCTGTAAATAATTATATAAAATCATAAGAGCAAATTTCTATGAGTATGATATGAAATAAAAAGTAGTATTTGGCACATCACTATTAATTCAAATTACTTTCTTACTATACAGATTATACCTGCCCCAAAAGTACATATACTTGGTTTTAAGCAGGAATCCTTAAGGCTAAGGTACCTACCTAATTTTTTTCGTGCTGCCAGCTTCACCATTTTTGGATCCACTTGTAGACGCAATCTCTGACAGCACCATTCTAAATGAAAGAATCACAACACAATTAATTCATATTTTCAAATGATCTTTTATTTTGCTATTATATAATACAACATCCTTACTTTCTCTTTGTTACAGGAACATCTACAACATTTCCTTCATTGGCAACAATTTCTCGAAGGGGGACCCTGCTTTGAGACGGCACAACCATTTCATCAACACTGCTAAAAATGTTTGTTAAATTATTCTTATTATCTTTTTAAAATGTATTACCTTCCAAACGTATTAATAGGGACAGCTCCATGTGTGAGACATCGTTTCCCAGTTAATGTTATCTTAATATCTGTAGCACGGAAATGCTTCGAACAGACATAATTTTCCTTTGATAAATCACACTGAATGTTTAAATTTTCTAGCCACACTGTTCGTATCGCAGGATCTTGTGGTATTCTACAAATAAACACAGAGCTAGTTTTAGTATCAAGATACAAACATAATAAATTAACAAATAAAATACTTAGGACACCTTACACCCTTGTATGAACGCCCATGGAAACGCCCATGGAAACGCCCATGGAAACAATGTCAAACTTACTTATGGAAAGAAGTAGCACATATTTGGCTCTTTTCTTGCAATTGACGGCATATTACACACCGCTTTGTCATTTTTACTGAAGATAAATAAAAAACACGGTTTAAAAAGATACAAAACAGTGAACTCAGCTAATATCGATTTCACAATAATGGCGTCCCTGATGGTAGTTATGTTTAATACCAGGCATTCCAGGCAATGATGCCACTTACGGCGTTTATTTTGCTAGGAATTTCAATTACGTATTTTTTTTCGGATATTCAGAATCTATAATTATAAAACAAGTTGCAAGAAAAGGGTGTGTATAGTCGTATGCATATTACAATGTAACTAATTTGTAAGTCGAGGTCAAGAATGAGGTAGATCCTTGTACGTTAATCAATTAAAATGTCGGCTGTACCTAGCTATAAAGATAAAAATGTAACATTGGCATCAATGTCAATGACGTCACAAAGTACCAGTGTTTGTAAATACACATATGTCAACACTTCACTATCGAATGTAAATAAAGGCGTCCCCTTTATTTATTAGTCTGAGGATCCTACCTAGATTAGAGAGAGAGAGAGAGAGAGAGAGTGAGAGTATGTAATCTGTGATTAGAGAAGAATGCAAGAGTGCAGGACTGCGGGAGTCCACAGGGCCTTTCGATTTGCCAACAATAGTAGCTAATAGCAACTTAGAGCTACTCTGAACTGATATTAGTTGCCAATAGGTACTATATTTGCCAAAACGAAACCCCCCAGGAGTGTCGGATGTGCTGATTTGCTGATGTGCAATGTGCATTTTGCAATGCTGTCAACTTTTCGCGGTGTAAACATTTATAAACATAAACAATTGTTGTGGAATTTATGTAATTAACCGTTTCATTTAATCTCTATGATGTGAGATAGGAAAATATGCTTCCAGTCAGAAAATTTGTTAATTGAGAGCAAAATTTTTATGAATTCAAGGTACTTACATATTATATATAATTTTATATCTTAGATAACGGTTAAAGTTATGTGCATTGAAGATTATAAATTAAACATGAATATACCTCGGTACATAATGAAAGGCGGACATTATGAAGTGAAGATAGAGAATATATATGATCCATCAAAATTTTGGGTCATATTAAAATTTAAGGAACTTGCAATTTTTATGAAGTATTTGAGGTGTTTTTATGATAATGTTGAAAACAGAAAAATTGTTCCTAAAAGCGATTTAAAGAAGAACTTTATTTATATTGTCCGCAGAAGAGATATGTATTACAGATCTACTGTTATGCCACTTTTGCTACCTGACAGAAACCAAGTTAAGGTTTTCATGATTGATTTTGGATTTATTGTCAATATATGTACAGAAGATATATTTTATATTTCTGAAAAACATCAAGTTGTACCTAGATTTGCCATTAGAGCCAGCTTGGCATACATTTCTCCAACTGGTGAGAAAAATGTGAATATTTAATCGATAATATATGAATGAATATATATTTTCAGATCACTCCAAAATCTGGAGCCAGCTAGATTTAAAGATTTTCTGTAAAATATTACAGAATAAAAGAATTTTTGCTGAAGTGTGTGAAATCGACACTGAACAGAACATATTGTTTTGTGAAATTTATATAAACCCTGAAGTTACTAATAAATCAATCGGTGATATATTAGTGAATTTAAAAATGGCCAAGTACAACGAAAGGTATACGAGCCACAATACTGAACTAACAAAATATAAAAGCAAGGTCAAATATCCACATCTCTTTCCATCTTTTGAGAAACTAGAAAATGGTTCAGTTCCATCGTCCCTGTGGGAAAGGAATTTATTAAAAGATTCTGTCTTATTTGATGTACTTTATAAGGATTATTATCAGTATCAAGATATTAATTGCGTTGATAAATAATGTCGGTTTCATGTTTGTTTCCATATTGTTCAATATATTTTCAAATTTATTTAAATATATCTTTCAGCTGTTCTTTTCTATAAATTTAGTTTTTGTATTTATTTGGCAATGTGAAGACTGCATAACCAGTGCCACTTGTGTTTTATGTGAAAGTAGTGAAAATATATATTCCAATTATTTAAGACTGAGGCATATGTAATCTTAATCTATATTACTAAATAGATTTATAATTTAAATTTTTTCTATGTATTTTGTAATTAATTTTTTTCAATAAAATATTTCTCTTATTGAAAATATTTATTTTCATTGAAAACTTTTGACAATGAAAAGTACTTTATGTCTTTATAGGTACACTATATACAGCGTGATCTTAAATAGAATGCGATAGATTCAGGGGGTGATCCACTCAAAAATATAATGCCGGAATGGCACAAAGCTTTAGAATTTTTTTGTACTATGATTTTGACTCATGATAAGTAAAAGGTCTGTTTCTGCAGCAGTTGAGGACTGATTTGAAACTATCAGAGATATTTGACCAATTGATTCGTAAACTTTTTACTCGCTGAGAGTTCGAGACAACTTAATTGGCCGAGTGTATCTGATAGTTTGAAAACATATTGAGACTGCTGCAGAAACAAACCTAATAGCTTTGTCACAGAAGATTGTTTTATCTTCTGTGGCTTTGTTCTTAGAGCAATCCAAAATGTTTCCAACAGTCAGATGCATGCGCATTTCGATATAGTGCTTATATAATGTTCAAAACTCATCGTTTTGAATCAAATGCGATAGCATCTGGCTGTTGGAAATTGTTTCTGATGCACTATAGCAGCGGTCGGCAACTGACGGACCGCGGTCCAGATCCGAACCGCGGAAAAGGCAAAAAACTGGACCACCAAAAATTTTTTTAAAGTATAATTACTGGAATTATTTAAAACATATTTTTCTGTATATAATAGTTTACTTAAAAAAACTGACTCAATTCCGCAAATGTAATTTTTCCTACTGATTTTTTAATATAAATATACCTATCTATTGTATTTCATATTTTATTTTGTGAGTGCGAATTAAAATAAAAAATTAGTAAGGAATAGGTATATGCGTTTTTCCTGGACCTTGTTAAAAATTTTCAAAAGTATCTGGACTCAACCTAAAATTATTTGCCGACCCCTGCACTATATATTATATATAGGAACAAAGCTATTAGACAACTGCCCTGTTAAATTTTTAAATTTAACCAATCTCAGTGTCTAGTTTCAAATTGTGATCAAGAAATCACAGCTAAAATGACACTTACGAAAATGTTTTTCATCTTTATAAAAATTAATGAGATAATACAAAATATTTTGATTGATTATATTATTTAACAATTTCAAAATATTAGTTTTGATTTTTTTTTTGTATTTGGACAATTATTAATTTTTTATTATTATTTATTACTGACTGTTTGAAGACTAATATAGTTCAATGTTAGTTAGTCATTTCCAGTAATATTAGTAAGTAGAATTTTGTCTGTCTACCTAGATGTCTCGTATTGAAGAACATTCTGTGAGTTTATTTGATAAAACCTATTAAAAAATATACCAGTTTATTTCATTTTTACTTATTGTCTTTACAGCTGTGTACTTATTTACTATTTACCAGTAGGTATACTAATAAATTTGCAGTGTGTTGAACAAGACCATAGGTAAAACAAAAAATAATAATTTTTGTAAAAAGTAGGTACTTTTAAAGATTTTAAATTTACTTCCAGATTTAATTTTTATGTCAGCAAGAGGTGGCGGAATATGTTTCGTCTGTAATACATGGAACTTCAGCATTCTATATTATTCCACTTGGATGTTATTGGATCAAATTATGAATATATTTATTATATGCATCCTTCTACCTTCGTTGTGTTCATTTCAATACAAATTTTGTATTTTAAATTTTAAAAACATTTTACTAATTTGGATTTTCAAAAAAAAAAGGAAAATTTAGTTGACTCTTTGTTCAATATTAGAAGAAGAAGATGACGGGTTTTTGACGTTTTTGTTTGATTTTCACCTTTCAACTTCACCACTATTTTCACTCAATTTGACTTACGACTTCGGACTCTTTGATATCTAACTCGTATTTTTAAAAAGTTATGACTGTAACGCATACATTATTCTATTAATTTTTAATCTACAAGATTATTTGAAAATTTGCTGTCTCCTCCGTTAGCTCTATTCTATTAAGTGAGATGTAAACCGTATTTTTGAAATATTATTTTTTAAATTTATATATTTAGGTTAGAATGGCAACAAGCAAAGTAATATTAGTGACTGGTGGTACAGGACTTGTTGGTAAAGCTATAGAGAAAATTGTACAATCAGAAAGAAGGGCAGATGAAAAATGGGTTTTTTTGAGCAGCAAAGATGGTGACCTATGGTAAAACTATAAACATATGTTACAATATATAAACAATTAGAGAAAGTAGATTAAAATGTTGGGTTCTTTATATTTGGCCAATTATGAATCAAATTAATGTTCTTTTAGCGATTACAATTCAACAAAAAAAATTTTTGAAAAACATCGGCCTTCTCATGTGATACATTTAGCTGCTATGGTAGGAGGCCTCTTTCACAACATGTCCCATAATTTGGACTTCCTGGTAAATCTCAATGAGTAATTATTTTATTAAATACTATAAAACAGTTATAATTTCAGAGAAATAACCTACACATGAACGACAACGTTCTGCAAATAAGTTTCGAGACTGGAGTTGAAAAAGTGGTGTCATGTCTATCTACCTGCATATTTCCTGATAAAACTCAGTATCCCATTGATGAAACTATGGTAAGTGTAATGTCCATTAAAGTTTACACAATTATAAATGGCTTTATGAAAACTTTGTAATATTCAGGTACACAATGGTCCTCCACATCCATCAAATTTTGGATACAGTTATGCTAAAAGACTCATAGATATACAGAATAAGGCATATCACGAGCAACACGGTTGCATGTTTACCTCCGTGGTTCCTTGTAATGTCTTTGGTCCGTTTGATAATTACAACCTTGAATCTAGTCATGTGGTACCAGGGCTTATCAGAAAATTACATGACTTGATGGAGAAAGGTAAAATGATTTCACTTTTAGTCTTAATGGAATGTTTATTGTTGTTATTTTAGGAGGTGAAACTTTTACGGTTTTGGGAACAGGAAAACCGTTACGGCAATTCATTTACTCTTTAGACTTAGCAAGACTGTTTTTGTGGGTATTAAGGGAATACAATGAAGTTGAACCTATCATATTATCAGGTAAGATTAGCAACATGTAATGCGGAAAAGAATCCTTAGTATGGTTTTTTAGTTGATGAAAAATCGGAGGTGTCCATTAAAGAATTAGCTGAGGAGATAGCGAACGCCTACGATTTTAAAGGAAAAATCGTTTTCGATACTTCTATGGCTGACGGGCAATACAAGAAGACTGCTAGTAATGCAAAATTGCGGAAATACTTACCAGATTTTGAGTTTACAGCGTTTCCTGCAGCAATAAGTGAGAGCGTGCAATGGTACAAGGAGAATTATAAGAATGCCAGAAATTAGAGGATTGGTAAAGTGTTTCTGGCGGTTCCAGTTTTTATCGCTTCAAATATGTATATAGAGTAATAAAATCAAGTTTTATACTGTTCGCCAGATTTTTTGCACGAGTATAATCCATTAGGTTACAAGAGTACCATTTCAGATAATAAAATTACAGTATAATCTAGTAGCCATTGGGAATACCAAAATATTCGGTATATAGGGAGTTCATTATTGCGAGGTGGTGGTACATAATGAAAAAAGACGGGTTTAATTATTTTACTTTATTGTTAAATATTTATGATTCATGTTCAAGAAGAGCTTGAGAAATATTAAATGTGTTAAAACGACCAGCGCGGCTGACGGTCTCCAGTGGTGCAAACGGTAGTGAGCGTGCCAATTGAACTTTTGCGGCATTATTATTAGTGTTAACACGAATGGCAATTCGATACCATTCAATTTGCTGTGCCTAGTCGATGTGTGAGGCGGTTGTTCAGGAGACGGAACCCGTTTCGGACGCCAGCAACACACGTGCGTACATAAACAAACGAAATAAAAAATCGTTACTGTGGAGACGACACGACGACGCGATTTGGGTAGTAAGGAGAGCCCGCCCTACCAGATCGCGGTTTTAGCCGGCACTTAGCGTCGGAAATCCCCGATGCGTTCTTCAGACTCCTTGAAACGACCCGGCGACGACGACGTCGTTGGACATGACCATATCCTACGCCCCACCTCTTTCTCTTAACAAGCTAGAGAACGGGATAGAATACGGAAATATGTTAGAACTGCTCGAGCTCAGAAAATAATTGTCAGTCTTTTAACTTTTTATGAGCATCAAAATTACAAATTCCTCCTTTTCAATCTCAGTTTCAATTTCATCAGTAATAGAGACATTTAGTTTACATAAGCATAAAGAGGGCACATTTTAATTTTTTTTATTAAATTCAAATTCAAACAAGAAATTTTGAGTTCCAACGCAAAATTTTTAGATCGAATTCGAAATTTTAAATTTGAACTTGACGTTTCCTGTTGGCACATGAAATTTTAAAATTTTAAAACAATTGTACGTAATTTTTGTTTCTACCCTCAAAAATTTTTACCTAAGCCTAGAAAATGGTTTTAGAAATTCTTTTTATGAAAAAAAAAAATAGTTTAGTTGAGTTGTATGCATTCCTATTCAATAATACAGACATTTTATTTCGATGGATTGTACAGGATGTTAGTTTATTATAGTACTGTAAGTACAATTATTGAAATTTGGAAGATTTAATGAAAAATACAGGCAATTATTCTTAATTAATCAATAATTTCGAGCAATAATAAATTTATTTAGAAGATAAAGTAGAGAGAATGTTACAGAATTTTTCACAAAATAATCTGCTTGACATTTAATTTTCAATATTTTTTATGTGTAAATAAATCCTTTATTATAATCTAACGTTATACTGATCACCGCTATTTGTTATTAAAAACACATCACTGCATCGAGTTTATAAAACGGAATTGAATTTTTTTGTTACTCTGTACAAAAACCGTTTTTTATTAAAAACTTTTTAATCTAAATCGACTCAATATAATGAATTATGTTTTATACAGAATATTCCGAATATTTAAAACATGACTAAAGCAGGGTTTTCCAAACATTTTGAGTGACGAATTATAAAAATAAAAATTTCGTGGAACATCATATACATTTTCTAGTTCTAGCATTCTGGCACAGAGGTGGAGTTCCAAATGTAGGTGCTTAGATAGCAAAAACATTTTTTTTTTAGATTTGATAAATATGCAATTATTAATTTATTCTTTGATAAGAACAACAATTCTGAAACAAAGAACATAAATAATTAATATAAACTTAGAAACAAAAAAAAAATAATATAATCTCAAAAACAAAAAATGAAAATGATTAATATAAACTCGGAAACAAAAAACTAAGATAATATTACAAAAAATAAGTACTTAATGTAATCAATGACTTTGATGGTATTGCTTCTTTGAGATGCAAATTTGGTTGATGTCAGGAACTATATTTGATAATTGAATTCTGATATCTGATGACACATCAAGTCTGTTCCTCGGACTTCGTCTCTTTTTTTTTCCGGAACACCTACTAACAGTACTAACTTCGCACGGTACACAGTTTGAGAAATCTTGTACTAAAGCAAACACTGTTCGATCAATATGAAAGTTTGTGATGGCAAATACGAACACGTATAGTTCAACAAATCTGTTTTTTTTTAATTAAAAAATGCTTAATACTAATACTATTTGCAAATTAGGCTCAAAAAACTGGATTATCATGTCGCGATAGTGACCACCATAAAGGGAACATAATATACAATTACAACAATCAGAAAATCGTTTTTTTTTTATATTCTTAAACGATAGAATTGTATATTCTGAAAGTTTGAAAAGCGAAATTTGAAAAACTCCGGAAGTTACAGCCCGTTGACGTTGTGTATGTCCGCTCGGGTTCCGAATGCACGCCACAGGTAGAAGCAAGAGCGTACAGGAGCAGGTATACTCGTTCACCACACGTTTGTAGGAAAATTAACCGTTTTCAGGCATGTTTCGGGAAATAGTCGCCCAAGTTTGTTTACAGTTGCAATTTTCAAAGTTGAAGTTAAATCACTATTAAATATTGCTCAACAATGAAAACACATTGTTCTTTCTTGCAGTGCTACATATTTAGCAACCCTGAACTGNGGTCTCTCTCAAAATCATTACTGGTAAAATGAATAGAACATATTCGGCTATGATTCGGATTAAAACTGTCCTGCCTCTTACAACGATTTATCCACTCCTTGTAAATTGTTTGTGAAACTAAATTATTAGATTTTGGAAATGGAAAAAATTTGATATCTTCCCCTTTGGCTTTTACCCCAACAAAACTGTTATTGCAGCCATAAACTGCACATCGAAAACCAGGCATCTTTTTTTTATTAAAGATTAACCTAAAAACAGAGAAATTTAAGTATTTATATACATGTCTAAAAAAATATATTAAATTTATTACCTTTTGAGTAAAATTAAAACTCTATTACTGGCTTTAAAGTCTCTGAACACTAAACTACCACAAACAGTAACACAATAATAACGAACTATATTAATAAGTTAACAAGAACTAACAACAACAAACTACGTATATAACGTCAATTAATAATAACAGTGACGATAAATCCTCTAAACGAACAATAATCCACAAAAAACACACGGAAAATAAGGAAAATGAGCCGTTTTACATATGTAAACATAGCACGGAGGTAACGCAGTGACGTCACGTATTCGAGCGTTTGACATTTTATTTGGCGAACATAGGCTTAAATGGGATCGAGCAATCCTCTTGTATAAAATCCTTGGGTAGAAGCAAGAGCGTACAGGGGCAGGTATACTCGTTCACCACACGTTTGTAGGAAAATTAACCGTTTTCAGGCATGTTTCGGGAAATAGTCGCCCAAGTTTGTTTATAGTTGCTATTTTACCGTGGTTTTTCACGTTGAAACTTTTTCTCTAAATTTCATTCCTGAAACTAATGTAGACGATTACACAAAAACTATTGAACCGATCGAGTTTCTCCTTGGTAGAAATGTTGATAACATTATTACTTTCTATATGACGCAAATTGGTTTTGGAAAAATTTGAAAAAAACTATTTTTTATACAAATTCTGCAGAAATTTCGCATGAAAATTCATTTTGTCTTTAAATGCGTGCTGTTTTTTCAAATTTGCATATTTTTCATTTTTCTCAATGTCTCATAGAAACTACAGGTTTTAGATAAAAAAGAAAATTGTATTTTGTTGACTTTCTACCACAGTTCCGCCATTTTGACGATGAATGAATCCAAAACATTTTTTTTTACACTGGAATATCCTATCAAAGAACACATACAGTCCGATGAATGAAGAATGAATATTTCTTAGTTTAAAAAATTCCTCAAATTGACTCATTTTCCTCCGTCTAATTGTATATGTCCCCTTAACTGATATTGCCTAACCAGCCGTATTTTCAAAGAAGAATGGTTCGATGATGCCCCCAGTACAAAATCCACACAAAACAATGACACATTGTGAATGCATTTGTCTCTCAATAATCACTCGTGGATTTTCTGAACCCCAATTGTGATAATTTTATCGTATCGGAATGTAACGTATCATATCGTAACGAAGCCATCAAGAAGACATCATCGCTGAAGATGATTTCAGAAAAATCAGCCTCTATTCCATAATCCATTCAACGAACTCTATTCACCCTGCATGGTCAGTAAGCTTCAGTTCTTGAGTCAATTGAACTGTGTAAGCATGAAAATGCAAATCTTTTGCGACAAAACGGTGCTAAATTGATGTTCCTGGACTCTCATGAATTGCTTCCATGTTTTGTGTTGAACGACTTGTTGAAGGATGGTCAGTGTTTAAGATCACTCTAATTGATCCAGTCTCCCTGAATTTTTCAATTAATCTCTTCAAAGTTGAAGTTAAATCACTATTAAATATTGCTCAACAATGAAAACACATTGTTCTTTCTTGCAGTGCTACATATTTAGCAACCCTGAACTGTTAGCCATCACCCTGCCTTTTGTTTTTTCATTGGAAACACCCATTATACAGGGTGATTCACAACTTATCCAAAAAATTTGTGAACAGATGCGGAATGAAATATATAAAAAAATTTTTGTAAAATCTTTAGTTTCCGAGAAAAAAATTATTGAAGTTGTAGTACTTACTTTCAACCATTATATAGCTGGACAACTGTAGTCTCTAGCGCCATTCACAATACGCGTGGATAGCCATGTGGCCTCAGCGACTCCGAATACTGAAATCTGATTTTACAATCGTCGTTGTGATAGTGTTTACAAAAGTTTTTTAGTAGTTAGTGTAAAAAATGGCTTGCATGTATAGCAACTCGGGAGTTGATTTATGTCGTTTTAATTTATGGTGAAACAAGACAACATTTGAGTTAGTTCGTAAAAACGTAAGACGGACCCAAATGTGTTTACATGTCGGTGGACAAAATTTTGAACAGTTGAACATCAGGTATGTCAAATTATTTGATTACTTATTTAAAACCACACATTAATTTTATTAATTAATAACAACAGCGGCAAGGCAGATGAATTTGCAGATATAAAATATGTAGGTGGTATAAAATTCTATTTATTTATTTCCTTGCGAAATTTTTTCAAGTTTTTGTCCGGTTTTATCACACTGCCGCCATAACGTCGCATTGCGCGATGTCAGGTTTTACAGTGGACCAGTTTCCAGTGCCGTGCAGTCATTTTCGAACTGTCCTTTTTGATTTTTTCTTTACAAAATTGTATTTGTAAGAGTTCCCTGTGCATCCAAAATTTTTTTTTTATAAGTTCTGAATCACCCTGTATATTTTCGTGTCTTGATTAAAAGTAAAGTATCCACGTCCATTTTATAGAGGGTCCGTTATTGAAGGATGTTAACATTAAGAAAACCACATTGTAAAGGTTTTACTGTAGTAGGATTACCATAGGTTTAGAAAAAGACACTATTTACCAAAATATATCAATCTCAAAATTTTATTTGTACTAACAGTACCAAAAAATACAGTCTGATTGCAAAGTTCGTAATTTGAAGTTCATATGATAAAACGCATAGCCTTAGAGTATATTTTTGCAGAAAATAGAACATCTTTATCAACTATATAAAACAAAATAATCCAACAATGTTTACAACAGGACAGAAAAACAAAAAATGTACGCTACATTTCTTTAAGTACTTGTACAAAGAAAAATAAATATTTAAAAAATTTGCGATGATCTAAAACCTCGTCCCTGTGAAAACATTGCGGGCACCGTTATCGAGTCAGATAATACTTAAAACGAATTCATACACTAACAGATATTGCTTAAGATATGTAAAATATATGTATATGTACATTCTGAGCCGAAGGACATCGTACTTAAGAATACATACCAACAATCCATCAAGTAATTTCAGTAACAGATCACTAGAGTATATAATAATACTTGTCTTGTCATAATAGTGACGAGAAAGTTAACGGATAAAATTTAAGAGAAGCTTTGTTAAACAGATCGCTACCAAACAATAAATAATCTCGGGAACTCGTTAGAAACTCCTCCCTTGGGTAAAAAGTGCATTTAACTTGTAACTTGGCGGTTACGGTCAAAAGGGAGGAGTTGTAACAATAAACGTAACACAGAAGCCTGTCATATTCTTTCCTGTCTCTCCTCATTTACGTTAAGTATCTCTCTACTTGTGTACGGAGGTGGAGGTTCGCTTATCAATCTGTTATTTCTCAGAACGTCGACGTACGAAGGCGGTTGATCGTTGAAACCACCCGTGTTGCTAACGTTAAACCTGGCCGCATTGAATAGTAAGGGATCGTTAACGTCCGAAGTGTCTATGATTATGTTTCGTTCGTTTGAGCGAGGGGTACGGGAGTTGCCCCGCACGGTATATATATTAGTGGGCGTGAAGTTAGCGCGGATTATATTGACGTTTGTTTGGTTGCGCAGTGCAATGTTCTCGCACAAGTTGTGACGTTGCTGTTGTAGTGCGGTTTTCTTGGCAAATATGACGACTTTCGAGACTATGAGAAGAAGGAGAACGATAGAGAAGAGGATGCTGACAATACCTGGAATATAATGCAATATTAGATCACTCGTTTATAGCGTAACACTAGAAACATAAAATTTCGATTGTAGAGGATACTTACAGACAGATATAAATAAATATCTGGCACCGCTATGCTGAGGGTGGCTCACATTCGGACCACCATACTCTAGTTCTTCATAAGCTATGAAGGGAAAAGGGTACATTAAAAATTAGTATAAAACAGTTTGTCCAGATTACCACATTCCAATTCGTCATGAGCTAGATATGAAAAATATTATATTTTTAATAACTATGCAACAGTCGTCAGTGTTCATTATTTTATTTTCAAAAGCGAAGAAAATTTAAAGCCGAAAATTGATTGTCGGTTACAGAACGCCTACTGAACATTTGAACTACCGTATTAATTTAAATAAAATTTACTTACATTCCGATAATACTTGACAACATTTAGGCCTGTTGGTAACAGTGCAGTTTTGGTCATGGTGTCTATCACAGCACCAACTGCTTGGTATACATCTGCCGTCGTCACATGGTATTTTATCTGTAACGATTATTATTCAAGAGCTATAGTTATTATAAATGGTATGGTAGTATAAATTCGATCAATTTTTGCCTTACAACCTAGTTTTGATTTTCTGGACATGAATCTGAGGTTGAGACTAGAATTTAGAGGATCAAACTGAGGCTCTATGGTATATGAAGATGTACCATCCCTTTACATTACCATTATTATTTGTACATACCTCTACACGGATTACCGTTGCATTGGTTTTCGTCAGATCCATCTTTACAATCCGGGATTCCGTCACACACATAATGGGGAATTATACACACCCCATTGGACATGCAGTGGAACATCTGATCAGTACAAAATATTGTTTCTCTCATAGGTCGCAACTCGTTCCTTTTTATATTGTCTATAACTAAGATATGCACATTTTTTGATAAGTTAAACTTGCGGCTAACGCAATAGTAATTCCCTTTGTCTTCAATCTGTAGAGGTTCGAACCTCTTTTCAGACTTGTTCAGTCCTCCTAAACGGGTGTAAGAATTCTTGTTTGATCCTATGGAGTTGGATCTGAAAGCCACAAGAGAAAATTAGTTTATATTCAAACTTTTAATAGTACTTCTTGATATTTAATCATTACCTTGTCTGGTTTGAGGGACTGTGTCCCCTGATCCATACTAGATTGTCATCTACAACTTCTTTATCGTTTGCTGTCGAAATCAGTTCGCATATCAGAGAAAAAGTAGCACCAACTTTTTCTTCCACTGTGTTAGACACGGGTGTTATAAAGTCTTCTGTGTTTTTAACGATTTGTAGACGTACATCACCTGAAATTCGTTAAATTTAAAAGCCTTGTTAACCATAACCTAATTATTTCATTTACGGTAGTAACAATTGGTCATATACTTACATATTGTAAAGTTGATTAATCCTAAAACTAAAATATAGACTAAACAGTTAGTCATTTTTAAAACATTTTTGATATATATATTTTATTGGAAGCCATAATTTTTTTTTTCAGTAAAAGTTGTTGGAGGTGGTAACAGCAACAGCTAAGGTTAACTTTAATGGCACTAATGGCAGCGCTTCCTTTAAAGCGGTCCATACACTATATGGTACATCTCATATCTTCTCTGTTGCAGTAATATAACTACGTTTACGTTTGCTTCTTCCTAGTAATTATTAATTAAACGTGGCTTATATACTTAATGATAATACTTTGTTGTATTTTTTTCAGAATCTACTATTTTTCCAACAGGATTCACATAAAGCTTTTTTCGCGAGTGAAGTCGTATGTTGTACTTAGTATGTGTAGTATGAGAGAATGAAGAGATTTAAATTACCATATGATGACAACTAAGAACAAACGAGATAACTGCGAGTCGGATATTCACCAATATTCAGTCGCAAAAAAAGGACTATAGTCGCAAATTGCGAAATGTTAATAATATTCTGATATTTTTTATTTATTTAGTAATTAAATTATTATAAAATTTCTTAAAGACGTTACTGACTGCACGCAAATGTCTAATAACAGTATTTGTAAACCGCATTTCTTAAATTCCTACGTACTGTTTTAGAGGTGTATGATAACCTTTAGTAATTCGGAACATTGAATTAATGAATGACATTCTTGGAAGTGTCTAAAGAGGCCACAGAAATGAAGACTTCATTTGATTTTGGGACGACCTTTAGATAAAAACTTGTAAATACTGTAAGTGTTGGTTTACACTTGTTGTTTATTAAATAAGTTACTGTTTACAGAATTAATTCAGGTATACCTAAAAATTGTAATTTGACTAATAAATATTATATTTTGTTATAAACATTTACAGTAACATTCGAACTTACAGATAAACTAAAATTTGCTGTATTTCTACCACAATCTTTATTACCTAGAAGATACAAAATGAAGACAAAAGTTAATTGTTTTATCTGATTTATTAATAATATTTATAATTGGGTAAGTTATATTTAATCTTAAGTAGTTAAGTATACGATTAAGTCTATATGACTAGTTTTTAGTTTTTACAAATTAATTCAACCTTGTACCTTACTAAAGTTCTAAGCTACTAATTACAAATATGCTATTTACACTATACACAAATAAATAAAAGGGTAACAAAGTGGTAGTCTTATATTCCTTACGCACAAAAATGCGGGAATGTTAAAAAATTTGTTAATATTGCTGGTACTTTTGAATTAAGTAGGTATTTTTTAATTGCATTAGAAGGTATAAGCTGACAATTGTCCAGTTTTTCAGGAAAAGTTTCAGTAAAACACTGTGCAACTTTCTTGTAATTTGATTCACTCACTATCTTAAATAGTTCACCACATTCCTGTGGCTATTAAATATACCAGGCCAATGGCAAAAATCTGTGTATTGGTTGAATATTTTCTTTTTAGAAATAAATGTTATTAATTGACAACTATGTTCATCTTATATTCGTAACACCAACAAAAAAAACAACATTCTTATACAAAACCACTCTAACTATCTAATAGGATTCAATACGTAAATAAAGTTTATCTAATAATAAGGATATAAGACTTGCAACAAAAACAAAAATGTATAACAATTTTTAAAGAAAATAAGAAGTAAGTACAAACAAAAAATATATTTATCTGCCAATATACACTTCGTATCAAAATTAACACACCACATTTAATTGATTTTCTCGAACTGCTAATCTGATTCACCCTGTGAAGTGCAGCAGTTAAATTAGGAAATCTCTTCTCGAATCATACTTTAATCTCATCTTTTCTGAACAACTTGTTCTTTTATTTGCGTCGTTTTTTCTGTTATTAACTGAAATTCACAGTTAATTTCAATTTAAATGAAATAAACAACAATATGCAGCTTAAAATTTAAATTTTGATGTAAAATGTATTTTGTAGGAGATTGTTAATTTAAAACTGTTGATTTAAAAACAGAAAACCATATTAAGCACCTTTGTATGAATAACCTAACTGTTTCGTATCTCCGACGATATCTATGTCGCTTTCACAGTCGCTCACGTCGGAATTAGTTACGGAAAGACCCGAACTGCTTGCGTTCATGGACTTCTCTTGACACACTCCCCCCACTTCTGGACCTATACCTAAACAAAGAAAACAGAAAACGTTACTCAGGCTGCAATTTTTAAGTTTACATCTGTCAATATCATAATTTTCACTGCAAGTCCACTATTATTTAATATATTTTCATATAGCCCCTTTTCTGACACGCCACTGTCGGCGCGTTACCTGCTTTCGACCTTAAACGGGGGAGTAGGGGTGGAGGCAACCCCATCAAGTTGGCTAAATTTGTTTCTAAGTGGGAGCCCGATCTTTCGGTCTCACCCGCCATCTTACGTCGTAATTTAGTTCATTAGGTGCAGAACTTGCTTTAATTGATGTTGAAAATCTGGTACATTCCTGGCGACAAGTAAAGCTTTCCGAACGTTGGGAAAGTTCGATGGAAACAAGGCAGAATTCGAGAACATTGGATACAAATAGATATTTATTTTTTTAGTTTACACTGAAGGAAAATACTTTCTTGAAAGCAATAGAAACCTTCAGATTTTTGAAAATATCAAATATTTATTGTTATATTAATTATTTCACAACATTTTGTCAGAATATGTCACGAATTGATATAAATGTGAAAATTTAATTAGTTGTTCACCAGAATTAAATAATTATTTATATAAAAAAAAAATTGGAGAATATTACGTTAAAAATCCTAAATATATGATATAGAACAAATAAGTAATCTTAATAGGTAATTGAAACGAATAATATAATTTCAAGCATAAACAACCATTTCTAGGAACTAAATTCTTATCCTAAAATTTAAATATTATGGCACTAGGTACTTAATGTGCAACTGCGACTAGTCAACGAGGCATGTAGTGTAGAACATCATTAGCCATTACTGTGATGCATATTCTGAGGTGTTATTATGGATAACATGGATAATTTATTATCTGACTATGAGTCTTACAACTAAAAGTAGTGGATGGATCTTGTTTTATTATCTTATTTCGAAATTCCAATCGTTTTCGAGATATAGGGTGTTAAAATCATAAAAATTTTAATTCTTATAAGTATCCTCTTAAATAACACAGATCGACATTTGACCAAAAATTCGATATATGGCCGATATTTTACGCATTATAGGTATCAATCTGGAGATACATTTACGCGCAAAAGAAGCTAATATGCTCAATCCCGAACTCATTAACCCTAAGCCCAAAAACCCTATGAAGTCCATAAACCCTTAACCCATAAACTTCAAACCCATAAACACTAAAAATTGAGAAATAAGTCAAACTACTAATTTTCAACATGCGATTTCTCAGACGAAAAATGATATTGAGATAAATCGAAGTGCGTTTTAATGAGTACCTAAATATAGTACCTACCTACTTTTAAGACCCCATTAACGGTTTCAGCAAAAAACTTACCTTTCCATGTAACATAACCTCAAATATGTAAAAAAATTGCGATTTTGGCACTTTTAGGTTAGGATATCTCGAAAACCAGAGCCAATTGAGAAATTGGATTCGAATTCAACGCACCATAATCTTTTGGGAAAGTATATTCGTGTTGTTGGGTTAAAATCTTGTCGTCCTGTGTAATAGAGGCATTTGTACTAAATTTGGTGTACATTAAATTTTGTCGAGTTTTCGTAAAATACTATAATATTAAGACTCGCACTCAACCAGTGACGGCGATACTGAGAAGTACCGTCATGCGTCATCAAGAACATTTCCATACAACTGAATATTTTCTAAAATTCGGTAATTTTTCTAAAATTCTTTTAAAAATTTGTCCGTTACTAGATATCCTTTTTTTATAATTAACGATTACATTTGAAACTGTATTTGCAACAAATAATTCCTATGATTTTTTTTTGTGAAATGATTTGTTTTAGAATTATATTATTTTTATTCAACTGTATATTAAGCTTAATTTAGACTAAAAAAATAACAATAACTCAAAAATTATTTGTTTTTCGAATGAAACGGGTGATAATTTTTCTTTAAAATACAATAGGGAATCAAATGAAGTTATCGAAGTTACGAAATATTCAATGGTTTTGCAATTTTTAAGTTTTTAATGACGGTATATCCCGGTATCTCCGCCAATGCTTGTGCAAGACTATTGGTATTAAAGCTTTTAATAGAAATATGACCCAACATGACCTAATATAACGTTTAGGTCAAATACCTCTATTATTTCAGAGCATATTTCAGTAAATGAAATTTTTTGAAAACATTTAACACCCTGTATCTCGAAAACGATTGAGATTTCAAAATAAGTACTATTTTTTGTTGTTCTATATGTTCCAGTATTTGATTAAAACTGCGACACCCTGTATATTTTACTCACAAGATTTTTTTGTAGTAATAAATATAAAAAATAAAAATTTTAATTAATAAAAGCATGATGGTTGATGGTTGTAAAAAAATCATTAGTATCATTACCATGAAACTGTCACTATGAAAGATGCCTACTAAGTAAAAATGTTTTAAAAAATTTTACTGTTCTGAGCCATACATTATTTAAAAAATATTTATTTCTAACTAAACTATGCATAATTCGAAAAAAAGTAGACATTTTTTCTTCAAAAAAGTTTAATGAATTAAAAAATAATATAATTTGCTTCATAATTCAAAGGAATAAAAAAAATTCGAAAAATTTCTGTTAAGGGTAGTTACAAAACTGACTTTATTTATAACCGATTTTGATGAAACTTATGGTAGTTAAAAACCCTTATGGTATGATTATTGCCTACAATTTTCATTTCGTTATCTTAATCAGAAAGAAAGTTATTTTAAAAAATATCCAAATGATAAGACCCCTTTGGAAGGCCGTATCTCAGTAACGGTGCTCCGGAGGGCCAATGTTTATAGGAACTTTTTTTACTATTTTAGGCTCTACTTTCACCCCCTTAAATTTTGTACCAACTTTTCGGAACACCCTGTATTATGACGGGCAAAAAACGTTGTAAAGCGTGTCTATGAAATTTCTACGAGCTCTTCACAACGAAGCCGGTTTCAAAATTTTCTCTTTCTTTGATTTGATAATTGTTTTATCTCAATACGACAGTTATTCGACGAACATTATTTTAGAAACAGCTAACAATGAAAATAACTAAATTAAAGGTATGGAAGTATAAAAATGGAAAACAGTCATCATTATGGAGAGTGTAATCTTTTTCCCACTCTGATCGGGTTCTAAATTTAACACAAACCAATCCAGTAGCCGATAAAAGAGCAAGACTCAAATTAGACATAATAATCGTATCATATTTCCGCTTTAATCGCCGAGAAACGTTAGTTGGAAAAATCGGCTTAGGGAGACGTAACGCCGTGGTGGTCCGATTTCTAACAACTCCCGAGGGGCATCATTAATTTCGTATTACCCCCGAGTTGCATCCCTCAATACTTTTCATATACACAAAAGGCTGCCAGGAAACGGTGACAGCAATTCGCGTGGCGCAATTAACAGTTTACAAAAGGCACCAAAGCGCTTTTGAAATAAAGAGAATCAATTCGAAAAAAAGACGCCGCTAAGGACGTTGCTTGCACTGAAAAACGTTTTGTTGCAATGAAATAGCAATGCAGATGCAATCGGTTTACTTGAGTGTAAATCTCAATTTTTTTTTAAATGTTTTATATATTTTGGGTACTAAGCAATCATGGCCCAACATACGAGGAAATCAAATTATGTTGGCGTAATTTCTTATTAAATTATAGGAAGGAGTGGACATCTCAAAGAAGCAAGATTCTCGTCGTCCGACCACAAGGACCATCTTTCGGTTCTGGGTTAATGAAATGTTCCCTCAATTTACTTTAATGTAAAGTTAGGAGAGTAATCTGGTGAAAATATAAAAATAAACTACTTAAAATAGTAATTTATAAAAGATTCGAGCAATGTTAGAGACAACCAGTTCCTACTTTCCTATTTGCAAAAATTGGTATTTATTTGAAATAAATGCATGTGGAAATTTTTAATTGCATTCACAATATTATAGAAAAACTGATATTCATGAGTAGGATTTTCATTCAGATTTTATACCTACAAAATAATACGCAACTATTAGGATATTTTATTAATTCGGTCTCAAATAATAAATAGGAATTTCCACGTCATTATTTATTATGGAGATCTTCGCCAACAGCCCTACTATAAATGTAAACCAAAAAATTGTATTATTAATAATAACATCAAAACTTTAAAAAATGTATTTACAATAAAATTAAGTAACAGAAAAGAAAACAAAGTGATATGTTTACCTAATAATTAACAAAACTGTTCCTACTTGGTTTAAGAATATTAAAAAATATGAAAAAATATAAAAAATGATTTTCATAAGGTAGCCAGCCAACTTATCTATTAACATATAAAGCTTTTCGTTTTCCTCCACTTTTAACAAAATATTTTAAAAACATAGTGAATTTTTTTATAACACATGTTTATTCGTCCGTCTTTTAAATTTGCAAATTTACTTATCATGTCTTCATAAAATTGAGGATCGGCACTAAGACTTTGCAATAGTTTTTTTTCTATCGTCATCACTGATAAGCGCACTGATAAGCGTTTAAGCGCTCTTATGTCATCGTATTTTTTAAGTAGGTACCTAAGTCTTAATGCGCTTAGGATACAAAAAGTTTCTTTCTATACAGAGAGACTTGTTGCGGGAATTGTTAAAACTGGGCATAACAATTTTTATGTTTCCGAAAATACCTTAAATTCCTTGTATATTTAATATTTCTATCGTTTTTTGAACTTCTAAATTACGAAATTGTTCGTCTCTGTACAAAATATTAAGTTCGTTTTCAATCTATCTCAAAGACGTTTGTAAATTTTTAAAGATTGAGTAAAACAAGAACTGGAACGGGTTACATTGGTGTACATTTTTTTAATGTTATCCCATTGCATGTGAGAAATCTGAATTATAAACAATTTAAAAGTAAAATGAAAAATTATCTTTTACAAAATGCTTTTTATAACATTGAACAGTTTTTAACAAGTGATTTTAGCCATATTTAATTTATCGTTCTTTTCTAATTGTATTACTTTTATATTAATCTTGTATTTTAATTTATATAATTTTTATCTCATTTTAAATCATTTACTTGTATTATTCCCTATATGATATTGTAATATTGATATTTTACTTTTGTTTGTATACTATTATGTTGTCTTATACACTCTTACATGTTTTTCAATAATAATTTTATTATAATATGATGTACTTAGTGGAATAATTTCCTGGTTTTGTCGTGTGTAAACACTTTGTGTAATAACATTAATAGTTATAAATAAATAAATAAGAGGAGACGGATTAAACAGTGCATACCCTATGATGGTGGTCTAATAGAAAACAGTAATATTTAAATACCTATTATTTCGTTGTGAAACTAATTTCTGATATAATAAAAGAAATATATAATGTGGTTGTCTTATTGTANCGGGAACTGAAACACTGAAGCTATAAGCAGTTTTGAGCCGGCCTCAATTCCCTCCTAAATCACATTATTTTATACTGTTATTTTGATTTTTGAAAATGTAATAGGTAATTGAAAATTAGTTTACCTAACTGTTTATTTATGTTAATAGTAGAAGAGTAGGTATTAAAATATACGGTGTGATAGTAAAATTTTACATTGAGATCCGGCCTCAGTTGCTTCATACGACAAGACGCCACTGGGTTGATTATTCAGTTTCTTACTGTACAGGGTGTCCCCATATTCCCTGTGCATACAGTCTGTTTGAGTATAAAGGCCCCGAGCCATAACTCGGTTACCCATTTTTGGAGACCCTGTAAAGTTTATATATTTTTAAATGGGGTGTTATTCTTTTCATACTGACGCACAACTTTTTTTGTCACACTGTAGAATGAGTGGTGACGTCATCGATATTCTTTTAAAGGGGATTGTATAATTTTTTTTGCATGTTTTGATTTATGTTTTTATCATCTTTCCAACCATATGAAATTTGTATGCCTTTGCACAACGAAATTTTTGAGAAAAAATGAGAAAACTTTCAGCCTCTGACTTTAGTTTGTGGTGTTCGCTTTCTAAATGATATCAAACATGCGCTGGAAAAACAATTTTACAAACCGCTATCTGTCACATATCGTTCGGACGTTTGTAAACTCTTTTGTGCATTTGGCATGAATTTGAAATAAATAAATAAATAAATAAAAGTAAAAAAAAAACACAATGAATACATAGATACAATTATTTCAACTCAAGAGTAACTTAGATCACTATCTAGAATTTTCGCAAACAAAAAAATTACCGTGCATTTTCTCGGGCGCCGCCACCGTCAGTTTGACTGAAACAGAAGAATTGGCTTTTTCTTCTTGCATCTTCCTCATTTGCTTTTTGTGCTTCATCCTCCTGTTTTGGAACCACGTCTTTACTTGAGTTTCGCTCAAACTCAATGCGCTGGCAAGCTCTACTCTCTCTGGCGTCGAGAGATACCTCTGTGCGGAAAAACGCTTTTCTAAACCTACAAAACATGAAAATATTGATACATGAATTGTTTTTATCCTCAAAATAAAGTTATTCCTAATATTGAAAAATATTTTAATGGAGACAGAACAGGGAGATAATAATTTTGTCAGTTTTCATAAGTTAGTCTAAGTCATGCAACAATTCTAAGGTGAGCATTATTAGGAGATGGCTGAAATTAAAAAGTGTGTTAAAATAATGATAATTTGATCAAAACGTCTGTTCTAACTTCAAAATTCTTTGAAACTTACCTGTAAGCTGCGGGTCACTGAAAACAGTCCTAGCTTTTCTTCTCCTACAATGTTTGAGGGCGTTGAGGGATATCTCACTAGCATTTCCTCCAAATAGAGCGTGATGGAATGGTATACCTGGAATAATAATAGAATCATTAGTTCTTCCGCTTTTTCTAATTTTAAACTCCGGTAAATTTTTGAATTCGCAAGGTCTAGGATGGCAGTTTTACCAACCCCTATTGAAACTGTTAATATTTTACCCAAGTATGGGAATTACGGCATACTGTAATATTTAACTTTTAATTTAATGAATTTGCAAGGTTTAAGAGGGTGGTTTTACAAACTGCTATAAAAAAATATTTAAACCTGAGCTTGCAAAAATTGAACTAAAAAAAGTTAAAAAAAGTTATTATTTATTTGTAATTTAATAGTGCAATGTTTAATGACAGGAAAATAAAATAATGCAGTAGCCGTGATTCTAAACTCTATATTTTTCGAATAGTCCAAGAAAACAAGGAAAAAATGATGGAATTTTTTTACTTTGAGATTTTTTTTATAGAAAAGTGTAGGTTTTGAGGTCAGAAAACATGATTTTGTCATATACGCAACCGTTAGCATTTTGAGATATGATTTTTTGCGTTTTTTTTTTATAAAAAAACTACCAATATTTCAATGAAGATGCTCTAAAAAAGTTTCAAATAAAAGTTGTTCAAAATTAAATTTCCTACAAAATTGCTCCTATGAAAATTTTCCCAATAGTTTTCCCGTATATTTTTTAAATGAAATACAGATTATGCGAAAATTAATGTTTTGGAGCCAAAATAATGGTCAATTCATTTTTAAATAACAAAAGTGAATTATTAAAAAAAATTGTGGTAAATTCTTGGGAAATCTTATATAGTTTTCCGAGAGTTGAATATTTATGAGCATTAAACGTATCATTTTATAGGTTTTCGAGGGTGTATATTACGATTTAATTATGCGCTTTTTAATATATTCCAGAAAAATCTTTGAAAGTTTCTCAAGAACAGCGCCGCGTCGTTTTTTTGTCTAATACTGATTATCTTGACCACAGATGTCAAAAATACGTTTAGTGTGAATATTTTTCTCGCAAAAATGGCACATTTAAGTGAAACCGAGCCTATTGTAGTTTTAATGATCATAGGATATACCTAGTGATAGAAGAAGAAGTTGTGACGAAGTAGTAGATATTTTTCATGAATTGCATCCTGATGGGGAACGTATTTCTAAATCAACAGCTCCAAAAACATTGCAGGGTTTTCATGAAACTGGAGATGTTACAGGTCGACGAAAAAGTGGAAGACCAGAAAGCGTTACAAATGAAGAAAATTCTTTGAATGTCATGTTAGATATGGTGGAAAATCCAATAAATTCGACACAACAGAGGGCTTTAAATCATAATAATAGTCGATATTCTATTGAAAAAATTTGCAAACGAGAAAAATTACCTACGTCCATATAAAATTCAATCGTTATATGTAAAAGATATTTTGTCCCATGTACAAGATAAAAGACTGGTGATATGTATTGCAGAAACAACGACTCTACGAGCAATATACCTATGCCTCAATTATTCGATTGTATTGTAAAATTAATTTTGCCTTAGTTATATGGAATCCCCAATACAATACGTACATTAATCGCATTGAAATGACTCAACATAAATTTTTATTTTTTTTTTATTATACAGGGTGTCCGCGTTTTTTGTAGCAGGACTTTCACAACTTGTACTAAAAGTCCTTTAAAAAAAAGTCCATGTAAACATATATGTGTAGATGCGTCGTTTTCGATTTATAGAGTGTTCAAGTTTAAAATGAGAATTGATTTTTTATTCGTAAAACGAAAACCCGTTTTTAGACTTTATTGAAACTTGGCAACTTTGTTTGTAATAATAATACTCATTTTCTCACGTAATTTAATTTGTCCTATTTTCTCCAGTGGCGTCACAACAAGATACCAGCTTGATAAAAATAGAAAAAAATATGGTACGCCACTGCTTTTTGGTAAGTTTGAAATTTTTCTCAGATTTAGCTATCAAAAATACAACTTTTTTTGTTATTTAATTTTTTTCCTATCTCGCTTTGTTTAGTCAGAAATAAAACATTTTCATGAATAGGTTCGAGATTTGCTTAATTTATTTATTTACTTGTTACAAAGTGTGCCGTGAATATGTCTGTTTTTGAGTTGCCAAGGATTTTTTGTTGGGACCTTACATCCTGCCCAATAGATTAAGCGGTCAATTATTTCTTGAATTTTTAACTACCCAGCATGATAACATGCTAGACGATGTTCCTTTTCAACAAAGAATAGACTCGTTTTTTCAATTAGATGGATGCCCTTCCCAGTACTCTTTGGTGGTACGAAACTGGCTGAATACAGAGTATCCACAGAGATGGGTGGATCGTGGAGGTCCAGTTGGGTGGCCTCCGCGATCGCCTGATCTAACACCTTTGGATTTTTTTGTTTGGGGATTTATTAAGGATGCAGTTTACTCTACGCCTGTTAACTCGCAAGAGGAACTTGTACGACGAATCCGGAACGCTGCTCTCAGAATAACTCCACATCATTTGAGAGACGTTAGGCGGTCTTTGATACGTCGCTGTAATTTGTGTGTAGAACGAAATGGCGGGCATTTCGAACAGCTCCTTTGAGGTCTATTTATACAATAAGTTGTTTTTCCATACCGTGTTGTTTTTTTTTTTTATTATCTTACAATAAACTGTGTGAAACAAAAAGTTTTATTTCTGTCTAAACAAAGCGAGATAGGAAAAAAAGTAAATAACAAAAAAGTTGTATTTTTGATAGCTAAATCTGAGAAAAATTTCAAACTTACCAAAAAGCAGTGGCGTACCATATTTTTTTCTATTTTTATCAAGCTGGTATCTTGTTGTGACGCCACTGGAGAAAATAGGACAAATTAAATTATGTGAGAAAATGAGTATTATTATTACAAACAAAGTTGCCAAGTTTCAACAAAGTCTAAAAAGGGGTTTTCGTTTTACGAATAAAAAATCAATTCTCATTTTAAACTTGAACACTCTGTAAATCGAAAACGACGCATCTATACATATATGTTTACATTAACTTTTTTTTAAAGGACTTTTAGTACAAGTTGTGAAAGTCCTGCTACAAAAATCGCGGACACCCTGTATATAAGTGTAGGCAAACATTGCTGTTACTGTCCACAAATTATGTACTGAATACAATATTATACACTGTAAGAAAAATTTGACTTATTTTCACTCAATTCACTTAATAATATAGGTATCAATGTCCACCTGATTGAATGAAATTTTCCTCTAGTAGTATGAGAAGGTTCAACTAAATTTTTATGAGTGAAACTATCAGTTTTAGTTCAAATATTATCAAAAATGTGTAAAATTATCAAAATGTCCAATATTGACTGAAAATGTACTCAATAATTTCACTCAATAAATTTAATCAGCTTTCACTCAGACCGATTTATTTACAGTGTAACTTTAGCTAACAGGAATTGGCGGATGTTATTAATTTGTACAAAATTTGGAAAATCGATTGTTATCAGTTAGTAATAGTTATTTGTTTAAGTAGGCAGTAATGCCGCGGCTGGTATTTAACTGATGAGGCGCAGCCGAATCTATTAAAACAGCCAAGGCATTAACTCTACTTTACTGCCATGTTAAAACACATAAATTTTTCGCTAATCAATTTAAATTTTATCTTAATAGCAAACCAAGCTATTTATTTTATGCAGGCCGTTACAAATTCGCTTCTCACTACAGGGATATCGGAAACGGACATACGAAGTAGCTTAATTGGGGGCAAAGTTTCGTAATCTAGAGAAACCGAAAATTTGGATATCCGTTTTTGTTTCACTTCAGCCTTGTTTGAGGTGATATTGGAAAAAGAAGAACACTTTCTCATGGCAACTTTTCGCCCGCTATCGAATGGCATAATCAATTTTTGTATGTAACGTTTCGTCTCTCCAGGACCATCATCCACTTCATTCATTTAAATACGACCCTGGAAATTCTATTACATTTTTTACAAGCCTTCATGACCCCTAATACTGTACTGCCTCAGCTCGAACCAGATTCAGACGTTTTGTCTGGAAAAATTCATCTTCAATGTATTCGTTCCGTCTAAAATTTTTATTTAAATTTCTATGTTTATTGAATTATCGTACACTGTAAGTATCGTTAGACCCTGTGAAATCTAGTTATTAACTATTGCCATCATACGTTACAATAAAACATTTAGCCTTGATTTTTTAGAGTCATAATGTTGGTCCCCTGATTGTGCAACTTTGACCCCATTTAAGCTACTTCGTATCTCTTACCGTTTGCGAGATCCCTGTAGTGAGAAGCGAATTTGTAATAGCCTGTATTATTAAAGTTGTATGATACTTCTTTCATGAACAATTATTTATTTGAGATGGAAGAATTCACATTAACTCCGTCAGAAATTATTGAATCAACAAAGCAAATACATAGATTGTAATTTACCTATTACCAGAAAAATCGTAGAAGCTACTCCAGCAAACATTTAAAAAATTTATTGATTACCGGGCTGACAATAATATTGTCTTTTTCAGAAAATGTACTATTGGTGTATTTTTTTGGTGATACGTATTTAGTACAAAATATTTCTGTGAACGAAGACTATAATTATTTTAGGTGGCAATGTCGATGTGATGAATTACTTCCAATAAAATGGAGATATTGAAGATATGGCAAATAGATTGCTGATCACTCTGCCAAATACAAAAACAAAAGAAAAAAGATCATTTATTGTAAGCGAATATTTAGACATATATCGGAAATATAGTACCGCAAGACGTACGCAAATAGACAGTAACAGATTTTTTTTTATATGCAAATAGTAAAGCACATAACCAATTAATAGGAATTCAAACATTTAGGAAAATGCCAAAACAGGTTGCTGCGTTTCTCAAATTGAAGGAGCTGATACCACAACTTTAAAAGTGCATGCGGTGGCATGCACTTTTCCATGGTGCATGCATGGTGCATGCATGGAAATCTTCAACGGTAGCTGAAGGCTACATTCAGGCCGAATATGTATCCCATTTTATCATAATAACAGTTATGTTATTTCAGAGTTAAACGTTAAGGTTAACGTTAACTGTTAAGATATAACGTGCACGTTATTGAGGAATTAAGACCATTTTTAGCAAATACTCGTATTGCAATTTTGTTGTTTTTTGAAGACGCTTTTATGTTGACATTTTTAATAATAATTATGCAAAATTATTATAAACAAGAGTCAGTATTAGACAAAAACACATATAACTGACAGATGTCGATGTCTTTTAGGTTATGAAACATGAAACAAATGCAAACTCGTAAATAACGGGTAAGTACGACATAAAATAGTTTGTAACACGTTATATTAAATTATAACAGAGTTTCTTAAAGGCAAGGAATTTGGTGTTGCTATAGTTTAACATACGTGTTATTTGTGTAATGAAAATGAACGGCTTGTTAAATTTACATTTACTTGCCGGTTTTATAAACGCACATAGAAGGTACCTAAGTTGTAAAATTTAAGTAACTTAGGTAAGTATTTACCCTAAAATTATTGTTAGGTTAATTCAAACGAAGAAGGATCTAACAAGGAAACTACCCCAACTCGAACTCTCCGATTTCCAACATTTTTATATCTGTTGTACATAGACTCGGTTGTAGAACATAAAAAATTAAATGACATATTTTTTTTTATCGGCGGAAAAACATATTTAGGGGGTGAAATACATCCTCAAAGTTCGCCCCTCAAAACAGTTTTTTCTTAATATCTGGACTTCTAATCAATATTTTCGAATGAAAAAAATGGAAAATGTTTTTTATAAAAAAACAAATGTTTCACAATAGATTCCGTGTTTGGAGGTTGCTACCCTTATTTATATAGTAAAATTCATATTTGTTAAAAAAATAAAAACTATGATTTTAGTAAACAAATTGACAAAATTAAGTTCTCTTTTTAGGGGGTGAACAACCCTCTAGTGTGCTAAAAATGTCTGTACGATTACAATTACAAAATAAAAAGTTTTTACTTTTTCTCTAATCATACGAATAATTTGTTCTATTAGCCTCAAACAGATTTAAACGGATGCAAACTACGCCTCATCATGTTCACCTCCAAAAACAGTATTTATGTGACATCTCAATATTTTGAAATGAAATAAAATGGAAATTACATCTTTTAAAAAAATAAAATGTTTTACAAGTTATTCCCGTGTTTGGGGGTTGCAACCCTTATTTTTTATTTCAGGAAAACTAAGTACATTTTCAAACATTTTTTATATATAAAAAATTCATATTGATTCAAAATATTAAAAATATGATTTATTTAAACAAATTGACAAAAATAATTTCTCATTTTAGGGGGCTAACAACCCCCTAGTAATCCTCTAGTATGCGAAAAATGTCTTTACTTTTTCTCTAATCATACGAATAATTTTTTCTCTTGGTCTAAAACGGATTTAAACAATTGCAAACTACCCCTGATGTTTACCCTCAAAAACAGTATATCCGTGATATCTCGGGTTCTAATAAATATTTTGGAATGAAACAAAATGGAAATTACCGAACCCGTTTTTGAGGGATGAACGTCAGGGGTAGTTTGCATAAGTTTAAATCCGTTTTAGACCAATAAAAAAAATTATTTGTGAAATATCTGTTTTTTTTATAAGAAGTAATTTCCATTTCGTTTCATTCCAAAATATTGATAAGAACCCGAGATGTCACAGAAATACAATTTTACAATAATATACAATATTTTTACAAGAAATACAAAATAGAATTTGGGGGTGAACATGAGGGGTAGTTTGCATCCGTTTAAATCCGTTTGAGGCTAATAGAACAAATTATTCGTATGATTAGAGAAAAAGTAAAAATTTTTTATTTTGTAATGTTAATTCTAATCGTATAGACATTTTTCGCTCACTAGGGGGTTGTTCGAGAATTTAATTTTGTCAATTTGTTTACATAAGTTATACTTTTAATTTTTTTTAACAAATATGAATTTTTTATATATAAAAAATGTTTGAAAAATATAGTTTTTTTGAAATAAAAAATAAGGGTAGCAACCCCCAAACAAGAAATCACTAATGAAATATCTGTTTTTTTTATAAGAAGTAATTTTGCATGTTGTTTTATTCCAAAATATTGATTAGAACCCCAGATATTTAGAAAAAACTGTTTTTACGGACGAACTTTGAGAATGTATTTCACCGACATATTATTTGATAATAATGCAGAATTATTATAAATACCCGACTCAATAGACAAAAGCACATACAACTAAAAGAGTTCTTTTAGGTTATGAAACATGAAACAAATACAACTTAGAGCGCAAATAACAGGTACCTACGTACAACATAAAATAGCCGCCGTTTACGGCATATTATTTACAAACGTTATTTCTAACTTAACGTTTTAGCGTAAATGGGATACATACTCGGCCTGATTGAGGAGTCCATATCTCCTAAATCAGTTGTTAGCAAAAAAAATTCCCTACTGCAAGTACATCAAGTGCTGGAAGCGATTTTTTAAAATAATTCAACCACTGAAGGATTTCAATAGTTCACAAAGCATCTACTAGTGAAAACACTTTAACATACATAGACGAAATAAATGTTTCAAAACAAACAGGACAAGCTGTTCTAATTTCAGCATAAATGTTTATAATAAATGAATTTACCTTCGTTAAAGAACAAATTTACAATTTTAATTTAGAGGCAGTAAAAATGATTATAATGTAAACTCTCCTGTGTCCTGTGTGCAGAGTGGTGCATTCTTACATTTGTAACAGTTTGGATTTATTTTCGACTTCTTTAGTTTCATTTAAGAGAATACTCAAACGTGTAGATACTTCTTTAATATCGTTATGCCATTTATAATTGTATAATTCTTCTGTATGTTTATTTGTTGTATATTTGTTAAATCTAGGATACTGTTGCTGGTTTTTCCCAAACGGTAAATGAAAAAGAGTTACCCCGAAAATAATATTACAGAAAATTGGAATATAAAAAATGTAACAGTACACGTCATACCAAAACGATTGCAGTACCTTGCGTCAAAAAGTACGGATCCGTCATACTCTTGTACGGCGTCCCCAGATAGGCGCCCAGTGCCCCCATCACCTGTATGTACCCGTTGTCGGGCGCTTGGTACCCCTGCACACAACCACCCGGCACCATGTTCGACTGGAAGTAACTATAACCACTCTTATCCGCCCGCTTCTCCAGCACCTTGGCGGGCTGAGGATACACTTTCTCACTGTCCTTTAACTTGAAACTTTGCCCGGCACTTTGCGAAAAATCGTAGGCCTTGTCCAAACTCTGCCCCGACGTCTGCTCGCCCTTCTGCCTGTACAGGATGTCCTCGATTAAGAAGGACGTGCGGTTTTGCGAGAGACTCGTGTCGTTTATGAGGTCCTTCGGCTGTAAATCACCCATCGTTAGTTGACGAGGAGACCGTTACCGGATCCGGCGGTCTGGCGTCGGATTTAAGTTGTTCAATTGTTACCAAACAATCGCTATCTGGCGCGGAGGCCCGCCGCCTCGATTTGCGAGCGTCTAGTTCCGCCTACTACGCGATTTCAACCCTTAACGGGGCGAAACAAGTTTTGATGTCGTCGGGGGGCAAACAAGAGCTGATTCGCCGGCGATGAGATTGATTAAGGGATAATTGTGTTTCGGGTAAGTTAATTAAGTCGGTATTGCCTATTGTGAGGGCAAATATAATAATATACGGGGGTGGAGGACGGAAACGGTGTTTGGATCTGGGATGCTGCGGAGGCCTTTGACGCGAGGAATGCCGTGATTTGATTATTCCTTTTATGTGTTGCAGGGGGCGGTTGACACTGACGTGTAAGAGGATAACAATGGTACGGGGATCCTGTTGGTGTAAATTTATAAAATGCACTGCGAAGGGCATGTCCTAAAATTACGACAAGATTAACCGTTTGACATTTTTTGTAATTTTCTCTAAAAAATTTTTTATGTAAAATTAGACATTACATCACAACATAAAAGTACTTTATACGAGTAAAGTCACGTTAAACATGCAATTTAACTTTTTTTTTCTAATTGACAAAATGTAAATCGATATACAGGATGTTTCGCATAAGAACCGACACAGAGCAGGACCATGAAGTGGAACCAAAAATATGGTGATTTAACGTAACTTACCTTTATACAAAGCTACACCCCTGAGAAGATATAGGCCTTGAAAGAGGTGTTTCAAGTTTCGGAAAAAATCAATATCTCAAATTATACTTGAACTTGGGGACCGCCTAGCCGGGTGTCTTGGCCGATGGAGTTCGATCGGCCGAGGTAAGCATCACGGACGCAGGCTGGAACTTGGATGGGTGACCTAAGGCAGGCTTGGGGACGTGGCTGTGGCAGCCTACCAGAGACCTGGGTCGCTCAACACCTTCCGCCTGCGTGTGGTCCCCGATAAAATGGTACTAAGAATAGAGCAATAAATCTCTGTAACTCAGACCAAATACATAAAAATTGTACGAGACTTTGCCACCAAGCCACCCGTGTAGTAATAGGATGGACAAATTGGAGTTTATTAAGACTCCTAGGTTATTGTGAGAAGTCACTGTTGTTAGCACTTGTCCATGTAAGGAATACGCACAATTGGGGTTTCTACGGCTGATATAGAGAATAACACACTTGTCTGCATTTAGCAGAAGTAGCCATTCATCGCACCATTATAGAGGTTACCTCTCGTTAGAGGGACATATGGTTACTATCAAGATTGGCGTATAGTTTAGTATCATACTTTATTCGCGACGTGATATTGAATATAACTGGCATATAACGAGCGTTCAAATAAAAACGTGGTCGAAGTTGGCTCTGACACATTGGACGTAGGGAGACCTCATTTCTCAACGAGCTGTATAGCAGCTGTCAGTTTCAATAACGTTAATGACTATATAACTTTATTTTAAAGAATAATCGTGATAACAATAACAAACAATTAAAGGAGCTGCGGAAAGTGCCCCCTCCTTGTTATAACAATAAATTAAAGCAGCTTCTGAAAGTGTCCCCCTTCTTGTTCCAAGCACTTTTCACACCTGTTCCTCAAAGAATTAAAGACATTTTCTAAGATGCTCGGGGTACTGTTAATTTCACGAATCTTGTCTATAAGTCGAGCCTGCAGATGGTTTAAATCAGGAATAGGCAGTTCAAAAATAGTGTTTTTAAGGTAAGGCCACAAAAAGAAATCACTCGGCGTAATATCACATGACCTCGGTGGAAATTCATATTCAGCATTGAGACTTATTAGTCGATTTTGGAAAACTTCCCTCAACATATTCATCGTCTCGCCTGCCGTATGTGCCATTGCGCCATCTTGTTGAAAGTAAAAGTTTGTAATTTCGTTTTCTTCCAGCTGGTTAACAAAAGGAGCGATAATTTCTTCTCTATACCTTTGCGCAGTAAGAGTACCATTAAAAAAAATAGGTCCATAAATCCTCTTTCGATTGAGAGCACACCAAACTCCAATTTTTTGAGCGTGTAGAGGGCCCTCGACAAAAAAGTTATCTGGTTTTTCAGAAGACCACATTCTCATATTCTGTGAGTTTACGTAACCACTTAAATGAAACCAGGCTTCATCAGAAAAAAAGGTGATATTATGAAGTTCACCGTAGTTGTTTAAAAACCATTCACAAAATACAGCCCGTCGCGGAAAATCAACTTCATGAAGTTCTTGCTGACAAGTTAAACGATAGGAGAACAAACACAAATCTTTTTTTAACACTGTGTGGCAGGTACCGACTGATACTCCCACCATTTGTGATAAAACACGTACAGAAGTTCTTGGCGCATTTTCCATTATTTGTTGGACATTTTCTTTTAATTCTTCAGTCCGCTTTTTAGGTCGGCCGCTTCCTTCTTTTCTTGTTACACTGCCCGTTTCACGAAAAACATTAACACAATGCTGAACTGCACTTTGAAAAATTTTGTACTCAACAACGCCGGGAAATTGATTTTGAAATTCTATGAAACATTCCTCAATAGAATACTTCCATATTCCATCAATCTTGCGTCCATTTCTAAAGTAGGACTCTATGATAAACACTTTATGTTCTTGAGAAAACACCATTTTAAACGCTTTTTAAAACGAAAATATTCAAATTGATAGCGGCGATATAGCGCTTTGACAGATGACGTTTAAGTTAATTTGCTATACGCTACGCCCTACGTCCAAATTTTCAGAACCAACTTGACCACGTTTTTATTTGAACGCTCGTTATAATAAACAATAGGGGCCCTAAAACTGAACCCTGAGATATGCCACTGAGGACCGGTCTATCGCCGGAGAAAGATTCACCTACTCTTACTTTAAAGTATCTATTTGTTAAAAAACTGTTGATCCATTGGTGTAGGGTACCGCGTACGCCCACATGATCCAGTTTGTGTAAAGTCTTCTCCTTGGTACCCTATCAAAAGCTTTTGAAAAGTCAAGGTATATTACATCTATAGGATCACTATTATCTAGAGCGAGATACTAGTCGTTTACGCAGTGGAATAGGTTTGTTAATGTGGAGCGGTTTTTAATAAATCTATGTTGCTGTGCAGGAATAACGTTTTCTTATAGTAAGAAATCTGTCATACCCTCCACAATGATAGATTCCATGATGTTGTAAATTGCGGGTTAAAGATTGATTGGGTACTTATTGAAGTCCAATTTGTCACTTGAAGATTGGTGTAATTGAAGCCTGTTCCACATGGATGGTATAAAACCGTTTGAAAATGATTCGGTCATAATCATAGACAAAGACATCTAAACCAGTGGAAGCATATTTTCGAAGTTTCATCAAGTGTTTTTTAACTGTATCTGGAGTGAATTCAATATTCTCCAAGCAGGACACAACACGTGGTCCGATAATAGGTGGAAGAGGATCATGAGAAGATTTATCAGTATAAACTTTGGAGAAGGCGAGAGAAAGTCTTTCCGAAGTGTCTTGGTTATTACCACATAATTTACCATTTTTTCCACGTGGAAGGGGTATAGAAACCGTAGAGTTTAAAGATATTTGAAAAACTGCGTTGATGACAAATTTTTCATAAGCTTTTTTAGATGCAGACAAATATTTAGATTATTAGAAAAGCAGCGGTGAGCTACACAATACGAAATGTCATTTGTCCCTTCAAATTTTTTCCAAAGATTTCTCTTCTGCCTAACCATGAGAGTGGATTCTAAGTCGATCCAAGGTTTTCAATTGTTCTTATAAACATGTTTCTGTGTAGTATATTTAGAGATACAATTCATAGTAGTTTCGTAAAAATGTGCTAATTTTGAATTCAAACTAACGGAGTTGTCTAGTAGTGTATTCCAATTTACAAGAGATAACTCATGGTTAACGTTGGCAAAGTTAATGACATTGAAAATATGTGATTTTTTTTGTATGCTGTGCTGTGTTATTTAAAATCGTAGAAAATTTAAAAGTTAGGATAAGATAGTATAAAGGGATAACGTGTAATAGATCTCTGGGTAGAGTTCGCGAAACAAAAACTTTGTGAAACTTCGACACGTATTTGAAGTATGATTTTTCTAAAACTGCATAGATTACATCTTCCACATGATCAGTCTCAGTTCCATAAGCTTTCGAAATACCAAGCTCATCCAATCTTTGGAAGGTTGAAGCAAATACAGTGCCTGATTTACAGTGGTGGGGCCTGTAGGATGAAAATTAGTGGGGGCCTATTCTAGAAAAAAAAAATCCATTTTGGTAGCCCTTCGCCAAAAAAAAAAAATTTGAATTAAATAAAAGTAAATTTTAACCCACTTTCTCGAGAGACACAATATTTTTCTTTCTTGTTCATGATGGGGAGGTCTTAAAAAAAATCTTAAAAAAAATTAGTTTTCATAAAAACATTTTTTGTTAACATGGTGGGGGCCCCTAGTTGGTGGGGGCCTGTAGGCTGCAGCCTACACTAGCCTATAGGTAAATCAGGCACTGAGCAAGTACCTGATGATTTGCTATATTTCTATTAGGGAATCTTACGGCCGCTAAGACATTTCCATCAGAAAAACCATACTCATAAAAACAACCTTTTTCCTCATATGAAAGCCCGTGTTTTCGGACACCCTTTATTAAGAAAATACCCTTTTATTTATTGATATTCAGCACTCTTGTACCTTTGTAAGGAGGCATTTTGGAACAAATGTTTAATTGACCAATTAGTTTGTTTGAGGGAGAAGATTTTGCACCTAATTATGACTGTCCCTGTATAAATTATATTCAACAGTGCCAACTTTTGGGTAAATTGTATAATTAATAAGTACAGGAATAAAAGTCACTAATAAAAATACCGCAAATTTCTGTCTAGAAATAGCTAATAAGGAATTTGACGAGTTCATTACATCTCTTTTATTAGCTTTTTTCCTTTATCCTCTATTTGAGAGAAATATAGTCGGGTCGCTATAATATTTGAAC